AAGCGCATATCTCACACCATATATTTTTAGAATTTTTTTTATCATTTATCATTTTCACATCATCAAAATTGTTCATTTCTATTGATTTTATTATTCCACTGGCTGGAAAATGATTTAAACGTAAGTGAGCTTCTAAAAGTGTGATATTAGGTTTTATCGCTAATGGATTAATAGGTTTAACTGCTCTAATTATCTTATCAGTCATCTTGACAGCTATAATTTTATCTGTATCGACCCATATGGTGTTTCCTAATTTTAAGGTTTTCGTATCAAACTCATTTTCTTTGTTCACTAGCGATTCATACCCTTTGTCTAAGGTAATGCCAGTTTCTTGATATAGTTTGTCTGCAGACAAAATTGTTGCATCTTGTTTTGGAGAATAGTATGCTGTAACACCAATTATTTTATTTCTACCTCCTTTAATTGGTAGTATCCCTTCTCCAAGTATTTCTATTGGGTTTCTATCATCCCCTACACCCCAATATTCTGGTCCTTTTATCAATGATGAAAAGTTTAATAACCAGTCTTTATTGTGTACCAAATGTATACCAGCAGCTGTATCAATAACTACTTTGTCATTAGTTTTATTTTTTGAGTATGTTTTTTTTATCTTTATATTGTACTTATTATGTATATCTTTAATGTTTGATTCTTTTCGAGTCTGTTGTTTTTTGTTCTTTTCGATTTTCATATTCTTTTCTCTGGAATCTATGTTAGTATTCATGTTCTTCATTTCTTTCTTGATGGTATTCAGTTCATTTACCTTTTCTTTTATTGATCTAGTGTTCTGATTCATTGATTTCACCAGGCCTAAGTAACTTCTTCTCTTCCTTGTCTTCTTTCTTATTATAATTTATTCCTTTCAAGTAAGTATTGTTATTATTGATTTTTCTACAATTTTTGGCATAATGTAAACACGAATTACAGTTAATACATCTTCTTTTTTCAATACGGGTTAAATTTTTTGATTCACAGTATTCTATATTCATCAATCTAATTGAATCCCGAATTGCTTTTATATATTGTTCAACATTCAATTGCCTTAAGTCACCTTTTAATTTACCGGTTAAAAAATTGTTAATCATTTCTTGTTTTACGTTTTTTGTTAATGATTCTTCAATTTTTGTTTTTAAAAAGTTATCATTTATTCTATAGAAATCATCTTTTACATGGCTCCATTTCTCTAAGTTCACCATGTACATAAATTCCTTGGTAATCCTTTCTGGTTCAGTACAGAACTCATCAACAATCAGTTCTTTCCACATTCTGTCCTTAACTCTTCTAGGGAATTCTTCACCTAGTAGCTGTTTAATAAACAAAATAGCTTCAATACCTGATTTTTCATCCAAGTCAAAATTTTCCATATCATCAGTCATAGAATTAATAACAATGTTTCTAATTATTTCCTCTTCATTTTTATCTATTTCTATTTTACCTGTCAATTGTGTAACATCATCAAAGTTCCATGATTTTAGATATCTGGATAATGATCTGAACCAGATTGGAATTTCCTCAATTTTAGATAATTTCTTGTTAAATTTATAGTTATCATTTTCATAGTAATATTTAATAATATTGCCATCTAAATTTTTAAAAGTATAATAAAAACCATATTCATCTTTCTTTGATAAAAGTATGTAACCTTTATAATTATTTATTTCTTGATTCTTTGGAATAAGATCTATCTTTTGTTCAACATCTATATTTTTTTCTATGTGAACATTGTCCATGTCTTTTCCAATTTTTAAAATCTTTTGTAGGGCCTCAATCAATTCCCCTAACTCTTTAGTTTTCTTTGTCTTTTCACTTACAGTCAAATCTGTATTAGATATGACTTGTACAATTTCTTTTTTCAAGTCATTGATTTGATCATTGATGATTTTATCGTTCCCAGTATCGTTATCATCAACAACGGCGACGCTACCATGTTGGAATTTGGAGCCTTCTGCGTCCATGGTAATGATAGACATCATTAAGTTATAGATACTTGTTATGTTTTTGTATTAAATACCTGTACATATTTATTATATAGTATATTCAGTATACATTCTTATATTTACTTCAGGGCTTATTTTAAGTTTTTCATTTCTTTTCAAATCTTTGAAAGACATATTTGGTGACAATTAAAATGTTTTCCTGATATTATGTACATCCGTACACCACATAATATATAGAAAAACTAATTAAAAATAATTCTTATGAAAATGACAGTAATAAACTCTCATTTTCCAACAGCAGCATCTAATGTTGTAGCACATGTATGGCTTATTAATACACTAATTGGTTCTAGATTCATTCAGGATCTTATGTAATCTTGATGGTTATAACTATTCTATTCCACAACACCTGTTACAGTTTGGACTTAGGATCAATTTTTTTTTTTTTAACAGTACTATTGAACGAATAGTAAGGGCAATAACAAATATATAAGAACGTTATATATATCTAGGAGAATTAAACGATTATTGCTTGTTTTTTTTGTATTATACAATGTGCTACATATAATTTTAAATCAACCAAACATATAAATTTAGATACCAAGATACTGGTCCTTTATATATGAACTATGGGTTGATAGTTTCTTATTTGAGGTTCTGTAACGACTGTCACCGTAGATACATTTCTCCTTAATTAGCTATTTAATGTTTCATGAATGTTTCATTTTGTTACCTAGTATTCAACAATCACATGGGATTTATCAACAAACCCTAAGTCCTATAAATCCAAACTAGAACTTTTCTTGACAATCATCACAAAACCCTAACAATATTTTTATAATCATAATATCAAGGTTGATCTACAACAGGGTACAACGGTTGAGGCGCAAGTGGTTTAGTGGTAAAATCCAACGTTGCCATCGTTGGGCCCCCGGTTCGATTCCGGGCTTGCGCAGTTCTTTTTTGTTTACTTTTGATATACAGTATCATGTTATACGAAATATAGATCTTGTATATAACAGATGAAGACCTATTACGAGAGATATATTCTTCTAGAATGTAAAATTAGATGAAATGATTTTTGGGTGTCTTCTGTATATGCAAATAATATATATATGTTTATAAAAAAAGAAAAGTGCAATATCCTGTTCAGCTGTTTACGATGATTAATAGCCCTTTTAGTAATAATCTCTAAAAACACCATTATATCAAGTAAATCCATACACCACAAATAAAATCTTCCCAGTAAACAATATGTCACAAAAAATTCAATAAACACAGTAAAAAAATATTAAACCAATATCTCACATCATAAAGTAGCACCTAGTATATATTAATTATATGCTATCCAAGAACAGCTTACTTTTCTATGTTAATTATTATTATCTCTTTATTTATTTACTATTCTTATACATTGTAGGATTTCGTTCATTTATAGATAAGCTATTTGTATCTTGCAGGAAATCAGATATTATATATTTCCTATATTTGTACAAATTATTATATCAATTCTCTCTGATTCTTTTAACTATAAAATATTATATAGAAACACACTCCAGCTATAAATATTTTATGCTCCAGCTGTATTTTTATTCCAATATCAAATAATTTTTGAAATCAAATCATCCTTATTATCATGCTTATGAAAGAACCTATACAAATTTATATTTGTGTTTTAATACTATAAATATATTTGCTATGCAAGCATGCATGTAACTTGCATAAAAAAAATAAAAACCAAAAAAATAGAACAAAGTACATTCATATTTTATTTTATCGTCAAACCATCTTTTTATTTTTAGTAAATCTCTATCTATCACAAAAAATAAAGTGTTTATATAAATTAACCTTAGCAGCTACAAACGATATAGTGAAAAAAGTGCGACCCGTATATTAAAAAAATCTTTGAATTATAGAGTAGATAAGTAGATCAAATATTTGTCGCTTTTGTCCCTCTGCATATATTGTTATGAAGCACAAAATCTCATATTTAAGATACCAGTTCCAATATTTGTTTTTGCTGATTAGCTTTACTAGATATAAAAAATTGCAAAAATAATGCAATATAATTAAAATTTTTTCAACATTATAGTTGTATGTTCTTGTTCCTTCCGACTATTTCCAACCTCAATATTTAGTCTAAAAATTGATACAATAGTATTTTTTTACACTACATTCTTCTATACAAAGATTAGATTGGACATATAATGCATTAAATTTTCTTTTCTCCATACCAATTTTCATTTTATTTGCTATATACCTACAGCACTCTAGTATATATTTTACGGATTTTTCTAGTATTTCAACTAACAGATATAATTGAACATTTGTGCATTTACACAACTAAGAAGTGAAAAAGATGGATAATACCAAATTAAAAGAGCTATGTTAAGACAAGGCGAATTGAATTATACTATCAAGTATATCATGCCCTCATATCTCCCCTGTAAAGTATTCAATGTAATTACTTTTCAGTTAGTGTCTTTATACTTATCAACAACAAATGTAACAGCAATGTGAAAACAATAGTCAAATATTCCTTCGAAAATTTTCTACATTTTTAAAAATATAAAGAATAAAGCAAAGAATTCTAATATTTTTCATAAAGGCATATTTAAGAATTTCTAATTTTATTATTAAATTTCCCTGTAACAAATCTATCAAAGAAATCATAAGAATAACTTAGCATAACACATCTCTCTTTTTTGTATAACAGAAACTCTGAAATTTCAACCTAAATTAGTTAATCAACTGTATCGCCCATATTTATTCCTTTACACATTATATCTTTTTTGGTGAAAAGCTATATATACTAACTTTTAGCCAATCCTCTTTTTAGTATTGAATATATATAAGGTCATACTGGTAACAGATTCTACAGAATATAGCAAGAACAATACATTTTATAATCAAAACTCAAAACAATTAAAACATAGCGTAAAAAATTATTATATCGTTTATTTTTTGGAATATTTTTATTATATAGTGATTAAGAAAAATATTAAATTGGACAATTAATAAACTTTATAAATTTTTTACTTAATTTTGTCTAGCTAGGAATGGTTAATCAACATATCTCTGTTCACTCAAATAATTGACACACACACAATCATCATCACATAGACGGACAATATTATCTACAGTTTCAACAAAATTACCACAGTCTTCTTTTTCAGCAGGCATCGGTTTGCCATCATCCCTAGAATTATTTTCAAATAAAGAATCAAGAATAGATAGCTTATATCCATATTTGTCTAATAAATAATTTTTCAGATCCTTAAGCACATATTGTATTATAATAGACAATTTTAATGTTACAACATCCCAATCTTCTTCCCTATTATTCTTCAGCACTTCGAGAATATTATCACGCATTTGTTCCTCTGTAAAATCTAACATTTTAATAATTGAAAAAAAATGTGTTTGGTAAAAAAACTTCAGCTTAGCAATATTTGTTGACAGAAATAAAATAGATGACATTTTAGCAAAATTTGAGTCAATTGACATTGTATCATTCAGTTGAAAATTTATGAATTTATCTAAATATTTGTGGAATTTATTCATACCCTTTTTATCTACTAAAAAAATATCTTGTAAAGTGTTTAAAAACATGTTATGTCTATAATAAACGCCATTGAATAACGTTTTGGAATAATCCATTGCAAGCACAATTCCTTTAGATATGTTGTTTAGAACCATAGTTTCATGTTGTTCCAATAATTCAGTTACAATTCCAATAGCGGTATGTGTTATTATTTTCTGGTTGGAAGCCAGCAATGCAATACTATGTGGGATACATTTTGAAGGATTGATGTATCCACATTTCACAATAAGCTTTAATAATCTAATGGCAGTAACTGACTCATCAGTTATAGGGAAAAGACACATATCTAAAATATTGTTAATGAACTTGTTACTTAAAGCAAAACAGACTTCATCATTTTTTGGTAATGACATATGGGCGTTTTGTTCTTTGGTTCTTCTGTTTGAATACATTCTCCCAACAAGACCAATTTGTCGTAGAGATCTAGCCTCTTCTATTGAGAAAAATTCTAATAAAGCCTCTATTATTACTAGTTTAATGTCCAATCTATTACTCTTAAATTCACTTTTCAACATATTTAAAATATGTCTTGAATTAAATAATTTTGGATAACTCCCACATAACCTAGTTAGATTCTTGATACTAGTTCTTCTTAAATCATGTGGCATACTATTTCTAGAAAAAACTAAAAGACACTTAGCAACATATTCAGGTAAGCCTTCTTTTTTGTCTACAAATGGTAATCTATCAATTGTTGAATCAAATGAGCAAAATCTAGCGAATGAAGTAATCAAATATAGCAAACGTTGAATCTTATTATCTACCTGGTATTTCTCTTTTGATTTAGCAGCTGCAATTATATAGGGATTTAAATGAACAAGGCATGAAGAGCAAGCCTGAATTATACGTGCCTTATTGTTTCTTTGGGATGCAGCTTGCCATATAATAGAAACAGCTTCATCAATTTCTTTTGTATTTAACCTCACCAATTGCTTTAAAAGATCTGTTTCAATATTCTCTAGAAAACTGTTTTTCAATATCGATGATTTTTGCAGAGTTTTATTAAATACATGCAAAATATCGTAGTGTAAACCATTCTTTTCCCCAGATAACATATACGGGTATAAATCAAAAATATGTTCTTTGGTAATAAATGTTTCAACAGCATCTGCAAATAACGCCAATAACTTGAAATGACGTTGAAGGTTAACTTTTTGTTTATCATCAGTTGAATTTTGTGCTTGTAAATTGACAATCTCTTGTACCAGGACATTGACCATAGTACGCAAGCTTTTTATTATCTGATTATACTGTTGAGGAGGATGAACTTCCTTTTTAAGCAAATAAAAGTTTAAAAAATCTTCAAAAACTTCTGTGTTTTTTGTATCAGTAGATATAACACCTGCAATTACAGCAATTGATTGTTCTATAATCTTTCTTTTATTTGTATCTAATTTATCACTGTTATGGAAGGATAACAACCATTGTTTCAAAAGAATATTTCTTGCATTTTCGACAATACCATCCTCCTCATCTTCCAATCTCAGCAAAATCCTAATTGCAACATATGTAGCAATTTCTAAATCATCACATTCCGTATATATTTGTTCGTTAATTCTTAAAATATGTTTTCTAACTAATATACTATCGTCATCAAAATTAACATTAATTTGTTTGTAATACTCCACATAACAAGAGCCAGCATTAAGTAAATCTAAAATGGCATCTCTTACGGAGGCTGCAGAATTGTCCACTAAAACTTGAGTTATTGCAGCTTTCACCATTGGGTTAGATAGAATACTGCTATCTTGTGATACGAGCAATGAAAGGGATTTGACTGCTGTAGATTTTAGTTTAATTTTGCTACTATCAAGCATTGTCAATAAAATATGGAAATATGTATCATACTGAGAAATAAGCTCATCTGATTGTAACACTGAACAATAATCGTTGTTAATGTCTTCTAAAGAAAGCACATTTTTAGGCATTATATCGTTAAAAGGTACCTGTCTAATAATTCTGTCGATATAATTATCAATATTGGAGATGTTGTTACTATCTGTGTTCAATTCATGTAATCTTATTAATTTTTCCAATAGCTTACCTTGAAAGTACTTGTAGGAAGATTCCTGACTATTGTTATTCGCTATGTATACAAGACAACGTTGAGAAGATTCTAAAAATTGTGGAATATACTCAGGATAGTTGAGAAGTTTCACAACATTATTATTTTGTTGGGGTAAAGTATTTAATTTTATATCAAAGAGTGCTGAACCAATTTGACCAAGAATCAACAGACAGGTGATTTCTACTACAGGAGATGTAGATGCTGAATCAAACACATCCAAAAGCTTACCTAGCATAGATGATAATACTTGAGAAGCAATATAATAATTTGGAAGTCTAAACAGTGCAATTAAATCCAGAATATATATTTCCATAATATATCGATATTTTGTTGAATTTTGCAAAAATTTTTTAAATATACTTTCATTAATATGATCAATAAAATTTGATAATTGTTTTTCTTGTTCCATATTTTTCTTTTTAAACATATCAATAATGTCTTTGGTTTCTCCATTTACGGTATTTAAATTTTCTAATGCGTTAATATACTGTAACATTCTCATTAAACATTCAGTAAAATATGTAACATATTTATCCTTAGCAACTGTTTTTATTTTTTTATGTACTCTTTTGGAGGGCAATTTATCGATATTAGACAAGAACTCGTTAATTAGGAATAATCTCTGCGTTGGTACTAATTGAAAAATAGCCATAAGAATCTCGCAACTAAGATTTTTAATATTATTCCAACAATATTGATCAGAAGCACTAACATTAAAAGTGACTGTGGAATCAACGATTATATCTGTAAAGACATATATCAACTTTGTTAAAAGCCCATCATCCAAATATATGTTTTGCCGAATATAACGAGGTAAATGCTGAATAGAATTGGTAAATAATACAAGTTCATTATGTAAATCTTTTGACGCACTCTTCTCTTTTATTTCTGTGACAAAGTTAGATAGATATTTAATCGGTATCACCGCATATTTTTCCATATATATTTCTCGTTCAGATCTCTTCAACAAAAAAATAGAAAATATGATATTAATAGATAATATAGCTATTATTTTTGTTATCCTCTCTTTTTTCTTATTAGATAATACAGTAGTTGTGCAAATTGTAATATTTTGAATCATTAAATCTAAAATTAAAATTAAATCATTTAAAGACAATTTATTATTTACTTCAGGAACACTTGAAATATTTTTCAACAGAAGTTCAATATGCTGTAAAGTTCTTTCATTTAAGCAGATATTACTGTTATCAACGTTGATCCAACGCTCAAGATTGGTAAAACATTTTCCATTCATGTCGGACCGTATATGTTCTAATAATTGAATTAAATCATCTAAATATTGTTTTGCAATTGTTGTTTCACTTACTGAAACACCTGAAGACATTACAATTTTATCATGTTTAAACTTATATGTCAAATCTATATCAGTGTCTAGGATATCTTCCATTTTCCGTTTTCTTTGTAAAGTTTCAACAACATGTGCTTCATCAATATGATATCCTTGTTTGATATTTGGAGATATTTCCTCCAAACATTTTTTAGCCAATGGGGATAGATTAGAAAATAAATTATTATTATTGTCATCTTTATTAATCATATTCCTGGACTGTTTAGCAATATATATTGGTCTTTTGTAAATAATTTTATTTGATTCATCAGCAACATCTTTAGTGTAGTAAGTATTTCTAATACTTTTTGGAGGAGGTATATCCAATTGATCCGTAGATTTAGTTATATTATTTGCCAAAAGAGATTGATCATCTGATATTTCAATTTTGGAAGAGTACCCAGACGATATCAGTGAAACAAGTTTAGCTTTTGGTACTAAATATAATAATGGTTGGTTAGGTAGTGCTTCTAGGAGCCGTTTTGGTACAGGATCATGTTCACCTGGGAAACTTGTCATAGCCGCCACAAAAATCTTTTTTCTTTTTTCCTTATCTGTTATATGCAGAAAAGTAGGGATATTTTTATTAAGTGACTATACAATGATGACTTGCACTTGTTTAAGCTAGATATAATAAACCCAACGATACTAAAATATATTACCAGTGGCGTCTGTGTTTAAGGTTCATAGGTAAGTCAACCGAAAATGTGTATCACTTATTATTTCTCGTATTATTTTTTATGAATCAAAAAAATCTTTTTAAAAAAAAAAAAGAGAGAGAGAGAGAAAAAAAATGATACATTAGTTACACACTAAACCTATGAAATAACAAATATAAATAAAAATTTGAAGAGGCAATGCTATACATCAATATTAATATTAATGTAATATATCATGACAGATTAAAATATAAAGTTATATAAAGAATATTAAATAAGAATTGAGAAAAAGAGAACGCATATATATATATATATATATATATTTATAGACTTGTAACTCATTAAGATCTATTAAATCACTTTGGTCATTCTACTTTTCTTGTATTAAATGTGCAATCAAACAGTCTATAATTCTAAAAAGTAAAATTTTATTTATTTTTGTATCTTCTTGACAAACCATATCTATAAAAATTTTTATATCATTTTCTGTAATGCCGAGCGTGGAATCTAATTTTTTTAATCGTATCACTTTAATGAGGTTATTGATACATTGTAATTTAAATTTTTTAAATTCTTCCCCTGTGGGGACAATTGTTTTTGGTCCCATAAGGTTATCATTAGGAAACAATAATGTTCTAATGGAATTGAAAGAGTATTTAATATTTTTAGATATTAAGGCTTTCTCCCATACAATTTTTTGAACAAAGTATGAATCTATAAATTGATTAATATGTATGGATAGTAACATAAAATGTTGGATATAACGAAAAATAATGTAAAATATGGGTCTTTTGTTATTGAGTGATAACATTTCAATATTAATTAGTGTCCATACATAAGAACTCAGTACATGCACATCGTTTGTACTCTTACCAGTTTGAATTTTTGGAGAATTCATTAAATTGAAAGAAATAGTAATTAAAGAGTTATAAAATTTGGTAAGTTTAGTTTTCCATGTTTGAAATATCAATAAGTAATAATTAATATTCTGAGGTGTTTTCCTTTTCTTCTTCTTTTTCCAATTATTATTATTTGCATCTTCCTCTTTGATTATTTTATCGGACATTTTCGTAAGTATTTTAAGGAAATAATACGGTTCTAAACAACTATCCAATATCCTTCCAAATAAAAATTGATTAAATAGTGAATCTAAAAAAGTATCCTGCAAGATAGATCTACAGAACAGACGACTCTTAATCAGGTCTGTAATAATAAATGGATACCTATCATTTTCAATCATAGATAAGTCACAATATATTTTGTATCTAAAGGGCTGGCCTATCTGGTGTATATTTAGTCGTTTAATTACTTTAATATGTTCTGAGAGTATGACTGGTATATCGTTTAATAATAATCGAATCATATCAATATTTTTAGTCCTTGTGGAGACAAAATTTGTTAAATTATGGAATAATTCAAATAATCTTTCCAAAAATTCAGTATCATCAGTATAGATCTTTGGTCCATACCAATAATTGATGAAATTTTTCACTATTAATGCCAAAAGGGCGTTAAATTCTAATGAACCATCATTAAAAGAACCCAAATTGTTTATTTGATAATGGATTGATTTTGAATAAATTGAAAAACAGAGATCTTTTAGATATGGGGTTGAATTTTTGGGATATGAACTAATGAAGGGTGGATCTTGTTCTATTTTAACATTGTCATCATCATCATCATTAGTGTTATTACTATTACTATACTACTACTACTACTACTAATACTAATTGAAGTCTTATTTTGGCTAAAAAAGGAAGTATAACCATAAGATGGTATATTACTGTTATTCTTAGATGGTTCCCTTTTTAAATGATCATTTTTTTGAAACCTTTGAATTAAGGACGAATTAGTATTATATCGTATAGTATTCATAATTATCTTATTCTTTTCCTCTATTATTCAACTCATTATTGATAAATTGCACTTATCTAATTCTAAAGTAGTGTTATATACTCATGTATAAAAATACATTTATTACTGTAATGGTGAAGAGAGAGAGACTTCCTAAGGAACCAAAAAGTTTCTTTTCTTTTCTTTTTTTTTTTTTTTTTTTTTGAAAGGATTCTTAACAACTTTTTAGATCTCATATTCCCCTTTACAAAAAAAACCAATAGTCATATTAATACATATATATATAGGGAGAGAGAGAAAGAAAGAGAAAGAGAAAAAAACAGAAAGATAAATAAATAGAATCAGAGTAAAATTGATTTAAAGATATTTAAAGTTGAATGGATGATTCAATTATACAAATTTTGGAGGACCCTGGAATAGTTCATTATAAACAATACTGGTTAAAAGTTCCGAAAGGCACGATTCAAGATGAGATATTATCAATATTTGCATTTGGTAGATACAAGGATTTGAGTACACACAGACTTGACCTGACCGATTTGATGCGACAAAAATTACAAAAATTGACTATTATATCGATCATGTGCGATTCGAAGAGGAATAGTGATCTTCCTTATTCTATTTTTATGAAGGAATGTGAGATAGAGGATGTGAGTATTTTGGAACGGTATTTGATCGAACTGCAACCATTGATTCGATGTCGAATAGATCAAGTGAATCAAACGATAAGTATTGTTGAATGTTTAGATTGTAGGGATATATATTGTAATGAGAAACCATTACCAGAATTAAGTCAGGTACCTATAACTAAGAATAAACTAATTGAAAATTTAAGATGTTGGAAATCTAAACTTCAAGATGACATTTTATGAAGAAGAGGAAACGAAAAACCAAAAAATAAAAAAACAACAACAGCGAATAATGGAATAAATAAAATATATACATAAATATTATATAAACACATAAATACATTAAAAACAGCGGTAAACAAAAACAACCCTCTTAAAAGTCAATTTATTTATTTTTTCATGACTATTCTTGAGTGGATGTAGAATCAAGCTTCCATAGTTGTTTAACTAAACCAGTAATACCATCATTTTCAGTTTCTAATTTATAGATACCGAATAAAGACAATAGGGAACCAGCACTTAAAAGATACATAGCATAGTTATGCCATCTCCCATAGACTCTTAAAGTGATGTAATCAGCGATACAGGATTGGAATTCAAGATAAGAATAGCCTAACAAAGAGACAGCGAGTATAGAATCTGTAACGGTGGCCAAAGGACCAGTAGTGAAGAAAGCAGCTGTAACTAATGGGACAGAAGTCAGGGCAAAACTTTTTTCGATCCACCAATGGATGGAGCCTTCTGTTTTATTGATAGGTGGAGCTCTGTACGGATCATTTGGTGTGCCAATGACACCACCTGGTTTTTGTGGCAACACAGGTAAGAAAGGAATAGTGAAGGCTCTCTTTGAGGTAGTTTGAAACAATCTAATAAAGGTTGGATTCATGTATTTCAAAGGGGCCGAAGTTCTCAATAGTGTAGATCTAACAAACATTCTTACTTTATCTCTTTTTATTCAAAACTGAATTACTATCTATATCTATACCTATAGTTATCTATATTTGTATATGAACGTGTATGTGAACGCATATATATATATATATATATGTATATATATATATATGTATGTATGTATGTATGTATGTATGTATGTATGTAAACGTGCGTATAGGTGGAGAATAGATAGATGGATCTAACACTTTTTCTTGCTATAAAAACATTAGAACCTGTTAGAAAACTACAAATATAATATACAAAAGAGAAAAAAGACAGTATGGCAAAGACAGACAGGAAGAGCGAATTAAAGGAGGAAAAGAAGCAGTAAAAGAAAAGAAAATTACAGAAATCTCAGACATGACAGGAAAGGTAGGTATAACTAACCCTCCACGTATCTTTAAAGAAAGAATTGAAAAAAAAAAAAATGAAAAATAAGAGAGAAAGAAAGAAGAAAGAAGTGTAGAAGTATCTAGTAATAGAGGGAAGAGAAAGATGCACGTATTATATTGCACGGGGGGAGACGAATCATTCTCTCTACCAATCATCTATCAACAAAACAAGAACAAATGCAAAAATATATTAAACACCAGAAGACAAGAGGGCAAAAGGGGAAATGATATAAGTATTTCATGCGTATTGTCTGTCTCTCTCCTTCTCTTCTTCAACTTCCTCCATTACAAAGAAACAAACAAAACAAAATAAAGAGAAAATAGCAGAGGTCAGCTGACCAACGAGAAATCTGTTGTTTTTTTTTTTATTGTTTTGCTGTTAATTTCTGTCCCCTATCTCCCCTTTTTTTTCTTTTCTTTCCTTTCCTTTCCTACTTTTTTTTTTTCTCCGTTCATCCGTCAAACTCCGAAAAAATGCTTGGAAATAAAATAAACAAAAAATAAAAATAAACAAGAACAAAAAAACAAGAACATTCTGCTTAACACAAATTAGAAGAATAAATAGAATTGTATCCTTTTTCATTGGTCCAAAAAAAAAAAAGAGAATTACCCACTGCCTTAATATTATAATTAGCTGACTTTGGATTTTTGTTTCATTTTTATTTCATATCGTTTACTACTACTAGCCATCTTAAAGATTCCACTGTGTGTTTGTAAAGTCTGATCGAGCTTTGCATTGTATCTCTTTTATACATCATAATGTCCTTCTAATAGATTTCATACCCTTTCTTGCATCTACTCCACCATCTTCAACACCGCTTTTCTCCGTCTCTTTAAGTCTCTTCCCGCCTCTTCCCCTTCATTCACCTTCTCCTATATATATGTCACAAATATCATTGTTACCATCATTACTGCTCTACAGTTAAGATGAAGTATTGTATGTACATGATAGATAGACAAATCAGAATAAGGGTGCACTTACAGATTATAACTTAAAGATATATATAAAGATATACATACACATACATACATACATACATACATACATACATACATATATATATAATAATGAGTAAACAGAAGGGAAAAAAGAAAAAAGATAAAACGTAGGAATAGATGCAAATGCAGAAAAAAAAAACTATTTATTTTAACAATTCTTCTAAAATGCGGTTCACTGTCTCGTTATCTGATGGGTCAAGCGACTTAATACCTAATCGTCTTAACACTTCTACAATTTTATCCTTCTCAAATCCTTGAGATATAAACTCCTCAACAACTTCGGAATCTATCCCATACAATTCTGCCTCGTCAACATCTCTATCTTTATTTCCACCATCATTATCCTCACCATTGCCATTACCATTACCATCAATATCCTTATCACTATCACTAGCATACAATTTGGTCCATAATTTGGCAGTCTTATTAAATGATTCTCTGTCCTTTAAATAATGACGAGCAACCTCTGCGTCTTGTGGATCGTTGGGTTCAGGTGACTGTAAAAGTGCTTGCAATGAAATCAAAGCAGATTTCAATGTTATTACTGGAGACCATGCGTCCTTCAATATATCCAAACAGATCGCACCCGTCACAGACGATATATTTGGATGATAGACCTTCGTATCAAATTGCATCTTTGGCGCCTTGAATGGATACTCCATCGGAACTTCAATGTCTACAATAAATTTACCATCTTCATACGGTGTGCCCGGTGGGCCTAGAAACGTACCTTTTAAATGATGGATATCGGACTCATTGACAAAATATAACTCAATGTTCGCAGCTGGGTCGTCCTTGACTGCTTGTAATTCTTTCATGATTCTTTTACCTCTAGACATTCTTGATACTTTATTCTGTTTTATAACTTTTTATAATGTTTTACTCTGCTTGGTGCTTGTTTCTATCAAATAACAATAAAATAATTGTATGTGATTCTCTCCCTTTTTATTTTGCCTTATAATCGCTTTTATATGTTCATTCAACACTGTTCGAATTGATTATTTACTTTCTCCTTCCTCTTCTTCTTATGATTATTATTATTATTGTACTTATCTCTTTTCCTTCACCTTTGCCACACATCAATATAATATCAAAACAGAAATAAAAAAAAAATAAATAAATAAAACAATTATTTGAAAAATTCATTTTTGACCTTTTTTTCTTTTTCCTTTTTCTTTCCTTCCCCCATCTATTATTTTCATGTCTTTTGATTTTTGCTATATTTGAAAAATTGGAATTCTCATCATCATTATTAAAGCATGTGTATACCCATCCATATACACCTATATATATATATATCCATACATACATATATCCCTTTGCAAGTATCCTTATAGACGTATATACTTGAATGCATAGTCACTTTTATTTATGGAATTTCTTTTCTTTTTTTCTTATGACTTATGTCTCTGTTAATTCACCTTCCTTGTTGTCATTATTCTGTTCAAAAACATCGCCTTCCCCATCCTCATAATCATCTTCTTGATCTAAATCTTTGAATACAGATTCTTTTGGTATACGTTTCATGATTTCTGGTTTGTCAAAAATAGGTCCTATCTTTGATATCCATCTTTGTCTCTTATCTAATAACGCTTTCAAACTTGAGTTCGCAGCTTTCTGTTGAGCCAACTGGGATGCAGATATATTACTAGTGTAATTGCCAGAACCACCGTTACCACCATCACCCCCGTGTAAATGGCCATTACCACCACTCGTCGACGCTGAACTGTGGTGTCTCTTCTTTTTCTTTGGTGCTCTGATTCTCTTCACATATGCTTGATCTATCTGTTTATCTAAATCATCAAGAATGGATAAGTATTCTTGCCATGCTAATGCCCTTTCCAACAAAGGCTTCAATATTTCTTTTCTTCTTTGATTACGCCTTGTCACGCTCTTTAGTGTAGATTGTAATTCTCTAAGTTCTGCTGAGATCTCATCATCTTCTCTACCCGTAATCCAATCTGGATCCTCATTGTTAGGACTATTTTCATCCTTTGGTAAATTCATATATATACCAACATATTTCAATTCTCTTTTCAATCTTTCTTCAAATGTTGGATAATCTAAATTAATACTATTAATATTCCAATCAGATGTATTTGGTAAAGTATTCGTAGTGCCCCCACCCAATGGGATCTCCTTCATTACAATAGGTGAATATTGATTATTTTTAGACAACAAATTGGAATGTAGTTCATCCTTAATACTAATAGCAGGTGAAGTCTGCATGCTCGAAGACAAATCTTCCCCATCCTGTGATTGAGTCGGTGTGTTTATATCGTCTGCAAACTCAGTCTTTACTGTCGATTCATTGTTCTCTTCTCCTCTAATCTCAGAGTCCCTTTCATCTCGTAAAATTGCAGATAATAATCTCGACAATAGAGGACCACATGAGATTTCTTCACTTTCTAACATGCTATCGTTCAGACTTGATGCACTTTTCTTTGGTAAGATACTGGTTAAGTCTTCTGAAGGTGCAGTTAGTAGATTTCCTGCAGTTTTGGAATCCTCCTTTAACCAAACTTTCGTGTAAAGTGGTCCTAATTTAGGGATTACAAAAGGTGTGACATTGGGGTCATAATTTTTATCTATTTGTATGTTAGAGGGAATAACATACTTACTCTCTAAAAATTTGATGTCCTCATCATTAAGTGGTCTCAAAAAATTATCAACAAATGCTAAGAATGTGTTATATTGGATTTGATTAGATGGCTTGGGGCAGGAAAAATCTTTATCTGGTATAACCCCTGGTAAGTACTCTTTTAGATCGTTTGTTGGATAACTAGCCACATTGTATTTCTTCTTTAAATATTCTTCACCTGTGCTTTCCAATCCTTCCTCGGTGTAAAGACCAAGATCTTTAGCCGCCTTTGGCAATGTTTGAGAAACAACAAATTCTGATTTAGGATTCTTTAACCTTGTATCACGTTCAATTGAATACGGCGTTGAAACACTAGATTCCAGTGTACCAACATCTATTGACGAATGTTTTTCATTTTCCAAAGAAATATTATCATTAGAAGTGATATCAGTGGTTGAAGGTGTTTGTATGTCTTTGTTATTGTTGGATGATGGTAATGTTAACAATTCTGATCGTATAGTAGTAGCAATAGTAGTAACGGTAGAAGAAGACGAAAAAGAAGAAGTAGCTTTTGAGTTAGCATTATAATCCTTTAATTTAATCTTCTTTGTATCCGGTCCATCAAGTTGAGTAGAACCATGTGATATATCTGCAAATTCATCTGGTAGATCCCTTTTATTATCATTTTCGACTTTATTTGAAACATTATCTATAGGTGAGACTCTTTGCGATAATCTATTATTTTGACCTTGTGATATTAAAATACTCTCCTTTACATTATCATTTGGGGTACTAGAATCCGTATTAACTTCTACAGATTTGGAAGAATCAAGAGGACTATTTTGTTTATTTGGTAAGTTTTCTTTTTGTTCTGAAATCTCATCTTTGACAGATTTATTCTCTATATCTAATGATTGCTGTACAGTTGGCGATTTTTTATTTTCACCATTTTCTTGTAATGTAGAAGTCATCATATCGTCTGTTATATTTTTCAGTAATTCTAGTTTCTTCTGCTGTTCTATTTTGTTTTGTAAATTAGAATCCCTTTTGTTACTCTCTCCCTTTCCTGTGATTTTATTTAAAGCTATATTTCTAATTTGGACCTGTCGTATTGCTTCCATTGTATCGTTATCCTCTTTAGTTATCTGAGTTAACAGATCATTCAATGCAGTTAGTCTGTCCTTCAAATTTATCAAAGTTTGTTTATTATCAGGTAGTGTCTTAACATTGGCTCCCTTTAACATTCCAGTATCTTTATCGAATGACAAATTTAATATAGATAATATAGAAGAAAGTATACTAGTAGGACTATTCAAATTTGTTACAGTAAAATCAGAAGGTTTAGTGGTATTATTCTCATTATTACTGCTGCCATTTTCACTATTTGTATCATTATTAACTGCACTTCTGTTATTATTTTTGCTATTAGTACCATTGCTACTGAGTTTTTTCTTATTTGGACTTGTACTTCTACGGGATGATGGCATAGAAGAATTTGATGTGGAAGCAGAATGTCTGTCCATAGACAGGGACATCATTTTAGCTTTAGGACCCTTTGGTAATTTCCCCCTTCTATTTTGTCTCGGCATAATTAAACTCGGGATCTTATACTAACTTGAATATTTATATTTAAAAATACAGGTTTGACAGTTCTACCAATAACCCAATTGAATGAATGACCCACAATTTATGAGATCACTTGTCCTTACTTAACTAGATTGACTAATTCTCTAAAGTGACAAATATATTATTTTATAAATAGTGATAATAGATAAAAAATATTATATTATATGTATGTAATATAATTTATTGGTTTTTTTTTTACTACTTATATTACTTAATATTGTTTTTTTTTCACTTATCCAGGTAACTTTTTGGTATAATTTTAATAATCTTGCAAAATGGTATGAAGATACCTAATTAACAATTAAACAAGGTATATATATATATATATCTGTGTGTGTGTGTGTGTGTGTGTGTGTGTGTGTGTGTGTGTGTGTGTGTGTGTATGCTTATCACAAAACGATAAGACAAAATAATTAAAATCAAATAGTAAATAGATTGACAGTCTAGATTTCCCTTATTTTTTTTTTACGTAACTACTTGCATACATTGACCATGTCATCTGTAAAAAAAAAGTCTAAATTGTTTATTCCACTTGTTTTTTTTTTTCGTTCTTCGCAATATTTTTTTATTTATTGATCTTTTTCTTTTTTTTATTTTCATCAACAGAAAGAGGAAAAAAAAATAGAACGTCAAAATAAAGTGTCCCTGCAAGTTTCGAACAGCAGAAGAAAAAAAATAAAAACAACAAAAAAAAAGCGCTAGTACGATTCGAACCGGGAAATGTTTTGTTGACACATATATAGAGTTTTGAAGATTTTTCATTAATTGGGGAACAGAAGTTGAGGATTTGGATTGTTGAAGGGGAGAGAAAAGAATGAGAAAGATCAAAAGTTGATAAATACAATCACCATTTTTGCAGTGGATATAGTCTTGTAACAATATTTATACAAATAAGGTCCCAGAGGAGCATAAAAAGAAAAAAATAGATCACTTGATTTTTTACTATTGTCGATAGAGATAAGAACTAGATCGGATCAATAAAAATGTTATCAACAGTGAGAAGTGGTTTCCAAATTTATTCTCGCGTGATTTTTCAATCAAGATCTGGTGTCAGTTTGATGTGTCGTAATAATAGTACCACTACTAATAACTCTATTTCTTCCAATTTATTCTTATCACCAAGCCAATGGAAGGGATTGCCACCGCAGATTATTATTCAGTTGCATGAAGAAAGAAAGTTCAAACTGGGTCCAAATTACCAACCAAATGTAGATGAATTAGATGCATTATACACCACTGGTGATTTTACGGGCAAATCTAAAGCTGAAATTAAACAAATATATCAATCACATTGGTTTCGAAATTTGTCAAAGAATGGTAAAAATAGAAAAAGACAAGTTAAAGTGAAAAAACATAGTGTCAATGAGTTAAAATATGGGTTAAGACCATTCCAGTTCGATGATTTACCTACTCCTGTACAAGATGAATTGGAAACTAAAGGTGAAGAGAGATTTTATCGTAGGATTGCAGCTTATGAACTTCCATTGTTAGTCAAGTACAGACAAGAATATAAGCCGGTGGACACAAAGGAGAATCCAATAACTTATAGATACACGACTTATTTAGGTGAAGAACATCCAAATTCTAAGAAAGTGGTGTTAAGTTGTCAAACCAGTCAATTGGGTCTCAATGAAAAACAGTTACACAAGTTTAGACTGCTAGCGAGAACAAGATACAATTATGAAACTGATGAATTTAAAATGTCTAGTGAAAGATTTAATGAACCACTACAAAATGCGCGCTATTTACATGATATCTTACAGAAATTAGTCAATGAAGCTAAAGATTTATCAAAGGAAACGTTCGAAGATATCCCATTAGATAAAAGACATGTTATGGCACAAAATTTACGTAAGAAGAAGGGTGTCAAATCTTTTAAATTCCCTGAAGAATGGAATAGACCACAAGATGCGCCAAAGAAGAAAGTTAACATTCTAAAGGAAATTTTCGAATGAAAATTAATAGGCATATATACATTTATACATACATATTTACTTATCTATTGTATTACATTTCTTGTAAATAATATAAATTCATTGATAAGACATGTATGAGAAAAAGATAATCGTTAAATTAAACAGTTTATATATATATATACATATATTTAATGAAATACCTTATTATGTTTACAATTATATATATTATATTATTTAGACAAAAAGGAAAATTGTTACATATTTAATTAATTAACGTTGTTTTTGTTTTTGTTTTTGTTTTTATTTTTTTTATTGTTATTAGATACATATACGGAATAACCGAATAGAATAAGGAAACATCATTAGATCATCATATATAGACTTTGCATCTGATAAGGTGCAAGGACAAAAATTGAAGAAAAGTATACATATCTAGAGAAAGATAATAAGAAAAAAAAAAAAGATAAAAAAAACACACTCACAAAAACTCTTTAGATTGTTTTTATTCATAAGATTTATCCTTCTTTTTATCCTTCTTCTTCTTCTTCTTCTTCTTTTCGCTGCTCATAGGATCATCTTCACGTTGTCTTTTAGAATCATCGATGGAAGAATCCTCTTGAGATGCAACAGAAAGATCAAAAGGGATTGGCACCGGAGCATGGCTTGGACCGTCCAATGAGGGTAAAATCCCATTCTTCTTATTCTCCAAATATTCGGATTTAGCCTTTTGATAGTTTTCCAATTCAACATTGTAAGCTTGTTTCCATTTTTCCTTCTCAGCATCACTTAGCTCTTTCCATTTCTTTGAAATCTCCTGGGTGATCTCAGTGGATGATAATGGTGGTAACCCAGCCTTAGCCCTAGCATCACGTAACTCTTGACGAACATAAGCAGAGTATGCAAAGAAGACAGTCAATGGTTTCTTAGGAGCATTTGGATCACGCTCCACTTTTTTTTTGGCTGGTTTGGTAGCGGGTACAGATGTAGACGAGACTATTTCTTTGTCATCTTCACTTGGATTGATTAATTCATTAGTGATGGAATGGAATTGGTTGGTAGCACCAGTTAAAGTTTGTAAAGATTCAGTTAAAGTAGTGAATGCATCAATTTTTTCTTCTTCGTCTTCGTCAATGTTGTTATAGAATTCAATGACAGAAGAAGCTGTTTGGTTAGCAGCTCTAGATAATTCGAATAATGAGGCTACCAAGGAGTCCTTAGCGGCCTTTAATTTTGTGGAGGCATCGACGCTAGTCATTTCTTTATTTGAAAAGCTAACTATATGTTATGATCTAGTCAGAGGGACAGTAGTGATTACGCAAAAGAAGGGAAAACAAAAAAAAGGACTGTTTTAGAAATGAACTACAATTACAGTTACTACCAATTGACAACAACCACAGAACTAACTAGCAAGCTAACAGACTAGCTAAGTAACTAACCAACAGTTTTGCTCAGTACTGCTACTGGCAGGTAGAAAAGAGTTCACCAGGTTTCTTTAACCTTCCTTCTAGCCCAGGGAAGAACAAAAAGTGGCTTCTAGGCAGAGCACAGTTGTCTACAACTGTTTGGAAAGAAGAAAGAAGAAAAAGGAAAACTTTGTCTTGCCAACGGGGCAAAACTACGACGACGACGACAAGAAAGAAAAAACAAAAAAAAAAAGGAAAATAATTGGGTTTTTCCCCGATACATCCGTACACCACATATGTGACGTATAATGTGACAGTAGTATTTTTTGTTTAGGGTTTGTCCAGGGTTTGCTTAGGGCTTGTCATGTATTTTCTTTTTATCTTCTTTGTAGATTCTTCTAGATTAACTCTCATGAATAGCCTGACCTTCTAGCTGTGTACCATTTGTACGTACATACGTTTGCATTAAAATGACTACATATTAGAAAGCTGGTATAAGTCTTGTTCTTTTACAAATAGAGTCTACTTAATCCACCACCATTTTCTCTCTGTATATTATGCTAATACGAGACGATTGAATATCTTTTGTATAGATAATCGGTCCATATATATTCGGTAAGTTTAATTACTAGCAATCTTGTTATTTTGGTGTAACGAAGCCGCATATATATATATATATATTTACTTATTTAATAATTAATAGAATATAAATAGTAAAATTAGTAGAAACAAACAGATAAGAAAAAAAATGCAAAGTGAGTAAAAAAAAATCAAAAAAATAAAAAAAGACAAAGACATTAAAATATCATCCACACTGCACCACCTAATAGAACTGCCAATATGATTGCTGTAATTATAGCAGCCCCCGCTCTATCCCCACCTGTAATATTTAATTTGTTCTGTAAAACATTTGTCGTTGTTGTGTTCAGACCTGCATTGGCATCTCCTACTGATGAACCACCGGTATATTGTGTGTACAATGCAGGTCTATCATGGATTAATAAACTCTGTATCGCTTCCAAAGCACACATCTGTTCACCAAGACCATAAACACCATCCCATGCCTTCTTTTGCCAATCTAAACCACACGTATGCCCATCAGTACCACCAGAACATGATAATGCAGCAGCTTCTGCAGTAGTCTTCATCAATGCATCGATGGTGGGTGCAGTCTCAGGCACTAACATACTTGTAAATGATAACATTCTGGAAAAGATACTCTTGAATGATCTTTGATCATTGTTGCAGTTCCCACTATTCTGGCATGCACTCTCATACATAATACCATCCTCGAAGAAATATTTTACTGCACCTGCTAACAATTTATTTACACGGTTTTCCCATACTGTAGATCCATTTGTGGCATTGTACATAAAGGCCGCACCACCGAGGACAACTCCATGGTTATATGACCATTCTATGGTCGTAATATCTGTACAATTGCCTTCAATCGAGGCACCATCATAAACATTACCATTATCTTGGCCATCAAGAACCACAAAACCCACAGATGTTAACCAATCAAAGACGGTTGAAGCCACTTCTAAATATGTGGTATTGGTAGTATATCTGCCCAACCTTGCAGCTAACTGGAACAGACATCCATTAGAGATAGTGTTTTTATAATTGTAACCGGAATTCCACGTGAAAATTTGCCATCTCAACCCACCACCACAATGTGTTTTGTCCCAACGAGCCCACATCGTATTAAACACAGCTTGACTTAACGCTAACCAGCCTGGCACGCCTTCTTTATCTGGTGCTGTGAAATTCCTTTCCACTGCATCTATAATAGTAAGTCCCCAAATACATTGATCATCATTCCCTTCCACCATGGTCTGGTTCAATGGCATATAGTCATAATCTGGCCCAGTTTGAGCTATAAAAGCATCCATTAAGATCGATTTATAAGTATCATTTTGACAAAGAAACCAATTCTCCAACATTCCACCAAAGGCTTCACCTGCTTCCCACCAATAGTAAGGTGGTTGGAACATCCCTACAGTACCACCGTACCTAGTCCCCAAATAATAATCCATCATACCTTGTTGGATCAAGGCTGTAGCGTTGCAAATAGAAGCTTTGTCTGTAACATTTAAAATGATGGCCTGATTTACATGAAATAACGAAAGAAATAATATTAGAAACGCTGACAATGATGAATACATGGAATTTACATTCATTAACATATAGAGATGTGTATGTGTATGTTTATGTTTATATGGGTTTAGGTAATGTATTTCAATTTACAGTTATTCAGATATGTATTAAAAGTTATCAATAATGATAATAGTGATGATGGTAATAATGATAGATATCGACAAAGGATGTTTGATGATATATAAAAATATTTCTTGTTTCACAAGGTTCTGATATAATTATTTTATTTATCCCTCCATAGTTCTATAAATAAATATCTATTTTTTTTTTTTAGAGAATTTGAATTATGTACAAAAAAAAAAATCTGTTGAAAAATGACATAACAGGGTTATCCCTGACAGTGAAAGATACATAAAAAGAGGCTTTTCATTGATCGTATTGTACGTTGTGTGTTCATCATAGGAGCATCCTCTATCTATATAGTTGCCACAATGTCGCTAACAACAATCACAAATGTAATCTGATATATATATATATATATACACTGGCATCTCCATTTATAGTGTGTCGTGATGGTAGAGTATGTAATTTTATTCTCTCTCTTCTTCTTTTGTTTTTTTCTGTTTTTTTCTGTTTTTTTCTATTTTTATCTTTTTAACTCTCTTTTTAATTATTTTTATGTTATCTACTTGTTTGTTTATTTTGATTAATCCCCCATTCCTTTGCAGTTAAACAATACTTCTCTGGCGGTAATCTAACACCCCATGACCCCATTACTTGTGGTAATGGCTTCTTATTTCTTTCACTTGCCAACTTTAACAATAACTCCTTTGGTGCAGTGGGTTTAAATTGGTACTGCGTTCTAGATGCAATGGCTAGCCGTATGTCTTCTATAGTTAATTGGTCTGGTGCCAGATTAGAACTGCTGTTACTTGTATTAGTCGAAGTTGTATTGGATGTATTAGTGTTAGAAGTTGTTATTGTTGTTGTAGCAGTGGCGGTAACAGTGCTTGTGGTTGCAGTTGTGGCAGAATTGCTATTAGTATTACTACTATTTGTTTTAGAATCAGCATTTGCGTCAGTAGTGTTGGAAGTAGTAGTGGCAGCAGTAGCAGTATCTCTGCCGTCAGTATTTCCAGAGGCATTATTATCAGCAGCAATACTACTCTTCTTATTGCTATCTATATTTGATTCTTTATTACTAGTAGTATTCACAGGAGTATTATCCTCTACTAAATTATTCATTTTGTATTCATTGTATATCATAGCATCTTTTAATACACCTTTAGTGTACCTGTAAGCAAAATCCATTAATTGCAAGGGCACTTTTTCTTCATATTGATGAATAGCTTGGGATGCCAACAAAAGATGTAGAAGACGAACATCACGTGGTGTATCAATATCCATGGATGTATCCACATCCATATCCTTATTCATAGATTGCTCTGATGTGGTCATTATATTTGAATGTGAATGGTATTAAACACTTAAGCAGATTTCGTGATGTAGTTTGGTTTTTTCTAAATTTCCTCAATCTCCCTAACCTCTAGTATGTCAGTGAATAGACAAATAAGCACCTAGCCGTTTACGACGGTCGCTACTATCGAACTAAAAATGACTGCATGTTTTCTACTCATCCATCATCTTTTCTTTAAACCAATTTTACAATCTTCTTATTTCTTTTTTTTTTTTTTTATTTCTTTTCCATCTTTTTTCAATTTTAATCAGAAAAAGGGAAAACAAACAAAAACTCCATCAAAAACACTTAGGGCTACAGAACTTTTTCAATACAGCCCTAAAAATACACTGTAGGTCATTAAAAGAAAAAGCGGAAAAATTATATATGAAATAAATTCGTATGGAATGACCGATTTGGCAAAATTATTTCTTTTTTTCTCATTTAACAACGATTTTTTTCTTTTCTTTTCTTTGGAAGAAAAAGAACAAAAAAGAAAAAAAAATCCAAAAGTTCTCGGAGGCAAAAAAAAAAACTTGTTAATTAAGGCTTTTGAACTAAAGGAGTAAGACACAATTAAAAAGCAAGATAATTTACTAATTTACTTCAAAGACACACATATATATATATATATATGTATATGTATATGTATATGTATATATATATGTATATGTATATGTATGGACAGTTTTATCCTTTTATCATAAATAACGGTCAACTTGTTTAATTAAGGGAAAGCAAAATATAGCAAAACACAAACAAAACAAAAAGCATAACAAAATAAAAAATGTCTGACTGGGATTCTCATACAATTATTGGTCAAAAAGTTAGAACTGGTGGTGGTGGTCCAAGAGTACAAGTTGCCAGAACTGCCGGTCAAATCAATGCTGCCAAAAGACAAGGTTTGGTTCTATCGGTAGATAAGAAATACGGTACAGCCAACTCCAAAGGTGACCCAGAAGGTCAAAGATTGACCCGTGTGGATCGTGAAACTGATATTGTTAAGCCAAAGAAATTGGATGCTAATGTCGGTAAAACCATTGCCCGTGTAAGAACCGAGAAGAAAATGTCTCAAAAGGAACTGGCTACCAAGATCAATGAAAAACCAACCGTGATTAACGATTATGAATCTGCTAGAGCTATTCCAAACCAACAAGTGTTGGCTAAATTGGAAAGAGCCTTGGGTGTTAAACTAAGAGGTAAAAATATTGGTGAACCATTATTCAAGAAGAAATAAATCCCCTTTTGCATAGGTAGGTAATGTTATATCTATCGTAGTTTTAATCAAAACAATTTTATGTTTCTTTCTTTTTTTTATTTTTCACACTTATATATGTTATATATACCTTTTTGGTTTACTTTAACGTTGTCGTAATATTGTCATGGTTTTTTAAACGATTTCTTTTAATATAATCCACACACACATATATATATTTATATGTGTGTATATAGTCGTTATTTTTTTTTATTTTTTTTTTTTTTTACTTGTTTATTTTTACTTTACATTATTATTATAGTTCGAGAAGAACCTACTTTCAAATGCCATCAATGCAAACCAATCATTGGCATCAAATAAGAACGTCTTGCCAATATATTTTACCTCAACATACCTTTTTGTGTAGTAGATGTACTATTTGTTTCATTTAATATGAGGTTTACTATATGGCCACGTGAGAGATGAGAAAATGGGTGTGAGGTATGGGTTTGTTGGATTTAGACCATCTGTTTTCCTCGAAGGCTTCTTCTTTCTGAAAGTTTCATTTTGGATGGAAAATTTTCTTTTCGAAACAACATCAGAGGTTATGGATGTTAGACTGGATATTCAAAGAAGAGGAGAGAAGATAGGTTGTCTTAAACATTTGTTACTGGATAGTTGAATTTATTTTGTTAGTCTTTTTTTTATTTTTTCTTTTTTTTAGGTCTGGGTACTTCCCTATTACTTTTCCATCTGATTGCCTCCCCATCTCACTGCTCATCCCTCACTGAACTAATTGATTCATAAAACCAAAACAATGTCTCTTCTACCATTTAAAACAGACTACTTAGAAAATGAAGTCTTTTCCATTTCAGGCAAAGCCTTGAAGTTGACTACAAAGGAGGATATTCAACCAATTTTAGAGGATCTATTGAAATTGGATAAAGTCACTAAAATTGATGTCTCTGGTAACACAATCAGTACTGAAGCTTCTTTAGCTCTAGCTGAATGTATAAAAAATAATGAAAAAATATATAAAAATGTAGTCGAGGTTGATTTTGCTGATTTATACACTTCAAGGTTGGTAGACGAAGTTGTAAAATCTTTAGAATATTTATTGCCTGCATTTTTAAAGTGTCATAACTTGAAAATTGTCAATTTGTCTGATAATGCATTTGGTTTAAGAACTATTGATTCTTTAGAAAATTATATTGCCAATGCTGTTCATTTGGAACATTTAATTCTGTCCAATAATGGTATGGGTCCATTTGCTGGTGAAAGAATAGGTAAAGCTCTTTTCAAGCTGGCACAAAATAAAAAACAAGAAAAGTTACCATTATTGAAAACTTTCATCTGTGGTAGAAATAGATTGGAGAATGGATCTTCCCTATACTTGGCTTTAGGATTAAAGAGTCATGGTAAAGAATTACAAACTATTAAATTGTACCAAAATGGTATTAGACCAATCGGTATTATGACACTTATTGAATATGGGTTCAAATACTGTCAAAATTTAGAAATTTTGGATTTACAAGATAACACTTTCACCATCGTAGCGTCCTTGAAATTAGCTGAATATTTACCAATATGGAAGGATACCCTTGTTGAATTGAATTTGAATGATTGTTTATTAAAACCTAAGGGTTCTAACTCTATCTTAAAAGTACTAAATTCTCATGTCTTCCAAAGTTTAAACAAATTGAAATTGGAATATAACGAAATCGAACAAGAATCTGTTGAGAATTACTTGTTGAAGGCTCTTGAAGATGAAAAGTTACCTTCTTTGAAAAAATTGGAATTGAATGGTAATAGACTAGACGAAGATTCTGAAGCTGTTGATCTTTTACAAGGTATGTTTGAAGATATAGAATTAGATGATTTGGAAGAAGTTGACAGTGAAGATGAGGAAGAGGAACGTGAAGACGAAGATGAAAATGAAAAATTCGAAGAAATTGATATTGAATCCTTGGAAAAAGAATTATCTGAATTGTCAGTAGATCAATTATCCCAGGAATTGTCTAACACTAAGATTTGAATAGACTTGAAAGTGCAAATAAATATCTATTTGCAAAGGAAAAATAAAAAATGGTGCAGATAAAGCATACAGACTTATTTAAATGAATGTGTGAAGACTAAGGTATACATGTTAATGCTTTTTGTGGTATTAACCCAAGATATGTATATATATATATTACAAATAACTACAGAAAGGTATAGATTTAAATGTATGCACGCATATATATGTAAGTACGCGGAACTATTTGCATGATTCATATATAAAATTATACTTATTTCATAATAAGTACATTTTTATTACATTCGTCATTTTTTTATCTAAAGATTATTTTTCCTCGCTAATATTTCCATCATCTTCAAAATGATTATCCTCCATCTTAGTTAAATGTTTAGATAATTTCCCATGCATTTTGAACATACTAATTTTATCACCGAAGATCGGCCGTAATTTATCATCACATATAATCTCTTTCTTATTATCTGGGTCTTGCAAATTATGTTCTTTAATATATGACCAGATATCTTTCACTACCTGTGTTCTAGGTCTAGGTTGATCTCCAATTATGTGCTTCAATTCATCACTCAATCCTAAATCTTCCCAACAGATACCACGTTTCTTAGTTCCATCTTCTCTAACAGCAATATCATTTGTACTTGATCCTTTCTTCTTTCGTTTCTTCGACTTATTTGATTTAGTAACTTTTCTGTCACTTGATTTATGTTTACCATTGCTTGTATTTTTATTTATTCTTAATACTTTGTCCTTACTAGAAACCTCATGTCTCAATTGTTCTATCTCTTTATGTATATTTTCCCATTCATGTAACGGTATTAGAACTTTGGGATGATCTGTAAGTTCATTGAATCTGTTGATAACTAATTTATTTAATTCTTTCCTCCTTGAATTCAAATCAATCCCATATAATGCCTCAAGGCACTTTCTGATCTTTTTAGGACTTACCTCATCAGGGTTTGATGTCGTGATCAATGCATCGATATTTTCTAAAAACTTGTTTATATTGATGTCCATCTTAAAAGTATAGCTAACGTATTATAATAAAAACTATTAGAAAAGGGACTGGATTTGGTGTGGTGGATAAAATCTTTCTCACTGGTAGTAATATCTCCAACTGTTAAATATCTGTGTTCGTATATCGCTAACGTCAAAATAGATACGTTAAATACTACTAATGATTTTCTGTTAATTGACCACTTTTGCTAGTGAATAAATTTTTCAAGTATGTATATATGTATTTTTTGAACTTCCAAAATATAACAATTTTGATTGACAGATAATAAGAATATGCATCCTTACGTTAAAAAACATATATTGAGCTCTATGGAATGTTTTTACATGTTAATAAAAAGATGATATGTTAAAAATATATAAACTACGGATACCAAACACCAATAGAATAAAGTCAAATCCGTAAATGTGATGACATAGTAATTAGATTGTCATAATGTTGCTTCTAATGTACATAGCAGTGCTTTATAGCATATACACATACACACATGTATATATATATATATACAATTTCACTGTACGGTATACTTTTACATATCTGTGGAAAATAAAGTAAAGGAGTAGGAAATGATAAATTAAATATATAGTGATTGTATTAAACTGGTTACTATTGAAGCTGTACAAACACAATGTAGGTAATGACAAAAAATTTTATTCTGTCCACAATATCCTTATCAACAATATCATAGAATGTGAAGGTTAGTTTTTGATCTTTTCTTTCATTTTCTTTTTATACACCTTCAATTGCTGTTTCATATAAGATGGAATAAATAAAAAAAAGTTAAATCATGTTCAAATTTTATTATTCCTTAGGTTCTTCTTTTGCTGTCTTTCATTCTTTCTAATTAAACGCTTTCTTTCTTGTCTACTTAAAGTTCTTGGATCTATAAGTTCATTCGCAGTACCCTTAACATCATCATCTACTTCTACTAACCATTGGTCATCAAGTTTCTTATTGATACCCTTGTATCCCCATTTGTTAACCCATTCACCAGTGGCTTCATCAAAGACTTTTTTACCTTCTTTGACTTTAGATTTAATACCCTTCTTAGCTGCAAATTTTTCCCATTTAGTTGGTTGTCTTGGCTTAGGTAGGGGTTTTTCTCTTGGTAATTCAGTCACTGGGTCAGGTAATTGTAATAGAGTCATAGAGGATGATGCAGAGTCTGTAGTAGTTTTGATCGGTAGAGATAGTAACTGATTGATAAGTAACTGAACATTGTCACGAGATAATTCTTTAATTATTTCTTCACGATTGATATTCGAAGTATCTAAGGCGTCTTTATCCAACACATTGGTGTCAAAAACGGCCAAATTACCTAAATCATAAGTAACTGGAATGGGCTTTTCAACAGTAACCGGTAATGTTTTGTAATCTTTATCAGTGGACATAGTAGAAATTGTCAATAAACTATTTTAAACAGTCGTAATTGGAAAATATAAATATATGTATATTACGCTTTATGAAATCGTCTTCAATAATATGATTCATTTAACTATGCTTAAGTTAAATAGCTCTCAAAAACACTTCTTGAGATAAGATGCATCGCCAATGTACTATGTCTCACAGTCTTTTTAAGCCAAAACTAAAAGAAGGAAAAAGAAGCTCATCGCAAACTGAAATTAAAAAAAAATTTTCAGTCATTATATACGATTAGATCATCTTGAAAATTATGTAGGCAATAAATTAGTAAAATAATCCTATAATTATTTATTATACCGCATTCAATTAAACTACTTCAGATTATCATACATATTCATATAAATACTGTCAAGTGATCTTTAGAGTTCAAATAATCTTCGCAATGGTCTTGATACACTGGTATCACATGGAAATTGCCAATTGTCTCTAACTAACTTCTTGACATAATGTCTAGAAGCCGAATATTGCTGCAGAATATCTGCATGTAAGACAGATGTATTACTAGCTGTTGATTGTATATCTTTTTGTAAATATGAATGCCCACCACTCATAATTTCAAAAAAATTCATCATTAACTTGTTATAGTTTAATATAATTAATTCTATTAATTGATAAACCAAGCGGATAAAGACTGGTAAGTCTCTTTCAATTTTATTCTGTAATTGTTCGTAATGCTTGCCAATAACATGTCTTTTCACATCGTATACATTGGTTTTTTTCTCTTTAAGATAGATAATGTAATCTTTTTTTAACGTCTTCAAATCTTTCAAATTATGTCGAATTTGGGAACTGGCCTTTAATAGTTTATTCAATGGGATCATTATGCCAACTTCAAAATCTGTCAATTTTAATATTGTTATCTTTTTTTTTATTTTTTTTAATTCTTCTAGGTATTCAGGCGATATAGGAAGAAATAATCTGTTATTTTCTTGATTATTTACTAAAAGTATGTTATTATCAAAAAAAGTTTCACATCTTTCGATATCAATCCATTTCTGAAGATTGTTAATGTTGCGGTCTATTAAAGAAAAAAAATTCATCTTACAAAATAAAATTCGTAATTTATTTATATTGTTGAATATATTTTTAAATATGACAATATTCTCTGGTAAGGTCATTTTGTTCAAAAAGTTAATGTTATTATATTCTGTATTATAGTTGGGATTTTCTATAGGATTGAGGAGACCCTTGCTTTGTTCTAAAGAGTTAGAGTAACAACACGATGTATTGGAAAAATTATTCATGGAATGAGTGTCCTTATTACAATCATTACTATTTTGAATATCTTGATAAGCATTATGATAACTTTCAATAATTTCCATAGGAGTTAAACTATAGTCATAATTCTTGTTATTCATCCCATTGTACTCAGATATTTCATTTTCTATATGACAAACAAATTCTTTATAGTTATGCAATGACTGATTAAGCGTTTTTATTAAATTATCAGACAGTAGTGAACCAATGCTACCAATTTGGAGAAGATCGGATAAAATGTTAATCCATTCGTGTACCCTTTGCATTGGTCTTCTTAATATTATTTCTAAATGAGTGAACTGACATCTTGTCAAACAGTACTCTATCCATTTTTGAAATAAAGTTGGATATTTTTCTTGTAATTGTTTATACAGATAAATCTGTTTTCTTTCTGTTACAAAATAATTCAAATATGTTGTCTTTATTCTATGAAGATGTTGTTCAAATAGATTTCCAATATCAAAAGTATCATACATTCTTTTTAATGAATCACCATCCTCGAGTAACTTATCCCAAAAATTGACATCTATTTCATTTTGTATATTATCCCCAAGTAAGAGTTTATTAAAAGATGCTACAAATATTTTGCTAATAGAAGCGATTGTATCAATATTACCAAACAATAATACTTCATCTGATGAATTGGGGTCAAAGAGCTTCTTTTTAAATTTTGGATGAGTATGCAGGGCTTTTCTGTAGACACACGTTGCCATTTGCATTGTTTCAATATATTCAATTTCAGACTCGTATAACTTTCTTATTATTTGATAAAATGTCATTTCATCGCTTTCGTCACTAACAGATTCATGAAGTGATGAGTAACTTTCTAAAATTTCTGTTTTACTTGCTCTATTTAATTCCTTGGTCATTTCTGAGCTACTTGACGATATCGTTTCATCACAACCATTGATATTTAATATAGGTGTTGTTTTCTTATTTTGTGGTAGAGAAGTCCGATTAATTTTACTTAAATCTAAACTAAAAGGTTTTTTGTTTGATATATTATTTATTTGATAATGACGATTGGAATCTCTATTGCGATGTGATTGCGAGTAAACCCTTTGAAAGGTGGGTAGTTTATTGTCGTTGCAATGGAAATAATCATTTTCATAATCTCTAATTGGGGTCAGGGTATTGCTTAAAGGAATATTAAGTGCTTCGAATAAATTAGAAGTTTTAAACATCAGGATATAAAGAAGAAAAAAATGGAAGAAGTTTCTATTAGATTTTTTAAATAAGCATTTTGTTGTCTTAAACTCTGTCTGGAAATTATCAAAAACTAGTGAAATATCAAGTCATCTTACAAACATAAAACCTAATTGCAAAAAAGAAAAATATTTTAGAGAAATAAGTACAATGATGTTTTGTTTAGTACTCATTAGATTGGAAAATGCTGATACATGCTGAATATATAGTTTTAGAAGTTGATCTTTGCTTTATATTTTTTTTTGTATATAGATTACTTTTAATGGTCACCATAATCTTTTGGCAGCTTTGGTTTCTATTTTGTTTTTACTTTGTTTTTTTTCTAATAAAAATGAAACATTTAAAACAATCCGGAATCGTATGTAACAGATTTGTATTATGTGAGATGGGGCATGAAAGAAATATGTTCATTTTTTGTTTCATATTCTATCCTATAGAGAAATCTGAAAAGACTTTACATAAAGATATAAAGTATACGTTACAATTCAATTCGAGAATATTCCAAGCCACCTCTTCCAATAAATTCTGAGATAATCTTGAAACGATCCTTCTGCCCCTCTGAAGTGTTCAATATGGTTTCTAATAATTCTATATCTTGTGTGGTATTTGTTTGTTCTTCTAATATCTTATTAGATGATGCTAATTCTAAGATACATTTAGGGCATTTATATGACATACCATCAGATGCAGAGTCATCTTCCTCATTCAGACACCTCTTGTGGAAAATATGACCACATTTGAAATATAAAAGGGGTAGTTCTAAAGGTAATTCACACATATAACATTTTTGATCCTTAATACTTATTTCTATGGGTCTATCTATATTTAGTAACTTGTCCAATCTTGATTTTTTTTCATTTAATTCATTTTGATAAGATTCGACTAATTTCGTATTATTCTCAATTACTACCTCTTGTTTTTCAAAAAAATTTATCAATAAATCTTGTATAAGGTTAAATTTAATCACATCAGTGTCTGACAAAATTTCAATAATTTCTGTTAAAGATAGTATGTTACCTTCTAAAATTGGGTTGAGCAACTTTTCTTTAAGTACTTCTTCGCCACCAATTGTATGAAGAATCTCTTCATTAGAAGTGAAATATTTAAGTGCAATAGGGAATAGTTGTGATTCTTTTTCAATATGAGACACGAAGTAGTCCCAACATTTTAAAGGCTTCTCAGTTAGTATCATTGTGTTAAAAATCTCCAAAATATGAATTTTTTCATTCTCACCACTATTGATATGGACGTCATTCATGTGAGAAATTAACAACATTAAAGAATTATCCACTTCATCATTTGAATCAAGATCATTTTGTTTCTTCAAAGAATCACTTTGTTTTAAAATATTTTCTGCTTTTAATTTCCAATCAGCATGTCTAGATTCTTCATCATTTTTACTTAAATAATAGTAGAGATCATATAATGTTATCAAAATTTCCTGTAAATCTTGTTTGAAACCTTCGAATTGTTGATACGTTTCTAAGCATGCTTCCAGAAATACTACAAATTGGAATGGTTTGTCAATGAATGAACTAAATATTAAACTTGGTTTTGGAGGATGATATGTAGTCTCCGTGTTGTTTCTATTGGAAAGTTTATCGTCAACTGCTTTGATAAATTGATTAGTTGATTTACTTTCTAGTGAAATACCATTATTATTATTATTATTGTTGTTGTTGTTGTTGTTGTTATTCATATAAGATAAAAATGTTTTATAATTATAAAATATTTTCTTCACATCTGATTCTTTTCTTGTTAAGGTGACTGTTTCATTCTTGCTAACTTTTGGTTTATAATTCCCTGTGAATATTTCAATTAATAATAAATTTGTATCATTAGGTAAAAAGGATAATAATTGTCTTGAAAATTGACACATGATTCTAAGTGTATCGTCGATAGGTAAAGTTTTGATAAAATTTAATGCAGATTGAGGTTCCTTTAAGTCTTCTAGCAAGATAGACACAGTCATGATAGGGTCTTTAGAAAATTTCTGAGCCATTTCATATGCTTCAACCAATAAATTACATTCACGTAGCAATTCAATAACTAAGTCCAAATCAAAGAGATCGTTACTAGAATAGAAAAATTCTTCATTTGAAATATCATTTTGTATAATCTCTTTTGAATATTCACCAGATCGACTAAAATGTTGAATAAAGTTATTTAGTTGTTCGATATTGTTTAATTTAATCAAAATGATTAAAAGTAATGTAATCTGATCGGCAGTTGTTTTATTATTTTCCAATAATGACCATAAAAATATTGACAGAAGATAATTTATGTCATTTTTATCGTTGTTACTATTATTAATATTATTGTTATTATTAGTACTATTAGTGGTAGTAGTAGCAGGTGAACTTTCCAAAGAAGAGAACTTTGTTAAAGTTTCATTGATATTAATAACTGGCAAACATAGAGTATATTCCTTTATTGATTCGAGGTACTGACCTTGTTCAAATAAGTACTTGGCGTATTTTTCATGGATATGGTATAAGTTATTACGACTTTCCATATAATTCTCATTAGCATCGGTATTGTTATGAATATGATTTAGCATAAATTCGATAGCGAGTGGGAAATCATTTTTTGATAATATTACATCAATAATTTGAGTAAAAGATTTCTTTGCAATCTGGTATAGTATACCACTAGCGGAAAGCAAGTAAAAAGCATAATCAGTGTCACTGTGATTATTAGTGTTGTGCACCATTGAACTACCGAGATAGTCTAATATCGGTTCTTGGATTAGACTGTTAAAGGATACGATATGGTTTTTGATATCCAAAATGATAAATCTATGTATCGTTTTGTAGCTGTCACTATTAATGCAAGGATATTCTTCTACTATTAACAAGATGTAGTCTATGTCAAGTGAGGAGATCATATTTATTTTAATGAATGTGTCATTTTCAGTGTTGTTTTGGAGAAATGGCGGCAGTTTGATAATTTCTCTTTCATGATTCAGTCTATAAGATACTAGATTAGAATTATCCTTGTCGATTATCCAAAATTTCGAGTCTCTTGGATCCCAAGCCACTGTGTTTAAATTCAGAGATAAATTGTCGGCCAATACAATGTTTGGTTGACCATTATTGTCGCCCCTCGTGGAGAATAACAAGACTTGTGTCAAAGTGGATGTTAAGAGAAGCCATTCGTTCGTTGATGGGTCCTTGATCAAATTTATCGACAGGATAGATTCTCCAGAGAAGATTTTTCTTTGCCTGGAGCCCTTGTCGTGTGCGATATCGCCTCGTATGAGTATTATGTCACCGTTTAAATAACCTAGAGCAATTATAGACAGATCGGGTATTATATCGAACGACGAGATGGGACTGTTATCTCTTTGTGAGGGCACTATGATCTCCGAGTGGAAAGAAGGTGGGGTTGATTTTGTGTGATGGATCAGTTTATTTAATTTATAGAATCGAATTAATGTAGGTCGGTTGGATGATATGGATTTGGAAGTCAAAACAAACATAACCCAGTGGATATTATTAGTTGTATTATTTTTATTTTTAGTGGTTGTGTTAGAGGAAAGAGGGTTTCTGTTGTTGTTGTTATCTATGATACGGATATGGGAGATGATATAATTTTGTTCATTTTGATCCATTAAATTGAAGATAGACAACCTAAGTAAATTTTTTAAATCTATTATTTGTACGGTAGCATGATTTGATGTGGCCATGATAAGGTAAGAATTATTATCTGTGCCATTATTATAATCTGGTGCAATAGAAATAGCAGATAGATTTGGATCTGAATATAAAGGCTGGTCGTTACCTAGGAGAGGATCTTTAATGGGGAGAGAGTGATAAAACTGGAATTGTTTCCAAGCAATGGACATTTTTTTTTTCTTCTTTCTAGACGAAGATGGGATTGTTTGTGTTACTATTATCAAATATGTATGACGTTTGTTAGCAAAAAGTGTTTATTTATCTATGTATCTATCTATGCTTCTCTCTATTCAATAATACATATGCTTGTAATTCTCTTAATTCGACCTTATTCTTATTATATTATTTATCATTACTGCCACGTATAAGAAAAGAGAAAAAGGAAGAGGAAAACGAATAGAGAAAAAAAATAACTTCATATAGGGTTAAGTATTTTTATGTACCCATTTTCCTTAAGGCCTTTTCTAAGCACATGAGGGTTTCAACTTTTTTCTTTTTCCATTGCACTTTTGAACAAAATGGTGTTCTTTTTTTTTTTTTTATAACCGATAACCCATACACCTTCCTTGCCAAGACTGGTTTTATTTTTGTTTCATCGCCAACAAAATAAAATAAAAAGAAGTTGGAGAGAAACGTTGAGTTCTTCCCCCTCCCCTACTTTAATCCAATAAAAGAAGATATTTTAAAAGAAAAGAAAAAAAAAAAAAAAAGAACAATTGAAAACAACCTATTTTATATTTTTCTTTTGTCCATTCTTTGAATGGAAAGATAATAAGAAAGAAAAATTGTTGAGAAAAAGCTAAAAGGTTAAAAAGCTAACAGCTAAAAGAAAAGGCAAAAATTTTGCAGCGCTGGTTGCAGATACAAGGATAATATATGGGGGAGAGAGAGAGGTTATTTTTTGTTTCTTTTCTTTTCTTTGATAATGAGATCGCACGAGAACAGCGACTGTGTCTTCTCTATTCCCAGTTGTGAAACATAGGAGGGGAAAACCCAACAAGACCCTCATCTTCTCGCACATTCTTGTGTCAACAGCACACTGCAACACACCCATCGCCCCCTCCCCTTTTTTTGCTGTTTTCTGTTTTCTTGTTTTTTTGATAACGCACACGTTTTCTTGAATACACTCAACCCTAACTTTGTCGGGGATTTTTTTGCCAGAAAAACACAGGGAATAGATAGTCAAAGCTCTACAGGAACTGTGCTTTTTCCCTTTATTGTTGTTACTATTGTTATTGATGTTGTTGATGTTTTTTTGTTTTTTTGTTTTTTTGTTGGGCTCAAGAAATGGCGGGCTGGAAAAACAAAGATAATAAGAATATTTTATTCTGCTACAACTGTCAATTAATACTACTACTACAACTACTATCACTACTACTATTACCACTACTATTACCACTGCTATTATTTTGTTTTGTTTTGTATTTTGTTCTTTGTTTTGTCTTTTTGTTTTTAATATCATCACATCGGTGTGCACATATACACATAAAGATGTATACATCTTATTCTCATGTACATATGTAACCAAATCTGTATGTTTGTATATATGTGTGTCTGTGTGCCTGTATAGGAGAATGGAGATGCAGGGACACTCTAAGTATATATGGTGGTTGTTTTTTCCCATTATGTTGTACAGAACTTCGGATGTTTATCTGAATTGTTGCCTGTCCATTTCCTCCTTCTGCTTTTAGATATTGTCTTGGTCTCACGATAACTAGTTTCTTGACTAATCCTCAATAATATACATTTACACAAAATAATATATATATATATACTTATTCATTTATCTATAAACATATATATTCGTACTGGCTTCCATTTCTAAGATCTTATAGAGGAAAACTTATTCTGCATTCCTACCCATAACCACAAACAAACATATACAACATCACACCAATATTATAAACTCAAAAATGAAATTCTCTGCTGCTTCTGTCTCTGCTGCCGCCGCTTTATTTGCTTCTGTTGCCTCTGCTATGACTAACGAACAAGTTCAAGAAATTAATGCCATCGTAGACGACATTAAGTCTCATCAAGCTGAATATATCGCTTTGGAAATGAATCCTCCAGCAGGTTTCACTTTACCTCCTGCTTTAATTCAATTATATGCCCAAGTTTTAACTTATACTGATGATTCTTACACTACTTTATTCACTACTTTGGATTTTAGTGCCATCGAAAATACTATCACACACTTCTCTTGGTACTCTGATAGATTATTACCAGCTTTAGAATCTGTAAGAAAGGAATACAGTGCCGAATCTGCTTCTATTTCTGCCTCTGCTTCTTCTGTTTCTTCTGCTTCTTCATCTTCTGTTGCCTCCTCTTCCTCTTCTTCTGCTTCCTCCTCTTCCTCTCACTCTGCAGCTTCCTCCTCTTCCTCTTCTTCTTCTGCTTCCTCCTCTTCCTCTCGTTCTGCAGCTTCTTCCTCTTCCTCTCACTCTGCAGCTTCTTCCTCTCACTCTGCAGCTTCTTCCTCTTCCTCTCACCCTGCCAATGGTGCTGAAAAGGTCTTTATTGGTATGGGTGCTGGTGTTGCTGCTGTCGCTGCTTTATTATTATAAGTCAGCTTGGACACTCCGCATGTTGCTGTTGAATCATACTATATTATTACCTTTGTTTTAAGAATCTATCTATCTATATGTATTTATGTATGTATGAATGAATGAATATTGGGAATTATATTCGTTATTAAATAGATTTTATTATTACAATTACTACTACTGCTACTATTATTATTACTGTTATTATTATTAAATAGATCACATTGATTCTCTCTTATAGACATATATGTAACCATTCTTTTGAATTTCATCTTCTGTGTCCACTTGAACCATCTTTTCATCATTATACAACACCCAGGGCTGGTCAATCGAATCACGGTGAAATTCTACATAGTGACCGGATTGTACAGAATTTCCCTTATGGCACACCACATCTAGCAAGTTATATTTAACATTATTCATCCCTTCGTGTCCACAATGCTCATCTTTTTGTTTTCTTATTGGTTCTGTTGTATCGCTTTTGATATCCGAATTCTCGACACCATCTGGATGGCTGAACACCCATTCAATACTACTACTAATATCACCTTTGTTTATCTTCAACGCTTTTAAACAGATTGAATGTTCAAACCCCATCTCTGTCATCTCTTTTGCTTTTTCCTCATACATACTGTCATGGTCACTGTTATTATTATTCTTATTTTTTATGACTAATGGGTCGTTGATATCAGGGTCTTCAATGTGTTCGAATAACCATTGCACTGCAACCTCACCATCAGGTAAATTTCCGGTATAATACAACGCTTTTCTACATGCATCTTTACTGAACCCCATTTCCATTAATTGGAGTAACACATTTTCACGGGGGATAAACTCGGATGTTGAATCTGTTTCTTCCTCCTCTGGTTCCTCTAAGATAGTTTCATTTGGATCATGTTTTGTAACATATGAGTTTAAAAAAATAGTTGAATCATATCGAATTGGATCACTTGTCTTCTTCACAGTCCAATTGGACCTATCAATTTGCATTCTCATTACATTCAGGACCAACAAGTCAGGTCCAGAACTCAGTGACAGTTGTTTAATACCTTTAACTGTTTCCTTACATGAAGGACAATCAAATTGAATGTCTTCTGCGTTAGCTTCAAAATAGTGGTTTAATTGTTCAGTCAGATTAATGTCTCTAACTGATGGATCTTCAGGCAATGACACTTGGATACTGTTACTTATCTGTTCTGTATACTTGACTTTCCCACATTTAATGCATTTTAATTTGTCAACAAGAATAAATTGAGTCATTTTGTTGACAGATTTGACTCGATCCATTATAAAGGTAAAAAATTCCATCGCATCTTGTTGTCTTTGAGATTCAAACTCCTTATTACCCTGAGATATGCACCTTTTGAAAGTAGTCGGTCTGATTCCATTTGGATACATTTCAGGTTCCAACACCATAGCTCTGTACAATTTAATCCATTGACAGCGCAAATTGGTCGAGGGATACATTATATCTCTTGGAAATTCAACACCACCATATTCCTTTATCAAAGATTGGGCCCATTCTCTATCATGGAATAACAATTGAAGCACAGAATTCATGTAACAAGAATTACCTAAGTTTTGTAAACCCAACCCATATTTACTGCCATGAGGTAAAAGAATCAAGTCTTTTCCTTGAGAATCAGTCATACGGAAATCCCATTGAAGATTTTGCTCCACTTGTAGTTCTGTCAAAGTTTTTTCTTTGGCTTGATCAATATTAGATAGGTCGATGTGGTATAAATTCAAAAGGATATCATGTAATTGATTATTATCGGGGAATCTGACATCTTCATCACAGGAATAGCAATACACATCATTTGTAGTGGCACTTAAAGATCCCAATTTAACAGCAAGTGAGTGCGTCCTATTGTCTTCGTAGTGAGCTAATGCATGAGAATGGCCTTCAATACCAACCTGTTTCCTGCCACAACCAACGTTACCACAATGTAAGCATAGCCACAAATTTTGGGTCAGAGAACAGTCTTCACATTGAACCTCATTTAAGATGTTGATTTGCAAAGTTTGATTCATTAAAGAGGGTTCAAACTTTCTAATATGATCACAGCTGTTCATAGTGAGTTCCCATGAATGAGTCTGATCCATGGTCGTTTGAGATTTTGCACTCAAGATACGGTTAATAAAACTAGGTTTTTCATTTGGATCATCAGAAGACAACACCACATTATACAAACCCATCTCATCTTCGTTAGTACCCATTGGATCATATTTAATCACGTTCCAAAGAGTCGTAAATGTGTCATTTTTGCTAGCTTCATGAACCACTAATTTCAATTTCTTGTTTGCTTGCGTGGATGGTTGAGTTGCTAGTTCTTTCTCTTGCTTCCATATTTGTAAATATGTATCATGTTGGGAATCTTGGCAAATAAAGGCAGCCTGTCTATGTAGAGTGACATGACGGGGGCATACGGTTTGAAAACATTTTAAACAAACATTTAAAGAATGTGTTTTTGGCGTATCATTCAATCTGTTCAGACAGGTTTCAAAACAGTAAATACATTCATCTTTTGAGATAACAGTTGGAATATCACCGAGTGTAGAGACAATATCATCCATTTTTCTTTCCTTTAAAATATATAAATTTTCTAAGTGTTTGATAATTTTATTTATATGTACACTATGAGTATAAACTTATAGGTGTGTATTTTTCACACTTACAAGCAGTTCTTATTTAAAAACTTCTCTAATGAACTAATTAGTTGAGAATATTATACTTAATCATCTTTATATCTACACAGTAAGGCTTAATTCTTTTATATTTACTTCCTCCTAAGAATCAAAGAACGAAAAAAATGGGGACAGAAAGAAATGAAAAAGAAATAAGGAACAGAATTAGAACTATATAAAATTAAAGAGCATATGTGATAGGATAGATTATATATATGTCTATAGGAGTATATATGTGTGTATGGACTGATGGGTAAGTGTTAGTAGGTGTTTGAACGTGAAATACAGTAATGATATTTATTATAGGAAGCAGTATTTAATAACACCAAACAAACTCAAACTAAATATAGAAAGAAAGAACAAATGTAGGTAGAAAGCATCATCAGAAGTCATAACATAGAAGGGTAAATGGACATAGTACATCCAATATAGCTTACTAATCACACCATCTATCTTGTCTAATATTATATTTGGTTTTTTACCTGATTTCATCTTTAGTTCTTTGTTGGTTGGAACCCATTCCATAGAAGTAGTACCAGGTTTAATCATCATTTAGTAAATTTTTTTTAAAGAAGAAGAAGAAAAAAGAAAAAGAGTAAATTATTTATTTATTTTTGTATTAATTGATTATATTTGGGAATGATATGTATATTCTAGTACTTTATATCTTTGATCACATTCCATGAGATAACACCCTACTTTTTTCGAGAACCAATAGACAAAAATGAAGGTCTAAACGATTTGATTCCTTTGTTCTTGTGTTAATCTAGCAGCACGACTTACGTGAGAATATAGATATATAGATATCGATTAAGTAGGCTAGAGCTAGTACAGAACGCTGAAAATCATCTACCCCAAATAAAACATAACTCTTCAACTCATTAAGATTGACAGTAACAAGAAGCTGAGAACAGCTTTTTTTTTTATTCTTTCTTCGTGTGTTTCTAAAAAAGATTTTACAGAAAAAAGAAATAATAAAAATAAAAAACAAAAAGAAACACAAGAGATAAGAAAAACATTCTAATATTGCTCAAAAAATGATTAATCCAGGATTCTCTGTAAACGACAGTGATACTACACAGAGAGTGTGAAATATAATACAGTGATTTGCATTAAGTATATCTATTGAGTGTAGATATGTAAGGTCTTGTTTAATTGAAATTGCAATTGTCTTTTTATAGAGCATATGCATATGTATATTAGGTAAGGATATGAATAAATATGTATAAGTTACCTGATTCTATAAAGTTTAAATACAAAAAATGTCTCGAGACTACTTCTTGTTTCTATTTCCAATGTTTTATTCTAATGTATCTTAATTCATTTTATTTTATCTTTATGTATTCATAATGTATCTTGATGTCGGTGTCTAGATTATTCGTGTCAATTAGCTGAATATAATATCAATTCTTGTCATTCTTAAATAGTGAAAAAAATGATCTTCTTTTCGGGTTGACTCCATTAGAAAGGCTGCTGCTACTTCCAGTAGAATTACCTAAAAGTGAATCTCTATGTAATCTTTCGATGTCTAGAGATTGACGTACACTCGTAAGTTTACTTCTATTTTTGGCACGGTTTTCTCTATTTAAAATGTCGTGTGTAGCAACTGAGGATAATTGTTGATGATGGGCCTTGGAAAAATGATTTGTGTGGTGATGGGTTCTCCCAATAACTGAACTGCTGTTATTGGTACTTTGAGGGCTGCTACTTACTGTTATCTGGCTATTGTTGTTTTTGTTTTTGTTTTTATTTAGTGGACCATTGAATGACAAATTCAAACTTTGTGTTGAAAGGTTAATCTCTTGAAGCTCTAGGTCTAAAGAATATCTATGTTTTTTTGAATCAATGGAAAATTCTCCTCTATCTGTCCTCAATAAATTCGAGTTGCTACTGTTTACTCTCATCGATTTTCCTCTCCGTATACCTCCATCATTATTGATTTTTAATTTTTCAGACACCTTTTTAGAGTTATCCATTTGTTTGTTGTCTCTATCTACCAAATTTAAGTTTATGCTCTCCGAAGAAGCTATACTGTTATCTTCATTAACACTTTCAGTTGCGCCAATATTTATTGGATTGTCTAATACACCACTTATAAAACTACTCTCTTGAGATAGGTTTATCTCATCAAGACTAAATTGTAAAGGTCTTGAATTTTTATTGCTTGGCTTTGAATTATCAATGTGGGAAGTCACATTTTTATGGCTCTGATTTTTTTCATCTTTACCATTTATGGATAGTCCAAAGCTCTCCTTTACCACTGGTAAAATGTCAATTAAATTTTCCTTTGTTTGACTAACAGTATTTGTTTGCAATTTGCTTGGAGTTTCACTTAATGAACTATCTGAACTTGATGTATCTATTAATATAGAGCCTATATTACTTTTGGTCGGTTGAATGTTCTCATTGATACACGGAGATGAGCGATTAGTAACTATATTTTGGGTATATGGAAATGGGTTTGATGAGCTTTTTACATTGTTTTCTCTATTTAGAGGTAAAGACGGTGAAGTGACTTGAATAGATTTTGTAGGAGCGTTTATATTTGAGCCAATGAAAAATGATGATTGATGGTTTGTATAAGGTGTTGTTTGAGGGGATTCTAATTTGTGCGAATATTGTGTTACAATCGGTGGTGGGAATGGCATTTTGGTAGATTTTGTTGTTTGTGGTTTCTTAATTGTTTGGTTATATTGACTGTCAATGTTAATATTATTATTATTGTTATTGTTATTATTATTGTTATTATTATTGTTATTGTTATTGTTATTATTATGATGATGATGATTGTTATTACTATTATTTGTAATAGTAGGTATATTGGTTGGGAGAGTGCCTATGCTACTTCCCTTATTATCAAGTATATTTCCTTGATTTGTAGGCTTAGAAAATGACGCTGGTTGATCTGTGAAGTCAGGTGTTTGAATGGTTTCAACGTTATTTATTGGCAGCAAAGATACAGATGGTTGTTGACTAAAATTTATGGAGGCATTATGTGCCATTTGGTTGTTTCCTCTTTGCGCTGTTTGTTGTATATTAAATATATTATTATTTACTTTAGTAAAAGCATTAGCAGAAGTTGTAGGATTATCAGAATTGGCCTTGCCATCATTACTTTGAATTCTCCCTGCATTATACTTTTCTGTGACTATATTTGGGAACGGATTATTAGATTTATGTTGTTTTGAGTAATTTATTCTTTTTTCTTGAACTTTAAGCAATGTATTCTCAATAGAAGGATCTTCTATATTAATAGCATGTGCATATTTTCCTGGAGAATGATGTGAAGCACCATTAGCTTGCATTTTTGGAATAGCGGCTACATCAATGTTGCTGTTAGTTGTCGAGCTTATTTTTATCTCTCCAAAAGGATTTTGTGAGGATGCAGTAAAATTGTAGGTCTCATTTGGATATGTGTTATTGTTGCTATTCGAATTATGAGTTTGAATATTTATCTTATTTTCACTCATATTCTGTCCTTCATTTGAGGTAGTGGTTGTACTTGCACCTACGGTAGTACTTTTATTAGAATCAACTGTTAAGTTGTTGTTTCTTGAAGGTTTTTCCTCAGATGTTATAGATTTGGCTTGGGTCATGCTTAATTGTGTAGGCGCTTCCAAATTATTTTTTGCTTCTTGTATTCTAGGCATTACATCAAAATAGTCGAGGAACGGGTCATTAACAATTTTTGAATTAGCAAATGAGTTATCAACATTAATATTTGTTGCCTGAGCAAATAGTTGTTGTTGTAACATTTGTGATTTTTTTTGATAGCGTACAAAATTATCAAAGTCATATGGGCCAATCCCATATTTATCTGGAATAGGTACATCGACGTTTAGAATAGAACAGATACCATAGACAACTTGGTATATGTTAGGTCTCATATAGGGATTTTCACATAGCATAATCACTATTAAATTTATCAATTGCGGTGAATATTTGCACTTCGGAATATCGTATTTGGCATGCAAGATAGCAAATTGACCTGTATGTTCAAATGGAGTGGTGTAAAATAATAGTTTATAAAGAAATACTCCTAAGGCCCAAATATCAGATTTTTCATTTATGGGTAAGTACCTAAACAGATCAATCATTTCTGGGGATCTATACTGTGGAGTAGTGTGTTGATATATGTCTTGACCTAATATCGCTATATCTTGGTATGTAGTTGCCACTGGTGAACATTTAGTAGTAGACCCAAAATCACATAATTTAAAATTATTTTCTGAGTCTACCAAAACATTTTCTATTTTAATATCACGGTGTATTAAGGCTGGTTCCAGATAATGCAATTGGGAAATCCCAATAGATATGTCGTACATTATTTTTAAAATTTCCTGTTCAGTTAATTTAGTTGCTAACCGTTGATTAAGGTAAGTTAATAGGGATTCATTAGGACACAACTCCATTAATAACAGGACTTCGAATCCACCAACGCTACGATGATTTCTAGCAGCATTAGAATCATAGTATTGAACTATATTAGGTTTATTGCTTAATAATTTCATAACTTCCACCTCATTTCTCATTTCTTGTAATCCTCTTTCATCTTTTACTATAACTCTTTTCAAACATGCTAAGTCACCCGGTTTCAAATGTGGATTGTGTGTATTAGTATTGAACTCATTTAGCAATTCAACAAACTTCACTACATATATTTGAGCAAATCCACCTTCTGCAAGATATTTTACAATTTCAACTTTATGATAGCCAACAACGACTTGTAGTCCTGTTGAATATTTTTCCATATTTATATTTGAACTATTTTTAGAAATGGGATTATTAAAAGTAGCAGGCTTTGTGTTATCATTCAATGATGCCATGTTACTGATAATTTTTTTAGTTATTTTTCTGCTTCTAACTTTTTCCTTCTTAATTATCTTATACTATTTGTAATTGGAAAGAAAGTAATTACCCAAGCAGGGTCGTTTTTATAATATTGTACAATTGTTCTGCTTTAATAGAAGTATGACTCAGGTATACTTTGGAATATATAAGTAGCATAAACTGCCGAACTATAAATAAGTAATAAAGGAAGCCTAAGTGAAAAAAAAAAAAAATAAAAGAGAAGCGGTAATAATTATTTATAATATTATAAATTCAAAACCCGATTGATCTCTAGTGCTTAGGCAGTACAGATCAGTAATTGTTATGATGAACTCAATATATGATAAACACCCCTTTAAACGATTTGCTTGCCGAATTATTATTATTTCTAATGTTTTATTTTTAGATCTAACTGTTTCCGTTGAAAAAATCAACGGAAGAATCATTTGCCTCCTTTCGGGTTTTCAGATTACTAATTTCCATTAGTAAAAAACAATCTATGACAATTTGTATATACAGGTAATGGCAAATAGGGTATAGTTTTATTGGTAATAGAATATGAGCATGGCTTTTGCAAATCATTATTTGTAAAGATGGTCAACTAATGGATATCATTATTGGTTACAATTGGTTAAATATATAATTACATATGTGTATGTATACAAATGCATATATGTGCATGCGTGTTTGTTTAATATATATATATATACTTATATTTATATTTGTTTTGTGATAAATTCGAAAGAAAATGGTATGAGAGATAATGGTAAAAGACTTTTTGTCTTTTCCTATTTTATGTTAGAAAGAATAGTAGTTTTCAATTTCTGTAATTCTGAATATTTGTAAGGAACCCATACATATTCTATACCAGCATTGTTTTTGGATATATTTATCATGTTATGTTCAACAAATTCTCTCAACATAGACCTCAAAGAAATATCATTGGATGCAATAAATTCTTGAGCACAGAGTTGTGCAAGATGTTGGAATTCAAGACCTGAATTTGGTGAAGAACGTTTTGTGGACCGTATTTTATCTCCACTATACTCTGATTCTAACTTGGAAAGTTGAGTCTCAACAAGTAATTTAAATAATTTTTTGGAATTAATTGTTAGGGATTCTAAAACATATTTGGCACCTTCTGCACCAGCTGATGTTTCACTCTTACCTATTTTCATTACATCATAGAAGGAGGATTCAATAGAATATGGTTCATAGTTGGATACATTGTGGAAGATAAAATTGTAATTCTGTGCTTTTTTATCATCCCATAGGATTGGTGCATAGATATGGTCTGCGGAGGCAACAATGGCAATTTGTTTAATTGTAGCCAAAGAGCTCAACATGGTTTGAAAGGGGTCTTTTCTAACACTAGGACCATCGATGTTATGGATTACAAGAATCAACTTAATATCACTAGGTTGTGTTTTATAGAATTCAATCATTTTACTTACTTGTAAGGTAACATGATTCCCCCAATATTTGGTTTCATTTCTTGCTAATGCTTCTGGGAACAAAATATCGGTGATATCTTTAAATATATCTCTGTAACTACAAGTAGGATTGTATCCATTAATCACTATACAAGGAATGCCTGTTTGTTCACTATCTTTGTTATTAAGAGTTTTATCACTTCTCATGAACAATTGTATCTGTTTCAGCTTGGGAGACAAGTATTCAATAGCAAACTTTTCTAAAAATTCACGTTTTGAGCCAACACCGTAAAACAGTAAAGTAAAACCTTGAGTAATTTCAAACCAATATTGTGAAAACATTTTGAGGTGTAGTTCATATAATTTCTCTCTTTTGTTTTTTAAAAACATTTTATTGAATAGATTTGATATTAATCCAAATTCTTCTCTTGTAACCTCAGGGGCCATGGCCAAGGAATTAGTGGATTTTCCTTTTGCTCTACTAGGTTTTTTTTGATCCAAATAACCTTCAAATGTATCCAAAAAATCATTGGCTTTGGTAACCAGTTGTCTTGGTTTATAATCAGACTGTGGAAGTGGAGCTGGAACAAAATCTTTATTTAATTTTAGAGAAAAGGTCCTATTGTAATCTTTATATTGTTGTAAATTATCTAAGATCATTTTTTTCAAAGGTGATACAAAGTTGAAATCTTTTGAAGCAGTGTATTCATTTATTTTAGGTTTCTTCCTAGGAGTCATTGGTTCAATCGTATTATGTTCAATCTTATATTTTCTGGGACGACCTCTTTTAAGTTTTGGTTTCTCCACATTATTATCGATTTTCGATTTCTTTTCATTAGTCTTTTTTGGCTTAATTATACTTTTCTTGTTCGAATCTTCTTCTACTTCTACTTCAGGTATAAATTCCTGTTCTGATGATGATGATGATGATGATGATGATTCATCTTCACTACTATTATCGAGCTCTAACCTTCTCGTTGATCTAGTTACAATTCTTCTATGAGATGTTAGTGGTAAAATGTTATCTGTTGACAATTCCAGTTTAATAATTTTACTCTCTTTAGTCTTTTTCTCGGTTAGTTTTAAAGATTCTTTTTTTTTGTTGTTTGACTTTTCTTTTACTTTTAATTTTTCTTTCACTTTTGATTTCACTTCAGGTGGTTTCGTATTCTTTCTAGGTCTTCCCGGTCCCCTTTTTGTTTTCGGGGTATCGGCAACTGTTGATTTACTGTTTGATGTGGTTTTTTTCGGATTCTTCGCTTTCTTAGTCGTTGCAGATTTCTTGTACTTCTTAGTAACTGGACGTTGTTCATTTGTGGGACTATCTGCCTCTTGAGACGCAGACTTTAGAACAGAGAGTAAAGATCTTGGGGGCGTGGTTATAGTAGATAGTTCCACTCTTTCTAGAGAATTTTTTTTCGAAGGTGAAGAATGTCTACTGTTGCGGGTGTTTAATGAACGGTACTTACCCGGGGAAATGCTCCGACTCTTGGATAGAGAAGACAATATATCTATATGTGCGATGATATCATCATCATTGAATGTTTCTTTTTTATCGGAAACCATCGTAACTTTTTGATCTCAATACGAGAGCAAATAGGAAAGTGTGAAGTATATAAAAATTAATAGCAAATCAATCTTGATGATTTTCTTTTTTTAGAAGTTATAATTACACTTGAAATATTAAGATAATTGATGAGTAATGATTTTTTTTTTTAATGTAGTTTGTACTTTTCTTTGAGATTATAGTTATTTTGAGAGTGAATAAAATAAACACAAAATATTAAAAAAAAAATTTCAAGTTTGAAAAAAAAAAAAATGTTATCAAAAAAAAAGGGCGATATTATTTTTTTTTTCTTTTCTTCTCTTAATTATGGAGTTTCTTCCGTATTTCCATAAAAGGAAAGTGGAGAATTTTTCACGATGTTTTTCCTTTTTATTTTCGTTTTTTTTTTTTTTTCAAAGGACAAAAAACCGAAAAATCAGAAAATAAACAAATAAACAATGACTTTTTAATTTTAATAACAATATCATATATGTAGATTTGAATAAATAAATAAATAAATAAAACGACCTAAAATTAACCAATATATTTACAGTTAATGGTATTATTCAGTATTTGTATTCAATTTCATTCAAGCATGTTTAAAATATTTCACCACCTTCTCTTCTATCATACAACACTTTATCCCATTTAAAACTTGGCGAAAGGCATTTCTTTTTCTTATCATAATTCTTGCTAATGGGATAATTATCTATAATTTTATTGCTATTGAATAATATGTCATTTATTGAAAAAAAATACTGAAGTCTAGCATGCATCGAATTATCTTCAGGAACAAGTAAAGTAGACATAGAACAGCCTTGTTTTTCATATACCCAGCCAATATGATAATCTTTAAGACTTCTCTTTTTATCTTTGCGATTGTTTGCAAACTTCTTGTTTGCACCGGAAAAGATAAACTATTGAATTTTTTATGTTTCTTACTTAAGTTTGGTTCTAATTGAGATATACTCTATTCCTACATGACGTAACTAAATCTTGTATTGAATGGATTTGAGCCTTGTCAGGTTAATTATATTCTTTTCTTCCAATTTTTATTCATGATAAGATATATGAAGTAAAAGCCATATTATATATTATATGTTGAATATATCTACGTTAAGTTGTAAAGATTTTATTTCTTTAAAGTTAACTCTTTGTATATGTTGATCATGTTTCATAATTATTTTAAATTGTATATCCTTATCCTTTTTTTTTATTTTCGTATATGCTTTTTGGAAAAGAAAAGTTTTATTTGTTTTAAACTCCGCTTTGTTTTGCCAAAAAGGGTAAAGATCTTACATAGAACTTCGCACAGAAATCCAAAATGATGTATTTTAAAATTTATGATTTAACGTTTGTTTGGTAAAAATAATTGCTTCTTAAGGACTATTACTTAAAATATAGGTGAATATACAATTTAAAATATTAACCATCGATTATTTGTGCTATTTTAATGTTTTTTTTTTTGCTTTCCTAAAGTGATGTCAAATTGGTCGTTTTTTTGTTAGTATGCAAAATTATTAAGTAACATTTCTTTGGGTTCATTTTGAGGAACTAATTTTGCAGTACAACCCTCATATGCAGTATCCCACATATTCATGTTTAATGCCTTGACTAATATGACTGAATTTTTTTTTTTTTTGACAATTGTATGTAGATTTATATATGTATATATGTATGTGATGATATTATACTGCTCTTGTTAACTTCCCACTTCTTTTTAACTCTAAAGCTTTCTTATATGGTGGATTTGTTGGAAGTTGTACAGGGTCTAATGACTGACGAGGCTCCTTTGAGTTATCGCCAGGCTCATCATGATATGTAGCATCGGAGTCAATGCTGTCTAGACCCCCACATAACATAAATGGTGCTACTGTACGGTCTTCCTCGTGCCACTCTATTAACTTATCCTCTATAGTCAATTTGGATACACTTCTGAAACAATTTTGGAAGAACTCTTCAATAGATTGATTCATGTCCAGTTTTGGTTCCCAATTGGCAGGCGGATTGTATCCTAGGCATACAATAAATGCTTCTAAAGAAGTACCTCTCGAAGATCTTGGTTTTGCACATATTACACGGTCAAATAAATATCCTAATTGAGAGTATAACATATCGATATCTCTGCCGCGAAAAATCTTAGCCACGAAAGTACCTTGTGGTTTTAATATACAGGTGGTTAACTGCAATGCACTCATGATTAATTGTTGTTGTACATACTCATCCAAATCATGGAGACCAGTGACATCTGGGGCACCATCTGAACAAACAAAATCTGCCTTTTCGTTGCCAAATAATTCTAGTATACGTGTTAAGGTTTTTGGATGAGTGATATCTGCTTGTAAAGTAGTCACGTTTTTAATGGGTGACATTGGTTGTAGGTCCACAGCAATGATTTTTTTATTCGGGTTATTGTTATTATTTTCTTCAAACATCACCCGAGATAAAACCTGGGACCATGAACCAGGAGCAGCACATAAATCCACAACCCTTTCTAAATTATCCAAAAAATGAAATTCCTCATTCAGTTGTAATAATTTAAATGCAGATCTGGCTCTATAACCTAATTCTTTAGCTTTTCTATAATATAAATCTCTTTTGTCTTTACTACTTTTCCCCATTATGTTAAAAATAAATAAGTGTAGTAAAATATTACACTTGTTAAATATTTATAAAGATGTCTGAGAGATTGTAGAACTTCCTTCAGCTGTATCAGTGAGAAGTTGTGTAAAAATGTAGTTAAGTTATCAACATTCTTTAAATAAAAACAAGATCGAGAAGTCCTCTGAGTGTGATGCACTATCGTTATTATTTCTTTATTTTTTCTTTGTTCTTTCTTTTTTTTTCCAAACAAAAAAAAAATAGAAGAAAAAACTTCGTAATATAAAATCAATGAAAAACCACTCTCATTATTCAGTACCTACCAGATATAGACGCATATATCAAATACACACGTGTATATATTATCATTTGAGGATACTTACTATTTTAATAAGCATGAATAGGACATGAGAAAGATGGATCAACTATACATGCCCCAATCTTCTTCTAGTTCAGCTTTAGATAAATCAATGTTGTCGAATGTCTTTTGATTGACGACATCTCGACATAACGGACATGTAGCATGTTTGGATAACCATAAAGAAATGCATTGTACATCAAAATAGTGATGGCAATGTGGTAATTCCGCCACTAACGGGTATTCATCATCACCAAATTTCTCATAGCATATAGGACACGACTCCTTCAATGGGATTTCGCTTCGAGGTACTCTTGGTAATGAATCAATAAACTCTTGCGAACACCCTTTGACCTTGTTGGAATCTCCACCATTTAACCATTCTTCTTGCAACTCTGGCGACACAATCATGGATGCAAACAACTCCAATAAATAACTGTTAGATTGGGGGTCTCTAAGAGTATCAAACAATGCTTGGAATTGTGTTCTCATATTTCTTCTGTCAGTAGACTCCATATTATTACTGCCGACATTGGTATCGTGTTCATCTGTATAAATGTTGTGTTAGTAATAGGTTGTAAAAAGAAAAACAATTGTACGGCTATTTCCAGCCATTTTTAACCAATATATACCATCATATGTTGACATGACTAAGATAACTTATTTGAGTGCGATAAACCCACACCTTCCCTTTTAGTTCTCTATTCTTTGCATTTATCCTAAAAAATATTCTATTTCGTCTAGTTGTTGCCTCCCTCTACGTTATCATTTATAGTTTCATTCTTTTATGTGTCTCTATCAAAAAAAAAAAATAAAATAAAATAAAATAAAAGAATGCCACGTGACCTAGAATATGTTTCAAAACACAATCCTTTTTGACTAAGAAGAGTTCAGCTATAATGCAAAGGATGTTGTTACTCTTCTAGTTTCTTTCCTCTTTTTCTTTTTTTTATTCTTTTTTCCTTCTATATCATCAGTCAGTTCATTGGAATTATTCTTCCTCTTCCTATGAGACTGTTCAAGTAATTTTAAATCTGATGTCACCGTATTTCGTAGAATTATACTCAGTTTTATATATTCTTTCGTATTGTTTCCAAATGTATTCTGTGTAAAATTGTCTTTTACCCATGGCACAACATATAGGTTGAAATAGTCAACTTTCAGTATACCTCTTTGTACTATATTCCCAGATTTATCAGTTCCTGATATAATATCACCATTTGAAACTAATACATTAACAAATTTTTGTGCTAGTTCTAGGCTTTTAAAATTTATTGAACCACAAGTGGCCTTATGATTTATTATCATAGATAGTGGATGGTCATCTTTCCATTTAGAGTTATTTAATAGTTGCGATATTCTATCAGCTATCTTCCACTCAGCTAAAGATGGGTATATATTATAGATGAAGAATCTTGTTGTCTGAATTTTGCTTTCTTCAAGGGATTCGTTTAAAGGTAATCTTTCTAATAAATGTTGGATATTGACATTTGCAAATTTATTCAAATCAATCTTTGATAATTGTTGCAAGGAAGCCTTTGATTTATTAGTTGTCAATTTAGACATTTCTCTTTGCAAAGACTCCTTCATTTCTTGCATTAAAATATCCAACTGTGTTTTATCGTTGGTCATCATCGCAGCACTACCAATTTTCTTATTACCCTTTTTCAATGCAAGAAACCGTTTCATCATCTCATTTGTTGCTTCTTTGGTGGTGATGTTATAGCCCTTAATTAAAGATAACAACTGATCTCGTTCTTCAATAGAAATATGCCACAACATGTCTAGCATGCAACATTGACAAACATTTCTTTGTTTGGCACATGTGGAACATATAATAGTTTTGATTATTGTATTTGATCTTTTATCTCTTTTGAAATGGAATAGGTCAAATGCTAAATTACATAACCTACACTCTGCACCGTCTGGGACTTTAATCATTCTAATGTCTTCCTCTGGTCCGAGACATTCGTCACATATAATAGGACTAGCTGACATAGTGTTAATGGACTTTTTTGTCTATTTTTATGGATTGACTTTCTTGCAGAGAAAAAGATTAAGGTTTATTCGAGTTTTTGCCAACTTGTACGCTAAAGAACGATTAGAGTATCTTCATTTATTGTGCCTCTTCTAATCTTTCAAAAATCTTTCTAAAAATTGTTCGGGAAGCCAGAAAATTCAAACGCAACTTTAATACAAAAATGAAAATGAAAATGAAAATTGAACATTGCCTTAAGATCTTTTCGAAATTATCTGCAGAATACATAAAAAACACTTTAAGAATAAATAGAAGATTATCATTACACGTTATATAAATATCTTGTATAAGATCAGCCTAAAAATGGTTCTATAAATAGGTCATGCGGTAGAAAATGATTATATGAATAGTTAAAAAGAAAGAAAGAAAGAAAGAAAAAAGTTCATTTTCTTCTTCTTCTTTGTTGTTTTTTCAAATGAGTTCTATAATGTTGTAGACAATTATCATGTCTGGAAAACCTCTGATTACAACCTTCGTATGGACAGGTATAGTTTCTTTCCCCTGTATGAATTCTATTGTGTCTTGATAGATGACCAGATGTAGTGAACGCCATTGAGCATGTTTTACAACGGAATTTCCTTTGTCTTGTTGATGGAATGGGCACAGCCAAAGGCATGTTTTTTTGTGTTGGTGCTGTTGTAGATGACACTGTAGTAGCTGACTGTATCCGTTGATGTGATGAAGAATTCAAAGGAGTAGTAGGATAATTTATATTACAAAGTTTCAAGATCACTGGACCATTTTCAGCAGTTACTACTTCTTTATTTATGTAATTTATCTTGCGTCTTCTGAAAAGAGGAATTTTGCTTGCTATAGTGATTACCTCTGGTGATTTCATTTCACAAGGTTCTGGTGGTGGGGTTAGTGTGTTAGATCTGATTGTTGTGGACGACATTGAAAAAATTTTTGGAGATCTTGGAGGCGATGGTAAATACGATTGTGTACAACCTGGATCAGTAATAACATTATTTGTAGTTGGTTTTATATATTGAGGGTGAGAAGTTGGTAACTGTGTCGTATTAGTGAAAGTGATCGTAGAGGTGGTAGCAGCAATGTTAAAATCAGTCCTCCTTGTATTAGAGAACAAATCTCTATCTAATTTTGATATTAAATCTCTTTCTATTCTGTGCGTGTTATTAGGGCATAAAGGTAGAAGTGTGTTAAATTTTGTGAAAGGAGTTGGAATATTTATAAGTAATTGGGAAGACATTGTTTTTTTTATCAGTATGGTAAATAATTAGTAACACAAAAATAGTATTTAGCCCTTATTTGATTGATTCAAGGGTATATGTAAAGTAAATTTGCAGTAAACAGAATGGATATTTATAGAGATTGAAATATTTTAGTATTTTACCCTTCCTATGTGTGTAGCTGATTATAGTATATGTATGTATGTATAGATATACATGTGTTTGTATTTATATATATTGGTTTGAAGTGTAAGAGATAAGAGTTCCTATTAACCCTGTATACTATTAATAAAGAATTACACGATCGTAAAGTTAACTTTGATGAATTCTACAAGCAAAGTGCCACATCAATATGAATTATAAGAATCCATCTTGTTGTTTTATAAAATATCCTTGAGGACGTACTGTTGTTACAAACGAACTATTTCTTACGTTTTTACTATTTCATTATTGTGAAAGAAGAAACATACTCATCAATCCAATATTAAGCCGTTTGGATTATTGTTGTTGAGAAGAAAAAACAAAAACTAACAATATCCTAAGTTACAGATTGCAGTGTGGATAGTCATCTTAATGCGTCTCGTTAAATAAGAAATAACAATAAGAAGACACTCCATTTTTGCTTAAATTAATATTTCATTCAGGCAAATTTAAAAATAACCACTCATTCTTTTCTTGTTTTTTTCCTTTGTAACTTGATTTGTTTCGAATCAAGGAGATACAAATAAAACGTGTTTAGGTTATTTAATGCTATGACGTCGATTTTGATTAGAATTAAACAGGAATTAGTCCCTAATTTGTAATTCGGTTCAAGGTGTATACGAGGTTTATGTAGGGTTTTACCTCAATGTGTGAAGTTCAAATTATTGTTTATAAAAACATGTAACTTATGATTTAGGTGTTTCATAAAAATTTTATCTCTCATGGAAATGAAACAGTTTACATATTTTAGGTTTTCTCTATTTTTTGGTTAAAAAAGGTCAAAAAAGGAAACTTCTGTGCGTTCATATAAGGGTTCGCACCACTATGCAGTTTATTTTCAATTAAATGTCAAAAACAAAATTAGGTCTTGATTTGTGGTTCTTCAAAGAAATTATCTAGGTTTTTCTATTTTTTCCTATTTTTGTGTCAATTCGTATAAATCTTTCGCTTGTTTCCATCATTATTATTTGATTCTAAACGACAAATTAATTTGAAAATGCACAAACGTTTATGTCGAACTTTCAAAAAAAAAAAAAAAAAAAAAAAAAAAAAATAATAATAATAATAATAATAATAGCAAAGAGACGTATATGATTTTTTGTTTTATACGAAAAATCATCAGTCTTAAAAACTTTCAGAACACTCTAACTTTATTCAGAAAACATGTTAAAATACAGTAACATGGTATGGAATATGTTACAATATATGGTTATACACACAAGAATAAGAAACCTTAAGCAGATCAAGTTATTTCTCACAAGTTAAGTACATTCAGAAGAGCATACGATATGCCTTAACGATGGGCTTACTTTTTACTCATTGGTAGAGATAATACCATACAGAAAGTATTAAAAAACCGTAAATAAATCAGTTTATTTAGTAAAATAAGCACTTTATGCCTTATTTTTAATCGGTGTATTACCTATAACCCTAATTTTTTTTTAAAAAAAATTTATAATGCAAACAATTAAACCCCCTCACTAACAAGAGTAAGTAATATTGCAAAATACAGAAAGTTTTATAATTAAAAAATTGCTTGTCCAAATTATATTGAGAAAAAGTTGTGTGTTCACGAAAATGAAATTGTTCAATGCCAGGGATCATTGTAAAATCAATTGTTGAGTTTATTTTACATGGGGAAGTATTGTGTTATTGTTGTAAACTTATTGTTGTTTAGCAACTTTTTAATAAAAATACAATAACTAAAGCTTGTTATTTTTACGAGAGGAATTCACCATAAATATTTTCTCTTTGTACGACTGAACATCACACGTGTTCTCTTTTTCTTTTCTTTTTTTTTTCATTTTTGCCGTCTTTTCTTTTTTTACTTAAAAGAAAGATTGAAAGTGTCTTGTTAGAAGCATTGGTAATATTCGAAGTCATCTTTGGTTAAATTCTTAAATGGCATAATACATGTGACATTTTTGATTCAAAAATTTCAGTTTTCATATTGGTCGGAGAATTAATTAGAGGTTATTTTGATTTACGAGGTTAAAAATAAAAACTATTTTTTTTTATTTTATTTTAACGACAACTTGGGTGATATATTTCATTGTTGGTTTGATTGATATGTGTACGTGAGTGGGTTTTTATAGATCGGACTGAGGTTTGAGAGATCATGGCTTAGAACATCACTTTTTTGGAGAAGTTTCACTGGTTTCTCTATAATTTTGTGAACTTTGTCGTTTTACAATAAAAAAGACAACGTTTTCGTTTTGATAAATGGGGAAGTCATTTATAGAGATTCCAAGAACAAGAATGTAAGAGTTGTTTTATGTAATTGGATGAATCATATCAATTAGTATAAGTATAAATACCCTTACATAAGCTTTATATATTACTATTTAATAACCCTGATGTTGTATTATTACTTCTTCTTGTTGTTTTCTTTTTCTTGTATGATATTAAGAGTTACTTCTTAGTATCATTACTAAGATGTATTTAAATAAGATGATTACCCCTAGCCTATCTCTCAATAATCAAAGGCCTCTTAACAAGATCTGATATAATTGTCGCTCCCTGGAAATCCTCCAATCAGATTCAATACCTTATACAAGCCACTGCGCACATGGCTGTACCAATCCTCCACCCAGACACTCAGGTGTTACCCTCGGAATTGCGTATCTACTGGATTTCTAGTTAAGTTCCTTACAAAGAATAGACTAGGTCCACATTAAAAAGTAAAGTATTCATTATTAATAAAATATCCCTACTAAAAATTTTGTTTGTAAAGCAAAGAGTCGAGAAGTATTTAGTTGAAATATATGGCGATTAATAATAGTGAGAAATTTTGATAACTTAAAAATATTTCAGGATTAAGTTGGGCAGAAATATGTTAATATAGAAAGGCATAAGAGTAAGTTGAATAAAGTATGAGTATGGCTTATTTAATATTTTACCAAGACACTTGTATTAATATAGAAATAAATGAGTGTTTTTTTTAGGTAATAGTAATATTTACTGTAACTTCTTTCAAATCTTTCAATGGACCGATAACATTGAATTGGTTGATATTTAGGATATGTTAATTTTTAAGAACAGTACCTTTCTTAATGTAATAGATGATATTTATGATTTCCTTATAAATCTTATAAGTAAAAAAGTTATTATTTAATATTCCCTGGGAAAAAAAAAAAAGAGCAGTAATTTATTACAAAAGAAATCTAAAGTGTTATCAAATTAGTAGCATATGCTTCATGTTTATATAACAGGAAATACTTTGGAAGGTTGAAATGTACATGAGATAGTATAAAAATTATCAAATGGTACTTGAATTTGAACTAAGCTGTGTTATCAATTATAACACAAATAAAAACAATAAAAGAAATGGTAATTAAGAAATCAAGGAGAAGACATTATTTGTTCAGTAGTTGAAATTATATGGTTAGGATAAGGAAAACAAAAGGTAAGAAGACAGATTTTGTCTAAATCATAAAAGAGTAAAAGTTGTAATGGTATTATGTGTATTATGTTATGTGTAAGAATACAAAAAGAAAATGAAAGTTATTTGATATATTTTAATATAAATCCAAACATCGTTCCTTAGTGTTTAACTAACTTATTAAAATTAAAAATTGTCATCTCAAAATAATTTTTATTCTTAATTATTCAAACACTAAGTTCCAATCTTAGAAATTTTCATTTTTTACCTTTAAATTATCGATATTGTTGAGAATTTGCGCCTGTAAAAATTGGATAACTAGTATACGTTCTCAATGTTATATCTATATACATCGTGTACAAAATTATTATTAAGTTCTTAAGTTTTTTTATTTATATATAGTATATAGATGATGATGTAAAAAAGATAAATAAGGGAAGAAACATGATATGAAAAAAATGTTGGTTTTATATATTTTCATATCTGGCACATCTCGTCTATGAATGGAACCAATTTATCGATATGGCTTGCTTGCATTTACTGATAAACAAACAATGCATTTTCCACATTCTGATATCAATTTATATTTGCTAAAATCTAATTGGTACACCTATCTATTTCTAGAATATTCACTTTTAGTAAATAAAATATTTTAAAATCATGTTTAATATCTGTCAAGTTGAATAATTATTTAAAAAACGTTCCTGATTTAAATGTAAAGTTAGATTTCGTGTTTTTAATTCGAATTTCTTTATCTAGCCTTCTCTTTTTTCTAACCAAAACTGAAATTGCCCAAACTTAATCTAAAACATAAATTCAAAATGCGACAAGTATACTCGTTAAGTAAACAATTATTTACAAAAAGTTATGTAAATCACTAAATATGTAACTTAAGGTGTTAATTATTGTTAAACTATGACTAAACACACATTCACTAATTTAAATTAAATTTCTAATTAATTAAAAAAGTTATAAATGTTTAAATTACCAAAAAATTGAATTTAAAATGAACCACACTGTATATTTCATCTTGTTTATCACTTATGTAAAAAAAATGCAATTAAACCATATAAAATAATGTTATAGTACAATTAATAGCCTGCTATAAATATGTTATAAAATATGATGTTTATACTTTTCCGCTGTTATACTTGCTAAAATCGAGTGTTCAAGAATAAATAAATAAATCTATACTAAAGTGTAGTATATTTATATTTCATTTATCAATAAATATAAACAAAACAGAGTGAAATTTTTATTCAATCTACAAAAAAGAAATGACAGGTATGAATATTTATAAAGCCAACAATTTTTTCATATTATGTTCTTATACTTGTAGATTATACCCATACGCATCTTATCTATTGTTTTAATTTTGAAAAGTTCATTCGAAAATTTTTTCTCTTTTTTCATCATTGAGATGGAGAATCTCTCCTTCAGGAGATTTTCCAGATCTACTATGGCTTTAGACACACCCTAATGTGTTTTTCCCTTTTCATCCTGATTGATACAAATTCAAGATCTGTCATTATACAAAACGAACTGCTTATTCAGTGAATATATTCACGCTGAAGGATCATTTACCTAAAAAAAATTACATATAACCTCAATCAACTATCCATTTACATATATCCATACATAATATATTATTACAATCACACATACATTATTACCTAGAACAAGAATTTTCTTCTAAGAACATCATTTTTAGATTTACCAGATTTAACCTTAAATTTAGTTTTGCTTTTAAAAAAGTTTTAATAATTTCATAGATAAATATATATATAGTCTTTAGTTCAGCAAAGCCATAAATTCAAAGCACAGTATTATCTTGTGATTATATTAAATAAATCCTCATTGCATGTGATTACAATACAAAACAAAGCAAACATACACATAAAGAAACAATTGAATGACGCAATAATAAAATCTTACTTTTTCATTAACATCACAAAATAATTTATTATATAATGGTAGTACCCTATCTAAACCAGCTATCTTAGTTTACGCTTCTCTTAACTATATTTTTTTAATATCTGTTAATTCAATATCTTAACCTAAAAATTACTTCATTTTGACATATATTTAATCAAGTACTACCCTTAGTTTTTTATAATTGTACTTTAATAAAAAAAAAACTGATGAGCCTCCTAATTTCCTGGAAAATGATTATAAAAATAGTAAATACTTGCTTTCTGTTTGTGAGGTTACAAACTTATATCAGAAGTCGAAAATAAGTGCAATTATAGAATTATAAATTTTTGAAAACGTCACACAAGCTCCATTTTTTAATGAAATTACTAGGATTTTTTTAGTATTACAGACATACACCACTAGTATAACTGACAATAATAAATCTTTTCAATACGAAGGTTGTTGTCTATATAACCACTCTATCTATATCAACATACACCAATGCATCAATTTTGTTGAAAATATTTTATGAAAAAACAACTCCGAGCCAAAGTCCTTTAAATATCAGCATATATGTACCCTATGAAAATGTTGATAAATATTCTTGTAAACACATTAAATCCTGCAAAAGACACTAATTTATCACAAGAATCCAACATTAAAAATAGTATTCAAATATAACATTTGGATGTCACAGTTATGCATAGTACAAACTCTTCAGTCAATAGCGATGTTCTCGTTTTTCAGATTTATAAATTCTATATCTATCTATATATTATATATTTCTCTTAACTACTCATCCTATACAATATAGTTTATATAGTACATTCTATATGACATATAAAAACTGGATATCACTATAAACAATCTTGAGAATTCCTTAGTCGACGACAACGTTCTTGTTTTTCTTGTTTTTCTTGTTTATATAACTATGTTTATCTGTATATACTAGTTACTTCTCGTGTAGAGAATGGTTCATATGTCATACATAAACAACTAATCAAGCTATATCTATCTATTTTAGCGTCTAGAAGAGTATATCTCTCGTAATTGGGTTTTCACTTATTACATTATACCCTCAAACTGAGCTTCTCTGATATTAACATCTCAACTACTGCAAAATACAAAAAATGAAGGATGCGAGGTTCGAACTCGCGCGGACACCGTCCAACAGATCTTAAGTCTGCCGCCTTAGACCACTCGGCCAACCCTCCTTAAAATTTACATCCACTGTTGTGGAATAGAATAATTATAACCATCAAGATTACATAAGATCCTGAATGAATCTAGAACCAATTAGTGTATTAATAAGCCATACATGTGCTACAACATTAGATGCTGCATAATAAAAAGATTGGATTACATAAGATCTTGGCAAATCTAGAATTTACCTATTGTTTTATTAAGTCCCACGTGTATTACTAATCACCATGATTAGAGAATTGGGATGCAGTTCTAATCCAGTAGTGCACCTAAATTAATATAATAAATTTTAGGGTTTGAATCAGTCAAGTCATTAATGTAGTAATCTGAATAATCGATCGAGCTCCAGAAAACATATAAAAGGACAACGTTTTCAGGAGATAAAAGATCATCTTCCATAATCGTTTCTTGTAAATAATTTATATATTATGTATAAACAAAATAGAACAAGCAAGTAACAAGTCAAGTAACTTCGAATAAGTACATTAGCTCGATATAAGCCGCTTAATATATAAGACCGTTTTAGTAATTATACTATCGACTATAGTTGATTACTGTCTCGATTATTTGAATTACTATTAATATTATTTGCGCTTCCCTGGAATACACAAAGAACTTCACCACACCATACTACAACATCCACTGTTGTAGATCAACCTTGATATTATGATTATAAAAATATTGTGATGATTGTCAAGAAAAGTTCTAGTTTGGATTTATAGGACTTAGGGTTTGTTGATAAATCCCACATGATTGTTGAATACTATGTAACAAAATGAAACATTCATGAAACATTAAATAGCTAATTAAGGAGAAATGTATCTACGGTGACAGTCGTTACAGAACCTCAAATAAGAAACTATCAACCCATAGTTCATATATAAAGGACCAGTATCTTGGTATCTAAATTTATATGTTTGGTTGATTTATAAATATGTAGCTGTTGGAAAATGAGAGTTTATTACTGTCATTTTCATAAGAATTATTTTTAATTAGTTTTTCTATATATTATGTGGTGTACGGATGTACATAATATCAGGAAAACATTTTAATTGTCACCAAATATGTCTTTCGAAGATTTGAAAAGAAATGAAAAACTTTAAAAGAAAACTTAAAGTAAATAAAAGAATGTATACTGAATACACTATATAATAAATATGTACAGGTATTTAATACAAAAACATAACAAGTATCTATAACTTAATGATGTCTATCATTACCATGGACGCAGAAGGCTCCAAATTCCAACATGGTAGCGTCGCCGTTGTTGATGATAACGATACTGGGAACGATAAAATCATCAATGATCAAATCAATGACTTGAAAAAAGAAATTGTACAAGTCATATCTAATACAGATTTGACTGTAAGTGAAAAGACAAAGAAAACTAAAGAGTTAGGGGAATTGATTGAGGCCCTACAAAAGATTTTAAAAATTGGAAAAGACATGGACAATGTTCACATAGAAAAAAATATAGATGTTGAACAAAAGATAGATCTTATTCCAAAGAATCAAGAAATAAATAATTATAAAGGTTACATACTTTTATCAAAGAAAGATGAATATGGTTTTTATTATACTTTTAAAAATTTAGATGGCAATATTATTAAATATTACTATGAAAATGATAACTATAAATTTAACAAGAAATTATCTAAAATTGAGGAAATTCCAATCTGGTTCAGATCATTATCCAGATATCTAAAATCATGGAACTTTGATGATGTTACACAATTGACAGGTAAAATAGAAATAGATAAAAATGAAGAGGAAATAATTAGAAACATTGTTATTAATTCTATGACTGATGATATGGAAAATTTTGACTTGGATGAAAAATCAGGTATTGAAGCTATTTTGTTTATTAAACAGCTACTAGGTGAAGAATTCCCTAGAAGAGTTAAGGACAGAATGTGGAAAGAACTGATTGTTGATGAGTTCTGTACTGAACCAGAAAGGATTACCAAGGAATTTATGTACATGGTGAACTTAGAGAAATGGAGCCATGTAAAAGATGATTTCTATAGAATAAATGATAACTTTTTAAAAACAAAAATTGAAGAATCATTAACAAAAAACGTAAAACAAGAAATGATTAACAATTTTTTAACCGGTAAATTAAAAGGTGACTTAAGGCAATTGAATGTTGAACAATATATAAAAGCAATTCGGGATTCAATTAGATTGATGAATATAGAATACTGTGAATCAAAAAATTTAACCCGTATTGAAAAAAGAAGATGTATTAACTGTAATTCGTGTTTACATTATGCCAAAAATTGTAGAAAAATCAATAATAACAATACTTACTTGAAAGGAATAAATTATAATAAGAAAGAAGACAAGGAAGAGAAGAAGTTACTTAGGCCTGGTGAAATCAATGAATCAGAACACTAGATCAATAAAAGAAAAGGTAAATGAACTGAATACCATCAAGAAAGAAATGAAGAACATGAATACTAACATAGATTCCAGAGAAAAGAATATGAAAATCGAAAAGAACAAAAAACAACAGACTCGAAAAGAATCAAACATTAAAGATATACATAATAAGTACAATATAAAGATAAAAAAAACATACTCAAAAAATAAAACTAATGACAAAGTAGTTATTGATACAGCTGCTGGTATACATTTGGTACACAATAAAGACTGGTTATTAAACTTTTCATCATTGATAAAAGGACCAGAATATTGGGGTGTAGGGGATGATAGAAACCCAATAGAAATACTTGGAGAAGGGATACTACCAATTAAAGGAGGTAGAAATAAAATAATTGGTGTTACAGCATACTATTCTCCAAAACAAGATGCAACAATTTTGTCTGCAGACAAACTATATCAAGAAACTGGCATTACCTTAGACAAAGGGTATGAATCGCTAGTGAACAAAGAAAATGAGTTTGATACGAAAACCTTAAAATTAGGAAACACCATATGGGTCGATACAGATAAAATTATAGCTGTCAAGATGACTGATAAGATAATTAGAGCAGTTAAACCTATTAATCCATTAGCGATAAAACCTAATATCACACTTTTAGAAGCTCACTTACGTTTAAATCATTTTCCAGCCAGTGGAATAATAAAATCAATAGAAATGAACAATTTTGATGATGTGAAAATGATAAATGATAAAAAAAATTCTAAAAATATATGGTGTGAGATATGCGCTTCAGGTAAATTACATCGACACTTTCATTATACTGGTTCTATGAATCACTACACTTCACAAAAGGAACCAGGTGCTTCTTGGAGCTTGGATATATTTGGTCCTGTTGAGCATGTTAAAGAAAGATATTTACTCATAATGGTGGATAGTGTATCGAGATTTATTATTGCAACAACCCATATCAAGAAAAATAAAAATGAAATAGGAGAACAAATTGGATACAATATAAATTGGATTGAAAAACAATTCGATGTAAAAGTTAAAGAGTTAATCATGGATAGGGGTAAAGAGTTTGACAATCACGTAGTTGAAGAATTAGCTCACGAAAACGGTATTAATATTATATATACTTCTACTGAAGATCACCAAGCTAATGGAAGAGCTGAAAGAGGTATAAGAACAATTATTGAGGACACAAGAACATTATTGCTACAATCAAGACTTCCCTTAAGGTTTTGGACATATGCAGCTAAAGCTTCAGTGAATGTGAGAAACTGCGTATATAACAAAAATGTTGGAGAATCACCATTAATGAAAATATCAAAACATAAAGTGAAAATTAAATTAAGATCATTCATACCATTTGGTGCCCCAGCTATGATATGGGATTACAGAAGCAGAAAAACAGAAGCACCAGGAAAAAGGGCTATAACACTATCCAAGGATCCAAAAGGTTTTGGATATTATTTTTATGTACCAAAAGAAAAAAGAGTGATAAGTACCACAAATTATATATTACCAGATTATACAATAAATCACAGTTTAAATGAGAAGAAAGGATATGATATTATTGGTACATTTTTACATGAGGTCAAAAACAAAATTGGAGATATAAATGACATTGATTATGACGAGAATGAAATAGTAACATTGTTACCATCAGATTTTGAAAATGAACATGATAATCTGGTAGATGTTTTACACGAAGATGAAATAAGAGTTAAAGAACATTTACTAAATGACATCCAAGAAGAAATTAACGATGTAACGCCAATTATTGAACCTAGAAGCATAGAAAATATTAAATTAGATGAATTGTTTGACGATTTTGAAGTTGAAGAAGAACATATCAGCGAGGAAACGGAATCAAGAGAGTCATTAGGAGAAGAGCTGATTACTTCTCAAAATACTGTAGACACAGAACAGGATGAACAAGATGAACTGAATGTGAACAAATATGAACCAGAAACTAATTATAATGATAATAATAAAAATACTGGTGTCGAACAATATCCGGAATTAAACAGCACATATAAATCTCAAGAAAATGATCAAGCTAGTTTCATGCAAGACTCATTGGTAAGTAAATGGAAGGATATATTGAAAAATAAGATTGAACAGGAAGAAATTAAAACAAACATTATTGAAGACTCATTTAAACATAGTAAAGCATATGCCTTGGAGAAACTTAACGAAACACATACAACAGAAAAGAAATTAGAAACTGATAAACAACTAGTCTTAGAGAATGACCTCAATATAACACTACAGGAACCTGATACTCTTAATATAGAACAAGAAGACACACAAAAAGAAAAAGATAATGTTGAACAACGGAAAGTATCAGAAATAGAATTAAGCAATAATGAAGGCGCAGAAAATATTTTGAAACATGAAGAAATAACAACAATGGATACAAACATAACAGGTCAGATAGGACATAATTTAAAGAAATCATCAAAATCATTGAGATCAACTAATAATAAATTACATCAAGAAATTAATGACAATGTTAAAAATTTTATAAAACGGAAGATAGAAACTGAACACAAAAAGGAAAAGGAAAAGAACAATGAAAATAACAGTTTACAACAAGTTCTAGAAAGAGAAAAGGCACTGGAAAGTAATGATATTAGTGTTGCTAAGATTGACGAAGAACAAGAAAAGTATTATGATGCTAAAGAATCTGTTTCACTAGTATCTACATTACCAAAAGAGGAAGATAATTTAACTAAATCAACCAATACTACAGACTGGACAAAAAAAAACTTTACTTCCTTAAGGAAACCTAAAATTAAAGAATTAAAGAAAAGATTATTAGAAAACAACTTCGAAGAAACCAATCTTGATAATATCCCCAAGATTAATTTAACTAATATTGATAAAAAAATAAAGACTTACACCCTAAGAAGATTTTTAAGAAGAAAAAGATAATTCGTTATATTACTCCTACAGAAAAATGGGAAGAATTCACACCTGAATCACGGGGGGAAAGTGTTCCAGAAAGAAAGATTAGAGCATTATTTTATAAACAAGCTATAACTGAGAATCAAAATTTAGAAGAAAAGATTAAATTCATAGAAGCGTATAATAAAGAATTACAAAATCTAGTTAATATGAAAGTAATTGATTTGAATATTGCCATAGACAAAAGTAAAATACAAAAGGATAAAATCGTAGGAACAAATTCTATTTTTACGATTAAGAGAGATGGAACTTATAAAGCCAGAATTGTTTGTAGAGGCGATCAACAAACAAGCAGTAGTTATAATGATATTGAAACATCCATTTTAAGTCTTGATTCATTGCGAATTCTATTGATTATTGCTAACAATAAGAAGATGAAATTAAAGACTTTAGATATCAACCATGCATTTTTATATGCAACCTTAAATGAAGAGTTGTATATACAACATCCAAAAAATGCAAGAAAGGTTACTCCATTAAGAAAGGCATTGTATGGACTAAAACAAAGCCCTAAAAGATGGAATGAAACCTTAAAAGAGTCTATGAATGGTATGGGTCTATATGATAATATTTACTCACCTGGATTATTCGTTTCAAAGGATGGTAATTTAATGATAGCAGCATATGTTGATGATTGTATAATTGCTGCTAGAACAGATCAAGAATTAGATGAATTTATAAATACATTGGAAAAACAATTCTCAATAAAAATAGTTGGTGGAATGAAAAATAATATGCTTAATACAGATATTTTGGGAATGGATTTGAATTATGATTATGAAAAAGGGGAGATAGCATTAAGCATGACTAGCTATATAAAGAGATTAGAAAAGGAACATCCAATGATATTAAATGATAAATTAAAAGAAGAAATGATTCCAGATATTGATAAGTTTAAAATAAATCCAAAACAAGATAAATTAATTATGACTAAAGAGGAATACAAGAAGAAAGTAAGATATTTACAAGAGTTAATCGGTAAATTAAATTATATTAGGTCTAGAGGAAGAATTGATATAGAATGTGCAGTAAGTAAAATGGCTCGATTAGTTTTATATCCTCATAAAAAGGTAATTGAGTTAACCGAACAAATACTAAAATATGTTTATAAAACACAAGATACAAAGACTGTTTTTAAAAGAGAAGAAGTAGAAAATATATCAAACATCACGGTGATTTCAGATGCTTCGCTAGCATCTGAATTTGATCTTAAATCAAGATGTGGTGCATTAATATGGTTAGGAAACAATTTTTTCCATGGATTTTCAAAAAAATCATCAATTTTATGTACATCATCAGCAGAAGCTGAATTAGATGCCATAAATCAGGCTGAGAAAATTGCATTGCTATTAAAATTGAAATTAGAAAAGATGATGGATTTTAAAAACATAAGAATATGTGTAATTACTGATTCCAAACCAGCATTGGACTGGTTGAAACAAGATTATTTTAAAGCAAGAACCAAATTTTTGGGACTTAGAATTGAAAGATTAAAAGAAAGAATATTAGATTCAGACTTAAGTCTAAGAAAAATCAGTGGAAAAGAAAATCCTGCAGATCCATTAACAAAATCCACTACTAATAAAGATATAAATAAATTAAGAATGATTGTACAACATGAATTAACACCCAAAGAGTTGCTTCCAATCACTGTCCTCTGGAATGCTGGTAATGGAAATCATTAAGTTATAGTGAACAGGAGGAAGTTATAAGAAAAACCAATTAAAGGGGCATGTTGGAAAATGAGAGTTTATTACTGTCATTTTCATAAGAATTATTTTTAATTAGTTTTTCTATATATTATGTGGTGTACGGATGTACATAATATCAGGAAAACATTTTAATTGTCACCAAATATGTCTTTCGAAGATTTGAAAAGAAATGAAAAACTTTAAAAGAAAACTTAAAGTAAATAAAAGAATGTATACTGAATACACTATATAATAAATATGTACAGGTATTTAATACAAAAACATAACAAGTATCTATAACTTAATGATGTCTATCATTACCATGGACGCAGAAGGCTCCAAATTCCAACAGTAGCACATTGTAAAATACAAAAGAACAAGCAATAATCGTTTAATTCTCCTAGATATATATAACGTTCTTATATATTTGTTATTGCCCTTACTATTCGTTCAATAGTACTGTTAAAAAAAAAAATTGGTCCTAAGTCCAAACTACAACACCAATGGTGTTATTGCCTCTCGGTAGCCAAGTTGGTTTAAGGCGCAAGACTGTAATATAAGGGTTTGTTTCCTGAGTTATCTTGAGATCGGGTGTTCGACTCACCCCCGGGAGATTTTTTTGACAGTCCACATTTTAGTGTGTTATTGTATAATATCCCTGATATTACTGTTTAGGGTTTGTTTGGAAAAATGAGGGTTGACGATATATTTCTAAACTTTCCTTTTTTCAAAATTTTACAAACATAGATAAAAACAGGAGTAACCAACATAAATATATTTATAAGGAAGTAACGGAGAAAGCAAGGAACAAGGAATCAAGGATTACATAAGTTTAGATATATAGTATATAAGTGTATACTATTAGGTTATCATAGATTAGGGATATAGATATATAGATATATAGGAATATTACATCTAGAGATATAGAAAGAGTCTATATCTTATATCTATCCAAGTGAAATATTATTGAGATTTCAACAAGATTAACTGTTATCAGAAACACATAACCTCAGGGTTATTACAGTTATGCAATACCTTGCAATACAAAATGTAAGGAATATATACTTTTTTGTCTACAGTCTGTGAATACATTTCTTTAGTAATTTTTTAATATTATATCTATAGGTTTTAAAATAAGCCTTCATCTTATTATCGCCTTAATGATTTGTTTTTGTATCATCACATCCACGTCAACTGTTCTCCAAAAATAATAACCAAGAGAGTTGTCACATTCCTCAGGAACTTTAAGATTATTCCATAACCAATTAGTTTATAAATAAAATATTCCACCTCCTGGATAACTGATTAAAATTTTTCCAGATCTTAAGCGAATAGCATTATATGTATTCTGTGCAAAATATAAATGAAATTGTTGCTTCCCAAAACTATATTTCAAAATTTTCTAGGTGATATCTAGAAATAATAAATTTATACAATTTACAAAAATACTGACTCGGTAGATAAAATCTTATTTATAAAACAAAAAAAAAGTTTTCTTTAACTTTAACTTTTCAATTGACATCATTAAACGTACACTAAATACTGAATCTATATTTACCTAAAACTACAATAATTTTGTAAAGATGGAATTAACCTATACAAAACAGATATAAACTTATAAAATGTCACGCCTTAAAGATAATTATTTATAAAATAGTAAGAATTTTATACACTACCATTTTCATATTGAATCTCTTATTTGTTTACCTTACTTGCCTTTTTTTATTAGCTTAAAAGAAATATTTCCTGATAGAAATGATACACTAACTTGTATTACAACATAAAATATTATTTTTATCATGTCTCTCAGCTATTGAATTCTGTTGCCTACACTTTCTTGCAGAAATATCAATAAATCTTTCTATTTGTCTATCTATTAGATAGTTAACTTGTTTCTAACGCCTTCTTCTTTTCTCTTGATTCCCACTGTAAAAAGAAAATAAAAAAAATTTTTTTTGTTCTACCATTTAGCAATGAGCTCGATCGAAATTCTAATAGATCTATTTAAGAATACGTACAGACGCATAGACACATAGATATGTGCCTTTCGTACAACAAGAAAACCCTTAATAAATCAAACATACAGAAAAGCTAAGTAGACAAATTACCAATATATCAACTCATGTCCAATCCTGACGATTTAGATGACGGTCTAGTCTACGATTTCAGTGGACAAGAAGACAATTCAATCTCTGACCTTCCAAGTGATAATGAAGTTGGAAATATGAAAGAATCAGATACTAAACTTGACACTACTACTAGATCTCGTAAACGTGATAATGAATTCAGTGAGAATGATGATCGTAATGTTGAAAAATTGTCAAAAAGACAAAAAAAATTACAAAACTCTAAGTTCCGAGAAAAGAAGAAAGAAAAGATTGAATACGAAATCAATCAAAAGAAGTTGATACCAAGAAGTAATACAGATACCATATCAGAGTATTTCATTAAGTTGATTCGTTCAAAGAATCCAAATTTAAGTGCATTGGAATTAGATAACCTTTATTTAAAGAAAAATGATTTTATCTCAACTGAGCCTTTTAAAGACGAAAGAGATTTGAACAATCTAGCCAAGTTTATAATAAATTATTCGAAGGCTCCAAATGTCATTATTTTCAGTATGTCCAATAAGAGAATAGCTGATGTGTTTAGACAATTAGGTGGTAGTAAAACCTCTGTAAAACTTTTCGCTAAAAATAAATTAGACCAGGATATAACTACTGTGACGAATATCTTAAATAACAATGATACTAATACTACAGATAAGAATCAAAGAAATGGAAACTTAAAAGATAAAAAACAAAAAAAGAATAAAAATTCCAGCCCAACACCTGTCTCCTCCTCTTCAACAAATATTAAATATTTTATTGCAACTCCAACTAGAATGGAGAAAATCCTTGCCTCAACAGATGTTTTTTTCCAAGGTAAAGATAAATTGGATATAATATTGGATGCAAGTTATTTAGACAACAAAAGCAATTCGTTAATTTCATTTGAAAATACTATGACACTTTGCAAAGTATTAAAGACAATTATAGACAATAAAAGTTCAGTTAAAATACTTCTATACTAAATATATTTATCTATATAAATAAAACTATAAATACAGAGATCTTCATCATCTATGATATTTTGCCATTATTAATAATTTCCCGCTAATTATTATAACTACCATCATTGTTATCATTATTAATTATTTTTTCTTATCGTTTTTTTCCATTAATTCTTTCATTTATTGAAATACAAACCGGTGATGAATTTATTCTTCGAATGATAAGACAACTCTATGAAAGTCACAGAACTATCTCTTCTACTATCGTTACTATTACGTATGTGAAAAGATCAGATATAATGTTATAGCAAACAAAGGATAGCCCAGGACTAAGAAAGTAGTTTATATTAATAGCAAAAGTGGGGCCATTTTACTTACACTTTCGGTCACTTGTTGGATATGTCTTCTCCACACAACATGATAGATCAAACAAATAATGAAAATGTACATCCAGTCGAACTTAGTGTATATTCTATATTGTCAAGTAATTTAGACGGAATCCAACAATCTATTAACGAATTAAGGGAATCTCAAGCTATCTTAATAATTACAATGAGAAAGATAAGCCAATCGTTGGATATGGAGGAAAGATTGTTACATGATATAAATGAGTATAAACTTTGGTGTAAGGAATTGAATCATCTGGAAAAACGATTGAAAAAATTAACTAAAAGATATTCAAAATTAGTTCAAAGAAACCAAGCACTTTTAGAATTTTCCAATAATATAAAAGATAAATGAACGAATGAATAGAAATCAAAATAAAACAGTCTTTCTTTCTTTCATTCTCACTCCCCCCTTTTTTTATACTTATATATATATATATACATATCTTTATATTCATAACAGTTTATTTATTTACTTACTTAGTTCATCATTTATGTCATTCAATTCCTGCTTCTTTTGATTTAGATACACTGTCAATTCATTGACTTGTTGTTCTATATTATCAAGATCTTCAATAAATGATTGCAAATTATAATTTGATGCTCTGGCTGAAAAGTTTTGACCATTAACATACTTATCGTTTCTATAGTTCAACAACCCTTGTAATTGCTCTCTAATCAATTTAGCATCCTCAAGAGTTGTAATTTTATTCATGTCAATGTTTGCGTCAACATTAGGCAAACTATTAGTATTATTGATAGAGTCATTAGTAGTACTAGCAATAGCAGTATTAGTAGAAGTGTTTGGTTCAGATGTTGTAGTTGATTGATTAATAGTGCTTCTTTTAACTTGTGCTTGCTCAGACTTTAGATCATATTGAATTGGCTGCTTATTAAAAACACCTTCTAAATTCTTGGGTACGTCTGAAGGTATCAATGATCCTAAGTCATTACGTTGTCTCAAGATGTGAATAAAATATAGAGCCGGATCTTTATCAATTGAGTTTAAATTTTTTGGATTGACCAATTTCCAAACCTTTTCCATATCACTTGAACTGATATTGAAGAATTTATTTTTCAATTGAAGAGACAACTCTGTAAAAGTTACAGAACCATCATTTGTACTGTCATTACTATTACATTGAACAAATATTTGATTATAATATTTCATGTCTTCCGGTGAAATATACCAATCTACTTTTGGTGGCTCCTTTTGTGGTGGCAAAGATTCATTCTCTTTTTGCTTTCTTTGTATCCTTTCTTTAACCAATTTGTATTTACTTCCAGGAATCAACCAGTCAGGTAATTCATCAGGGACTTTATCAATATTCTTGTTTACCATGTCAAACAACAATCTCATACATATAACAAATTCCTCAAAATCCAAATTGTCATCATCATCGATATCGGCAAGGAACCAAATCTTGTTTAATACAGAAGAATCTTGTTTTGAATTGTATAAAATTGGCAAAACTTGATCGTGTGTTACTTTTTGATCTACTGGTTTTAAACCAGAAAAGATTTGCCAATATTTCTTAATCTCAAATTGTTCTAATTTAGGCATTGTTATAGAGTTTTTTAATTTCCCCTTTTGATTCCGTTTCGTATTAGTGTGTTAGGGAAATATACATCCATAGGTATATATATAGGAATATCACACACTAGACAATCAACATATATAGTATATCTTTATTTGCTAACCTTTCTTTTCGTACAGACTGCCTTCCTTTCCTTCCTTTATCAATTTCCAATAATTGAGGTCTTTTTAAAACTCTCGCAAAATTTTGTGGCTTTCCAATTTTTTTACATTTTTTTTGACATACAACAGTTTTCCAGACTTTAAAGTTAAAAAGAGAGAGAGAGACCACGAAAGGACCCATCGAGAATAAAACAAAAGTGAAACACAATTTATCTATGCCGTTGAGTATAGTGTATTTAGCATAGTAACTTTCCAATTATAGTTTGTATTGGATTTGTTTTGTCGTGTCGTGCGTACGAGGGGATAGATACAAGGGGTGAATATATCTGATTATGAAGCGAAGCAAATATTGGAATCTAGAGTCCTCTGAAGCCAGACATCAAAGGTACCTTCATCTATTTGCCCAATTAGACATAAAAAATACAGGATACATAGATAAGGCCACATTTCAAAATGCATTAGACTTGCAAAACCATCCATTACGCCAAAATGATCTAGTTATTGATCTTTTATTCAAATCAATGGATATCAATCATGATGGATATATTGATTTAGATGATTTTACATGTTATGTCATCCAGGCTGAGCTACAAATAGCTAATGGGTTTGATAAGATTGACAATGACCATGACGGTTATATACGTAGATCTGAAGTCTCCAAATACTTGTCTCGAATACAAGAAGCTAATTTAACAGATAATAATATTGTTACCAATAATAGTACTGGTGGCAAAATATCTACGTTAAATAATTTTTTAACCTGGGCTTTTAACCCAAGTCATTGGAAGCTTCATAATAATACAGGGAGTTCAAAAAACAATACTAACTCTACGGTAAATAGTATTAACGAACATCCTGATCATTATATTTCCTACAACCAATGGAGAGATTTCTTAATTTTAATGCCAAGGGAAGAAGGATCACGTTTAAATACAGCTTACACATATTATTACTTGTCTAATGAAGATTTAGATTTATCATCGGAAGGTGATATTACTCCGACTAGTGAATTCATTCGTGGGTTTAGCTATTTCCTTGCAGGTGGAATTTCGGGTGTAATATCTCGTACTTGTACAGCACCATTTGATAGAATTAAAGTGTTTTTAATTGCAAGAACTGATTTAGCTTCCACTTTATTAAATTCAAAGAAGGATTTACTAGTAAAAAACCCTAAGGCTGATATTAATAAGATCAGATCACCTATAATTAAAGCTATCACATCTCTCTATAAACAAGGTGGTATTAAGGCATTTTATGTAGGGAATGGCTTGAATGCATTCAAAGTGTTCCCCGAGTCATCTATCAAGTTTGGTACTTTTGAACTAGTAAAAAGACTCATTTCAAAGATTGAAGGCATCGAAAATCCACAAAATCTTTCACAAATGGCCACATATTTGGCTGGGGGGATCTCTGGTGTAATGGCCCAATTCTCAAGTTATCCAATTGATACATTGAAATTCAGAATTCAATGCGCACCTTTGGATAATCCACTACATGGTAACAGGTTATTAATAGACACAGCAAAACAAATGTACAAGGAAGGTGGATTATCTATATTCTATCGTGGTGTTTCTGTAGGACTGATGGGGATATTTCCATATGCTGCTTTAGATCTAGGAACTTTTACTACTTTGAAAAGATGGTACATTGAACGTCAAGCCAAACAAATGGGAGTTCCAAGTGATAAGTTAAAATTAGATAACCTGGCAGTGTTACCAATCGGTGCGTTTAGTGGATCCGTTGGTGCTACTGTAGTATATCCTATAAATCTATTGAGAACAAGAATACAAGCACAAGGAACATTTGCTCATCCGTATACTTATGTGGGGTTTATTGATTGCTTTAAACAAACTGTAGCCAGGGAAGGTTATCAAGGTCTTTATAAAGGACTAGTACCGACCTTAGCAAAAGTAATTCCTGCTGTATCAATCAGCTACTTATGTTATGAAAACTTGAAGACATTGGCATGTTTAATCTAGAATGATTACTCTTTTTGAATATTCTAGCTTTTTTTTTTTTCCTTTCTCTTTTTTAATACTTGTACTATTATTTACTATTACACGTCTTCGTCATCATCCTCATCATTATTATTTCCTCCCTCCCCCTAACTGAATCGTTTCATCACCTATTTATTTACTACTGCTACTAACTCTGCTATTTATTCTTATTAATTCATTAATTTTATCGCTACCTACTGTTGACAAGTAGACTCATCATTTATTTTTGTAGTCTGTACATATATTTCTAACTCTTGCATATATTTCTATCCTTACATACACATATCTACATATACTATTTAAAAATTCAATCAAGAATACATACATCTAAACAACCAAAACTCCCAGAATCTTATTGTTTGACTTTCAAGGTAACTTATCCTATGTAGTATCCCTTGTCAATAATCCTTAATATACACCATGGCTTTTATTACATAGAAATAAAGTCTGAAAGATCGAAAAAAAAATTGATACGCAAAGATATCATCTTCCTAGTCACTTACAAGAACGATTAATATATGTTGTTTTTTGTTATGAGTGAATACACATTTGTGTAGAATATACTCAATGGAGAATAGAACTGTTTCTTTATTATACATGGTTTGATAATCCAAGATAAGTGTTTAAAATTTTGGTTGAAAAGTGGAAGTGAGGTGATAAAAGAAATGACCAATATTAAAGCTATTCAATCTAATGATATACAAAGGCTAACATCTGGCCAAGTGATTATAGATTTAACGACTACAATTAAGGAATTAGTAGACAATAGTATCGACGCAAATGCATCACAAATAGATATAATATTTAAAAATTACGGTGTAGATGGTATAGAATGTTCCGATAATGGAGATGGTATAGATCCAGAAGACTACCAAACTTTAGCTAAGAGACATTATACCTCCAAAATTTCAACCTTCGAAGATGTTTACACGGTAAATACATTAGGTTTTAGAGGGGAAGCATTGTCTTCACTTTGTAGTATCAGTAAAGTAGAAGTAATAACTACACAGAAGACACCTAAAGGTACGAAATTAGAATTTGATTCGATGGGCAATCTATTAAGACAAAGTATAACATCTAGAAACAAAGGAACCACCGTACAAGTTTCTGAATTGTTTCAAAACTTACCTGTGAGACGTAAAGAGTTTTTAAGGACTTCTAAAAGACAATTTGCAAAATCTGTATCATTATTACAAAGCTATGCCATGATCCAGGATGAAATACGAATTACAGTGACTAATATTACATCAACCGGTAAGAAATCAATTATTTTAGCTACAAAGGTCTCACAAGATAAATCACACCCCATTTTACAAAATATCAAGACTATATTTGGTTCATCGTGTGGTAATATATTGGATGAGATTAAATTAACATTAGATTTAAACCAGTTTAAAGAACAAATAACGAGACATTTTTCAAGATTGTATGAGAATACAGTGGATATTGCAGATATTGATTATCAGATTAATGTTAAAGGTTACATATCCAAAAATTCATTTGGTTGTGGAAGAAACACAAAGGATAGACAATATATTTATATTAACAGAAGACCAATTGAATATCCAAGTTTATTAAAATGTTGTAATGAGGTTTATAGATCATTTAATAACGTTCAATACCCATTTGTTTTATTAAATTTTGTTGTAAATCCTCAATTAATTGATATTAATGTGACACCCGACAAAAGGTTAGTTCTTTTACATAACGAACAGTATGTGATTGATGTATTCAAGGAAGAATTAATGAAATATTACCAAAACCAAGATTTACAACTACCTAAATCAAATATACATGTAAAGAAAGAAAGATTAAAAGTTGAGAATTCCATGTTAAGTCAAGAGCTATATATTCCATTAATTAAAGATGATATCTTAGAAAAGGAGTTATCATCAAGTGATAGCAGCACATTAAAGAGGGATGACAATGACTTAAAAAATGAAGAAATTCAAGATGAAGAGAGGACAATAACTTTAAGGCCTTCAAAGAGAGCCAAAGTGATCGAGTCTGTTATTAATGTAACATTAGATGATAATATAAGATCAGACACAATAATAGAAGAAAATACAGAAAGGCCAGACAATAAAAATGGGCAAGAAGAAGAATGTTTTAATAACGACAAAGAGGGAATAGAGAGAAATAAAAAACAACAAGATAAGAGGGAAGAAGCAACTTCACATAAGCGCTTTTCTACTAGAAATGCAATGAAACAGTGGGGATTAGTCGATAACAATTCTATAAATAAGGGTAACCAATCAAACAAATACGATAAACACAACAACAATAATAATGATGGTGCTGATGATGACAACAAAGACAATACGATATTAAAGATAGATATCGATGGCACAGAAATAAATTATAAAGCTAAATACTCCCAAGAAACAAATGATATAGAATTTCCCAAAGATATAGATACTAATCACAATGACTTATCCAGGGATGAGACCCATAATTCATTCTTGGACAATGTTGAAGAATATGTAGAATTAGAATCTATGCCCTCATCGCCACAAAATAATGATCTAAATATTAAAGTATCTAGATCTTTTACCGAAGATTCATATGATCAGACTATAATGAATCGATCCCTAGCTGTTGAGTCTCATTCTAAATTTTTACATAATAACAAACAATACAAAATCCATGGATTAGACCATATTTTAGAGACTTCCATTAATGTTAACGGTCCAATACTTCAATATGATCAAGTTGAATACTTTAACAACCTTATAAAAAGAACAAATGGATATCATACTATGATTAAGCAAGAAGACGATATTAAGGATGACATTGAATATATGAATCTTTCACTCAACAAGAAAGAATTTGCCAAAATGGAGATTGTTGGACAGTTTAATCTTGGATTCATTATTGTTGTAAGAAAGAATGGTGAAAACCATGATTTATTTATTGTAGATCAACACGCAAGTGATGAAAAGTACAATTTTGAAACTTTGCAAAAAGAAACAGTAATTGAATGTCAAAGTTTGATTACTCCACAGCCATTAGAATTAAACATTATTGAAGAATTTTTAATCCTTGAGAATTTAGATGTTTTCAAATCTAATGGTTTTAAACTGAAAGTTGATGAGGATAATGACCCTGGCCATAAGATATCGTTATTAAGTGTGCCTATATCCAAACAAACCGTATTTGATCTAAATGATTTTAATGAATTAATACAATTAATTAAAGAAAATGATGGATCGCATAAAAGTAGTACTGGATCAACAGTGATAAAATGTTCGAAAATTCGATCTATGTTTGCCATGAGAGCATGTAGAATGAGTATAATGATAGGAAAACCCTTGACACGTAAGACTATGCAACGTGTCGTACACAATTTGAGTACTTTAGATAAACCTTGGAATTGCCCACATGGTAGACCCACAATGAGACATTTATTGGAATTAAAGGATTGGAAATCTTTTACAAATGATTATGAATATTAAAGATTATATATAAGTGTACATTTATATATATATATATGGCTATGAACGTATATACAAGTTATAATGTTTGTCATTTTCCTTATTCTATTACACAGCAGTTAATTTTTAGTATTATTAACCCAATCTATTCAATTTATTTAATTTTCTTGCTGTCATGGCATTATTCTTAGTTTTCTGGCCTCTAACAGGCAAATGATGCTCATGTCTAAAACCTTGATAAGAACCAATCTTTTTCTTTAATGCAATGTTAGCACGAATTTTACTCCTTGCATCGTCCTCAATAGTCATATTAGACAATTCATTATTTAGATTCAATATCTGTGATTCAGATAATTGATGCATTCTCATCCATGGATAAAACCCTAATTTGGAACATATCTTGGTAGCAGTCGCTAACCCGATACCATATATCTTAGAAGCTAAAGCTATATTAATGACTTGTTTCCCCTTGAATGCTTTCCCTAATACATGAACCACCATTATTGAATATACATGAATATATAAGGATGGAGATATTTTTCTTGTTTTTCACCGGACAATATATACCTTAAGAATATAAAACACTATACCTACAGAACAACTCTGTTTATTAACAAGTATGCATGTAAATATGTATCGTCTTACACCCTTGAACATAGCACCCAACAAATCCACCTTGAATAGTTATATTATCGTCCTTAACAGGAGGAACACACTCCAAAAGAAAAAAAAGTTTAGTTTGTTTCTTGCAATCAAATCTTGACATTATTTTTTCTTTTTTTGTTCAACTCCTTGAAATGTTGAAAATAAAAAAATTCACTGCGACGATGTATGGGTGTGTAGACAGATCTTGCAAATAATACTTCTTTCTCAAGCTGATCGTTAGAATGGTAGAGATGCCAACCGAATATATCTATTTAGATTTATATCTGTGTACTAATATTTCTATATGTCACCGATAATAATATGTTCTTTCCTTCTTTGTCTTTTTGAATGATACGGTGTATAGAGCAAAGCAATGATGGAGAAGAAAAGAAGCGAAGGATTTTCTTATCTTTCTTTCTTTCTTTTGTTTTTTTAAATTATATATCAATATTGAGTAAATCAATCAGTTGTTCAATATCTAATCTCTGAATAAATAAATTTCTTAACAGACATAGCATAGTAATAAAGCTGGCTAATCCAATAGGCACCACACAAAAGACAATTATATTGTATATATCAAATGCTCGCTTTATCTTTGTCCGGTTACTAGCCAGACATCGTATATTTTGTCTTGTTTCTTCATTATTTAGATCACTATCATCCTCTTCACAATTTATGGTGTGTGATAGCAAGATATCTTCTGAATCATCTTCTACTAGGTTCTCTTGATTATTGAGAACATTAGAGCCGCCATTGGTTTGATCTGCGGAATATATTAATGAATTGGTTGTATCGGTAGGGATCATGACAGAAGAAGAAGAAGAAGCTAAAGACAATGTGGGAATACTTGGTTTATTTGAAGTACTTATAGAGTCATCAATAAGATGTGTGGGAAGATAAGAATGAGAATGAGGATGATAATAATAACGGTGGTTATGATAAAAATGGCGGGTATTTGGTGGGTGAGATCTTTTAATATAATCAAAATTGGACGTCAAATAATTTTGCCATATAAACAACCCTGTCAAAATACAACTTATCAATATCCAAGTGTGTAAATAATAATCTCTCTCTGGAGACAGAGAATTCAATAAAAACAATTGAATTGTAATAAGAACTAAAGACATGGAAAACATTCTTAATATTACTGCCATAACAGAATATTTCATAATCCAACGAACCATTAAATTATCTAGTATAGCAAACGACAAATACAATGATACAAAACACCACAGTGCACATAATACATATTCTGATGCATGCCCAGTAATCAAATTAGATAATATTTTGATTTCGTTTATTTTAAGATTGTTGTTAATATTGCTAAGATCGATGTTGTTGTTAAAAATATCTTTTACAGATATCAAATATGCTTTCCGTATAGCTTTAAACCAATGGAATCCAGCTGGGATCAAGGATATATCTCTAAAAAGGGCTAATAACATATGCTGTTTTGCAGTTAGATGATTCAATGATAGCGTCTTTATTGATGCCATTTGTTTTTCGTATAACCTTGAAATATTATTATAATGTGATTGGAATACACTATACCTGTATGGATTATTAATACTACTATCATCAGTATTACCATTAAGACTACTGTCGCCATTGTTAGAACCACCACCACTACTGTGATTATCTCTTGATCTAATCATATTCGACAAATTAATGCTTGATCTTTACTAGCCTTCTTAATCTATAGTTCTATACTCTTCGTCTACTTTATTGTATCTTATATTGTTATGCTTATATACATATATTCGTGTTTAGATTAGCGTTACAATATGCAATCATTCAATCTGTCTTTCTTTCCCTGTATGACAATCACAACTTTATCTACTTCTTCTTCTTCTTATCCTTGTGTTTTGTAGCATAACAAAGATTACCTCAACAGTATCTCCGCCGGAAATTACGCAAATCCCGAAGACGGTTTACACGGATCTTGAAACCCGCCAGCATGTGACCGAACAACTGATACCCTTCCAAACTCTCGAGGAATGAAAATATTAAAAAAAAAATGCGGAAAAGAAGAGAGGCAAGATCTGTGCTGGGTCTCTTTCCATTTTAGGTAATGGTGCCAGCACAAAAATTAGCCATGATTAATTACGGAGATGACGTAAAAAGAATATTTTGAAAAACTTTATTTAATATATTGACAATACTGCAGTGGCGTTTTTATTCCAAATCCTTTGTCTTTCTCATTAGTCTTTTTCACATGTTCCAATTTAATATATCTCAAGCATTAAACAATTCTTAGTTCTTTAACTTTGACCCTCCGCCTTCAAATTTGTGAAAGATAGATAAAGAGGTAAGGAGAAAGAGAGAGAAAAAAAACAAAAAGGAAAGAAGTACACAAGAATACGCACGCTTACATTTTACCAAACAATTCATTTAGTTACTTATTGATACCATGAGTACGTTAAATGACATATCTTTGGTTGAATACAACAATTATCAAAGAAATAATATTACCAATGCAAACATGAGGGATTCCCATTACACAAATAATAGCAACAACAACAGCAACACTGATGATAATAATCATGACGATACTTCAATATATATCATAGAACCAATAAGAGAAGAAGAAGATTTATTACGACAGTTTACTCAATGGGATAACTATGTATCGAATAGCCATGGGTCTAATACACCTAAATCATCACCACAGCTAAGACATAGACAAAAGCACGGACAGTCCTTAATTGAACAGTATAAAGATAGCACACATAAAGATACGTATCGAACCATTAGGAAATTTCCTTCTATAAGAAGCAAAGATTTTACATCAAAAAGAGAAATACATGATAATAATAATAGTAATAGTAATTATAATCATGGTGATGAAACAATAAATATAATAGAGGGTAACAAATATAAACGTAAAAATAAAAAGGAAAAGAAGACGGGACTTAAACTTTTATCACATTTAATATTTCACCGTGGGTTTCTTAAAAGATCAAATATCAAAAAAGTTAGAACTAAATTGTTATCAAATAAAAGAGGGCCCAAATTTAGAAATAAAAATGAATTCAATTCCTATTTAAACTATATTGATTTGATATCGTTAGTAAATGACGAGTATAAGAACGAATATGCATCAAATGAAAAGGCATTAATGAATGATATCAGCAATATAATATTTCCGCATAGAAATAGATATCGGTCAAACCACTTCCATGAACCTTCAATCCTCCCAAAAAGTATCACATTATACAAACCCATAAATAATAATCAAATTGTGGTAAACAAAGTCTTACCTAGAGACGTTTATTTAAATAGTGACTATTCCAAACTTTTAAAGAATCAATTTACTCAAATATTGAATACTTCCAAATTCCATAATTCAACAATACGAAGGAAATTGTCAACAAGAAAGCAAACATCAAATACATTAAATAAAGTTCATAATAGACAAGATTTGAAAAGATCAAAAACTCTTCCGAATAACTATCAATACAACACCTCAAAACTCAATACGCATGATAATAACAATTATGACGATAAGGATATCAAAGAAACATGGTCACAATATTTGCAAGCTGTTGTTACACAAAGGATAAGATTAAGACTTTCATTACTTAAAAGTCAACCACCACCCTCTATTATATCGTCAACAAACTCATCCATACATTCTGGCCCTAGTCAAGAAAGAATCAAAAACCATTAAAAAATTATTTTGTATATCAATCATTATCACTAAAAGGGAAACAGTAGAGGGGAAGAAGACGGTGGCACATAAATTTCTATACATAGATATATACTGCATCTTTATGATAAACTTTTAATAATATTCCTAACTACAATACATAAACTCATGTTTTTTTTTTTGAACTATCTGTTATTCCTATATATATATATTATATATTATAACCCTAAAAATGAAATTCATAAAAGTATAAAAATTTTCCTTTACAAAATAGGGTTGAGCTCTTCTTTTATATATTTATTTCTTCAATATTTGAGGGTTTGTTTGAAAAAAATTAACTTTTCACTCCAACAAAATGAAAACTTTCTTTATTGTAATGTAAAGAATCCTCGAGAATTCAATGGAAAAGACATCGAAATTTCTTTCTCTCATTAAAAAAAATAGAGATCAAAAAAAAAAAATAAAAAAGAAACAATAAATATAAAAAAAAGAATAAAGAGATGAGTGAGGGCGAGCTCAGAAGTTAGTAAAAAATCTTCCCTGTTAGAAATGTAAATAACTAATAAAGCTCATCAAAACAACCGTACACTTATTTGCCACTCGGAGTATTAATTTTTATAATATAAATAACCACAAAAAAACACACATAATAATAAATCTGCCTATTTATTCTTTGAATTATTTTTTTTCTCAAAGAATTTACAGCAACTACAGTAAATCAATAATAAATATAATAATGGTAGCAGATACGAAATTGTATGATCTTTTGAATATTTCACCGGATTCTACATCCGCAGAAATCAAAAAATCATATAGGAAATTAGCATTACAATATCATCCAGATAAGAATAATAATTCTAAAGAATCAACTTTGTTGTTTCAAAAGATCCATTTAGCTTATAATATTCTAATTGATCCAAATAAAAGATTATGTTATGACAAATATGGAGATATTAACTTAGCTAAAGACTTCGAATCTGGTTCAACTCAGGAAGATGTAAATTATGATTATATGTCCAACCCAGCTAATTTGTTCTCAAATTTCTTTAATAAACATCAACAACAACAGCACCAAAACTTTCCAAATAATAACTCAAATCCATATTCTTCCTCTTCGTCCTCTTCCACATTTATGTTTTCAAACCAAAATACAAATATATCAAATAACAACAACATCAATAATAATCTTTATAAAAATTTAATGAAAGGTCCCAACATCATCCATCATTTGAAATGTTCTTTATCTGACTTATACCATGGGAAAACATGCAAATTAGGTTTACAACGTACAAAAGCATGCCCTGAATGTGAACCGCTGTATAAGCCATGTATTCATTGTCAAGGAAACGGTACTATAAATGGAATTAATAAAATCGGACCATTAAGTCAAACATGGTCACAGACATGTCTCTCGTGTAATGGATCAGGTATATATATAGATGCACAGAGACAATATTCATGTAAGACATGCCATGGGAATGCATTTATAAAGGAGAGATTTATCTTTAAGATTAAAATTCTACCTGGAATGTATCATGGGCAAACCATAAGATTAAGCAATAGTGCAGACGAATTTATTGCCGTTACACAACAATCAAATTTTATAAATAATCCCTTTAATCTTAGTGCTCACATGAATTCTTCCTCATCTTGTACTACTACTATGCAAAGAGTCGAGCCTGGTGATGTTATAATAAAAATAATAGAGACCGAATCGCAACTCAACAATAGCAGTAGCAATCCTGATTATAAGATGGACAATAACAATAATAATAACAAAAAAAAGAAAAAAGAAGAAGAATCCATAAAGAATACAACTCCACAATTTATTCGTTCGCATACGAAGGATCATGAAAATTTATTATTAAATAATTTTCCAATAGATATTGTGACATCATTATGTGGTGGTAAAATAATGATAAACAACCATCCAATGGGGAAATTGATTCAGGTAACCATTTTACCTGGAGAATTATTAAATCCAACAGGGTACAAGTGTGTCGAAGGGTTGGGTATGCCTATTTATGATAAAACACAAGAAATGAAGGAGAAGAATAATGATCTTAATAAGAAAAATAACTGTGGTGCTGAAGAAGGGTTTAAAGAGGATATCAGTTTAGATGAGAATACAAGTGATGTAAATCATTTAAGGAAAGGAAACTTATATATTAAATTTATTGTGAATTTCCCAGATAAATTAGAGTCACGTACAATCGAACAATTGAAAACTATATTACAAGAGGACAAATTTATTCGCAAACAGCAAGAAATTGAACAACATAACATGGACTCTAATCTAGATGATTGTGTTGAATTAGAAGAACATGTGTTTAATAATTTTATGGAAGAACCATCTGAGAACGTTTCAAATCAATTTAAAAGAAAATATGAAGAAGATGAGGATGAAGAACAATTTTCTGATTATAACGTAAACGATGAAGACGAAGACGATAGAAATGGTGTTAATAATGAATATGTTGATGAGTGTGGTGATTTAGATGAAGATGAATATGAAGGATATTATCATCATCATCCTAGATTCGGACCAAATGGAGATCAAGAGACAGGCGACGATTCATATAAAGGAACAAGACGTTACAACAATAACAATAGAAATAGAAGTAGAAGCAGTAATTATAGTAGTTATAATAGCAGTGCCAGTAGGAGTAAGAACAGAAATAGAAACAGAAACAAAAGACGTAAATTCAATGCAAGTAATTTTACTGGAGACCCATTCTTTGATCAAATACAATTCCCTAATCAAGAGAATTGTCATGTTATGTAAGTGAATATAAATCAGGTATATGAATAAATAGACACATAATAGAAATATCAATTTATACAAGATTTTAATGCTAATAGATTTCCTTTATATATTCTGTACCGTTATTAAAACCACTTCATATGTAACCTACTTGCATATACATTGTATATGATATATAATAACTAAGGGATCAAAATAGAGTAAAACAAAAAAAACATATAAAAAAACGATGCAAAAACGTTTCGAACCGTAGTCTAAAATGAAAAAAAAAAGCAGAATGAAACATGAATAAAAAAAAGTTTTCGCTGTTTTTTTTTTTTGCCTGGTGGAAGTCAAAGGAAATTTTTGAAGAAGCTTAAAAATTTAATCGAAAAAAGAAACGAAAAAAATGATGATCATCAAATGACACTTCGAAGAGTCGAACCATATGAAACAGAAGAAGAAGAAGGGAAGGAGGAAGAAAAGAGTGCAAGTGAAAGATAAGTGTAAATGAAGGAGGGTGAAAGAGCACACTAACACCTTTTAGTTGTACTTTTATATAAACACGTTCTAGCTTTTTTAAATTTGTTAAATGAAACACCCTAAGAGTGTTTAGTACCTAATACTATTATAATCATAGTCACATATTTATAGACACAGATATTAAGTGACATTGTTCTTTCATGTATAATTTTGCATCACGAACTGACGTTAGCTTAAAAATTATACGATTCCATTTCTTTTTTATTTTTTTTTAATTGATATATATTGCATCAATTTTCAATAATAATCATCACAATAAGTCTGTCTAGATTCTTAATAACATTATGAACATTGCTATTAAAAGTCAAGACATGCAACGGCATCAGAAAAAACAAGAAAAACAAGATATACCGTCCGTCAACCAACTATCTGATCCTATTCTTAAATGCTTAAAAGTGTCTCCTAACTTATTCACACCAGAAAAACTAAATATATTCGATACAGTTATTTTATATACAACCTTGATCAATTGTTCACAACATATTGAACAAGGTGAAAGATTAAATAATCTATCATGGAGAATTATTAACAAAGCTTTGTTAAAGGATAAATCTATCAATAAATCCAAAAAGAGAGATGGTGTCAAAAATTTGTATTATGTATTGAATCCAGTTCATAATAAGAATAACAGTAATACTAGTAAAAATAACACTACAAGTAATAGCGGTAACAGTAGTAATATCTCAGGTGAAAATAACGTTCCCGACGTTTTTAGCACAACTATAAGTAATATTAATAAATCAACTAATGAAGAAGATACAAATAGTAAAGAGCAGCCCAAAGCGAAAAAAACAACTTTAAACAGTACTTATAATTCATCTAGCGGATTATTTACCCTTTTAGGGCAAAGGTACCAACACCATGAAAACTTTAGGACCAACAATAGTCAAACTAATAAAGTTACCAATAAAATTAATAAAAACACTTATTTGCATCTTAATGACAACCATAAAATACGTAATGATATTAATAGTAATGGAAAACATCCAATTATTGTTACAGGCTTCGACACAAATACTTTAATCACCAAGACTAAAACTATCAAGGCTAATTCAGGTGATAATGCTACTGATTTTTCAGGTGATAACTCTAAATATTCTAAATATAATAAAAAAGGAAACGATAACAATAATGCACCAGGTTTAATGCGACAGAAAAACTCATTATTTACTTACCCTTCATCCAAGTATAATACCGGTAATAATAATAATATCAACGACAACAATAAGAAAAACCAAAACCATAATTCAAATAGAATATTTTTTAGTAGTGAGGATGAAGATGAAGATGAAGATGACTCTGATTGGAATAGTCTTTCTAGTGATGAAGATGCATATGATTATGATGACTACAGCGATGACGATAATCATGAGAGTAGCCATAAGGCTAACAAAAAAGATGAATTTGGTCATGAAGATGATGAAGAGGATGACGATCAATACTATAAGCGACAATGGAATAAACTAGTGTTTACTAAACAGAGTAAATTAAGAGCCACTGTATCACCTAGTGATTCAATTCCATCATCTGGCGATAGATCCAACGAGGGTTTAACGCCATCTACTTCAAATGAACAAATTGTGAGAAAAAGTTTGTTAAGTGGATTATTTTCTAATGAAAAGAGTCATCATTCAAATCATTCGACTTTATCTCCAAATTCCAAGTTATCATCTGGGCAAAATTCTTCTACATCAAGTTTACATCACCATCATCATGTACTGCCTACTACAAGTAATATTTCACACTTGAATAAAGATACTATCACTGCAGCAACAACAGTGACAGCTCACGGTTCAGTAACATCAGCTCAAGGACCAATGAACGCAATAGTACCGTTAGAAGAAATGATGCAAAGAGAAAGACGTGGTAGACAAATGAATAGACAATTAACAACAATACCAACAGAATCAAGAAAGATTTCTCGTAGGGACAGTTACAATAGCCTATTTTCTGAAGAAGATGAAGAAGAGGAGAATGCCTTTAATGGTAAAGAAATATCAAGAGGGAGAAGTAATATTCATAATAACGGTAACCATGATAAACAATCTAATGCACCGTTGACTGCTCAAACTATTTTACCAACTGCCCTATCCACACATATGTTTTTACCAAATAGTGTTATTCAACAGCGAAGAGCATCTAGAAACGGGAATATTGCTGATGAAACACAACAGAAAACAAGATCAGGTCAATTCAAAGATCAAATTGGACAAACGCCGATTACAAGAAGAGAATCTATAGATATTCCAATAAAAAATAGAGGTCATTTGTTTTTAAAAACAAGGATGGAGATTTCTGAAGAAGAAAAATACATACGGAGAAAACACCTGGGTAATGCAAATTGAAATAATTTAGGTTCTATATTTTTATTCTTGTATTTGCTTACTTTTTAATAAATTTGTTAGTCACTATTTTATTTGATTTTTGAATTAACTGTATTGTATTTAGTCACGATAATCATATAGATATTAGAAGTATATATACCCTCATTTACGAATGTTAATAAGACCATTATTGATATGTCTTTATTTTTTATCAGACTTCCTCTATTATATTACTCATATGTCGATCAATATTTTAAGTATCTTTCTATTTATTGATCACATCTACTATCTATGTCACATACTAAATTTCTGTCTTTAATAAAAAAAGCATAAAGAAAAGACAACAAAGATAAAAAGAAAAATTCAAAGCTCATCGCCGAATTTGAAAAAAATTAAAAATTTTCAGTAGAGATGAACATTTGAATAGATTTTTCTCACATGTACAACATAGATTATACTGCTCGACATGTGTAGGTCCCCAGTATAAGGAACCAAAGTATTTTATTCCAAAAGAAGTCAGTCTACTACAGTTTACATTAGTTAAAGAAAATCTTTGATTATCAAACCAAAACTTTTTTTTATTAAATAAAGGTGAAATGTTAAGAAGACAAGCTCGTGAAAGGAGAGAATATTTATATCGTAAAGCTCAACAATTACAAGAAGCCCAACTTAATGAAAAACGTCAAATTATAAAACAAGCTTTAGAACAAGGTAAACCTTTACCTAAGGATATTGCAGAGGATACCAAACTACAAGAAGATTACCGTTATGATCAAACTATCAATTTAGCGAATGAAGAGATCGATGATGAATATGCACACACTAGCGGGATAGTTGACCCTAGAATTATTGTGACCACTTCTCGTGATCCAAGTACGAGATTGTCACAGTTTGCAAAAGAAATTAAATTAATGTTCCCTCAGGCGACCAGACTGAACCGTGGTAATTTGATCATGTCTAATCTTGTCAGTGCTTGCATTAAATCTGGTACAAGTGATGTGATTGTTCTACATGAACATAGAGGTGTGCCGACCAGCTTAACTATATCCCACTTTCCTCATGGTCCTACTGCGTTTTTTAGTTTACACAACGTTGTATTAAGGCATGATATATTGAACCGTGGCAATGTGAGTGAAGTTAATCCGCATTTAATATTTGATGGATTTGAAACTAAATTAGGTAAAAGAGTCGTTACGATACTAAAACATTTATTTGCCCCAGGGCCTAAAAAGGACAGTGAAAGAGTAATAACATTTGCTAATAGGGGTGATTTTATTAGTGTTAGACAACATGTCTATGTCAGAACCAGAGATGGGGTAGAACTAGCGGAAGTAGGCCCTAGATTTGAGATGAGATTATACGAACTAAGACTAGGTACCTTGGATAACAAAGATGCTGATGTTGAATGGCAACTAAGAAAATATGTTAGAACTGCTGCTAGAAAGGACTATTTATAGCATTCTACTCATTCATTTTACTTTATTAGCATCCATCTTAGAGCTCACAATATAGAGATACTTAAAATATAATTATATATATACATTAGAATACCAAATATAATTCTACAGTAATTTTAAAATAAAAAATGGTTTGTAAATTATGTTAAGAATTGCATATGATTTTTTTCTATTTTATTCATTAATTATTTTTTTTTTTTTGGTTTTTACATAAACGAATGTTGTATAATGTATATAACAAGTAAAGTGATTTATATATAGTTGTAAAAACTGCATAAAAATAATCTATTAGAGGACATGCCATAAACCAGGAAGGAACATATATCAAAAATTGTGATGGAAAAAACAGATAAATAAAACTTAAAGATGACAAGATTTTATTATCATAAAATGCATAATATTTTAAAAATAACCATATTTTAAGTAAATGTGGTAAAATCAAAATAAAATAAAATAAATAAATAATCTAGTATTCAATCTATATTAGTTTTTAAGAAGTAATCTAGAAATTTATATCATTTTAGAATATCAGTGTTGATTTTAAGAATAGGCAAAAAAAAAAATAAAAACTAATACTATACACAGTTATTCTTTGAATATTCTATTATTTGGACGATAAAACTTTATCTTTAATCATATCACCAATTTTTTCCTTTTGTAGTTGGAAGTTTTCTACAAGGATAGAATCATTCAAATTCATATGTTCTGTAGGATTATTATCGAAATGTTGTTGTAATGTTATTACTGAACTGGTTTTATTCTTGGAGTATAAAAAGTTTGTAGTTTTTAGTAAGAATGATGTATTTTTAATGGAAGAACTAGAAGATGATCTTAAATTCTTAATTTTTGTTGGTAGGCATGATACAGAACCATTGACACCATGTCCTGGATAATAACCATCAACTGCAATATCGTCATTATCATTAGTCTCGTTTGCTATACAACCATTTTTACTCCTTTCCTTTTCACATTCGCTGTCACTTTCACTCTCACTTTCACTTGAGGTAATATGAAATTGAGACATACTTTCAATCAACTTAGCCTCTTTTAACCGTTTCCCAGATTGTAAATGAGCTATATCCCTGTTAATAGATTTATTTAAATGATTCTTTATAGATAATGGGGTCAAATTTCCCGTAGACACTGGGTCTTGCAATAAGACAGATGACGTGTGATTGATATTATTAGTTAATGTATCTTCAATCACTGAGCTGGAGGGGCTAATAGGCGATTTAGAGAAAGATATATTTCCGTTATTAAAGGAGGGCTTTCTTGATTGTTGTTGTGGGGATAAACATACTGATGAAGATCTACCAGGTGCAAATGGATTAAAAAAACTTGAGTTAATGCTATTGGTATTATTAATACTATTGTTAACCTGTTGTGATGGCGATGTAGACATTTTAAAATTAGATGCAGACTTAGATATAGTCAAAGAAGGTCTTTTACTTGGATTTGATGCACTATGTATCTCTTTAATTTTTTCATCAGTCAACAGGTCGTTATATGAATAAAAATTTAATACTTTAGATCCATTACTTTCAGATTCTTTATTTTGTTGATCTTTAATGTCACTGTTGTGTGTTTCGTCTGTATTTGTAGAATTACTGGGATTATTATTGTTCTGAGAATGATTTGAGAGCTTACCTAAAGCCATGTCTAATCCAATCGTAGATGAAGATCTGGAATGAATGATGTTGACATCAGCTATATCAGTGACATCTTCTGCCATTAGAGAACAGCTTGCATCCAGTGCTGGAGCGACCGAATTTTCTAGGGTTCTCCTCCTATGATGGTGAAACCCATCATCTACTAAGGGTGAGCTAACTGCAATATTGCTGTTGAAACTATTACCATTAGAAGATGGAATAAAACTTGATGAATAACTGACTGATTTAGACAGTGGAGATAATAAAGGATTCGAAAAACTTGCAGAAGAATTCGTCCTAGAGAGGCGCCTATTGGGGATAATAGAGATAGGTAATGGAATTACTGGCGTGGAATTATCATTAGTGCTAAAGGAATGAGTAGACGCTATCGAGTCGCCAGTCCTTTGTCTAGTCAGAGAAACACTAGAATTACTTCTTTGTTTGGACAAGTCATGGGCAGTCAAAGAAGTTAAAGTCGTGTTATTTGAATATGGCAACAGGAAGGGGTCATCTTGGACATTTCTTTCGAAGATTAAAGATCTATCACTGATAGTTGGAGACTGGAAATTTTCAGCTGTAACGAACCCCATCTGCTCAGTCAAGTTTTCAGGAAGATTATTGCATTCTACATCAGTAATATTACCAGCATCCTTATGATTTCTATGATCTTGTAACAAATCCATAACTTAAACTAATTAAAACTTTTCTTATAGTATTTTATTTCTCTATATTATCTTAATATTTTATGCGTATATACGTCTATGCAATACTTGTAATAAAACTAGACTGTTTGATGCAATTAATTTAATTAAATAATATTAACAACAAAACAAAGAGAAAGAAACGATTACTGCTTGGCACTTTTAGAATATAATATAAATTTGCTTTCAACTTATATCCTATTAATATATACACATATATATATATATATATTACCAATAATTAGGTTAATAAGCAGTTATGTGAAATTAAGATTGTGTGATAACCAAGCAGAGGGTGTCAAATGACAGCCTTGATAAGATAAAGAGTCGGAGAATATCTATTAAAAGGCAGAGAGAAAATTGAGAGTAAAAATAGAAGATATAGAGGCGAAGCCGGAGAGATCGACAGAGAATTGACAAAAACGGTGCCTGCAAGATCGAAAATATTCTCCCCAGAAAAAACAAAAGAACGGAGAAATTAACAAAGGGAAATTCCTAAAAAGCAAAAAACAAAAAACAAAAAATAAAGAATACAGAAATTTCTCGAGCAATTCTGCACCGTGAAGACACACAAACACACAGAGATATATACAGAAATAGAAATAGGCTATCTGACTCTCTATTCTTATATATGTTCGTGTCTATAACTATATGTGTGTGGTGAGATAAGCAGAGGTAAATAAATAAATAAATAGATAGATAGATAAAAGAATCTTGCTGACATAAGTAGAATATTCGGGTGAAAGGAAATGGAAGATATTAGATATGACATTTTTATCATTAAATAACTGCTTGTATAGGGTCTTTTCCGCAAGAAGCACTCAAAAGATAGGTAGCAGGGCCTTGATATTAAATCAATTAGTACACAATAATTTATCGTGTAAACCATACTCTCAGCAAGTGAATCACAATGTCAAAACTCCCACGGTTAAAGATTCGATTCAAGTTGATACAACAGTATTAGAATTACAAGAAAGAAATAAAAAAATCGAATTTAATTGCGATAAATACTATCCATCCATGACCGAACTTCAAAAATATGATATGTTCAAAGTGGAAAGAATTACTTTGTATGAATTTAGAAACAAATTTGGAAACATGACGGATACTGAATTAAAAGAATTCAATGAGTCAGTTCAATTGGTGTATGGCCGCATTCGAAACATTAGATCAAGTGGGAAAAAAATTTGGTTTCTTGATATTGATGACCATTCTCACATATCAGGTTACAAAGACCAATCATCCCAATTGCAAGTTATTGTTAATTTTAAATCAATAAATTTGGGAAACAGCGAAGTAACATTATCCCAATTCGAGTCTCATATGAGTCAATTAAGAAAAAATGATTATATTCAGTGTTTTGGTATACCGAGGTTATCCCAATCACGAAACCGTAATTTATCATTATCTGTTCAAATGCTACCTAGAATAGTATCACCTATTCAAAGCCCTTTACCGTCAGGCTTATCAGAGGTGCAGAAGAGAAATAACAATAGAGTCGTTGACTATCAAGTGAACGGTATTTATCCATTAATTCAGAGAGCTGTCATCATCCGTCTGATAAGAAACTTTTATCAGGACATCAATGGGTTTGTCGAAGTGGAAACACCATTATTATCGTCAAAAGCCAATGGTGCATCTGCTAGACCATTTAAAGTTCAATTTAAAGATGGTCATAATTTAGAATTAAGGATTGCTCCCGAATTATGGTTGAAAAGGCTTATTATCAGTGGGATGCCCAAAATATTCGAAATTGGGAAAATGTTTAGAAATGAGGGGATCGATGCCTCACATAATCCAGAATTTACTATGTTAGAATCTTATCAAACTTATGCTACAATGGAAGATCTGATTGAGTTAGCAGAATCTCTATTCAAATATGTACTTTGTAACATAACCTGGGAGAATGACACAATCAAGGAGTTAAGAAATATTTTAAGCTCTAATAACTGGCGTTTTAAAAGAATAGAATTTCTGCCTACACTATCTAAAGAATTAGGTGTTTGTATGGACGGTGTCAATTTAGAAGATTCGTTAGAATTAATTACGTTGATACCTGAAGACGTAAAGAGAAAACTTAATTTGCAAGGAAACATGTCCTCAAGTCAAATCTTAGATAAATTATCAAGCCACTACTTAGAAGATAGAATTTGCAGTACAATACACCCAACAATAATCTATCATCATCCCTTGGCAATGTCACCTTTGGCCAAAAGTGTGCCATTTAAACCAAGAATTACTCAAAGGTTTGAAATGTTTATTAAGGGGAAGGAATATATTAATGCTTATGAGGAAGAGAATTGTCCACAGGTTCAATTAAACAACTTTTTGAAACAACAAAAGGATAAGAATAATAAGATGAACAACGTACACATTTCCACTATATCCAGTGGCATTAAAGATAACATTAATAACGAATCCATGCCTGTAGATTATAAATATGTTGAAGTCATGCGTTCGGGGATGCCACCAACAGGCGGTTTGGGGCTCGGTGTAGATAGATTGTGCATGTTGTTAATGGAAAAGCCAAGAATTGAACAAGTGTTACCTTTTGGATCGCTTGACGATGTAAACAGACAGTAGTAAAACAAATACCTTAAATAAAACTTGTAAATATTTCCTACTAAATATCCAATAAATACATATCTTGTCAATTTACGAAAAAGATAGACACATTTAAAATATCAATTTGGTATGGGTCATCCTGCCCAGTTGATTTATTTATATCATTTATAAATCGATTTGTGCAGTGAAATTAAATAACTTACGTAATATTATACAGTTTTCATTTCATTTTGATTTTCAATATTTACATATATATATATATATTTACGTGTTGAATTTTTCAACTTGTGGCTTGTTTTTACGTATTTTCTCTTTAATTATGTATGCTCTACAGATAAAAAAAAAATCACACAGTTTTAAAATATACATCTGGAGGAGGAGAAAGAGGAGGTGTATCTCAATAACCACGACAGGATAACAAATATCCGTATTGATATATAAAAAATTAGTTGTATTACACACACATATATATATTGCTTGTTTGTTTGTTTTTTTCTATTCTCCAATGCTACCTCCTACAGTCAAAGAAGCAATCGATTCAATCCATTCCACTTCATATTTCTCCAACATACCTAGCAGATTATTAGACACTGATTTAAATGATCCGATTATAATGGGAGTAGATGAAGCAGGCCGTGGCCCTGTTTTGGGTCCCATGGTTTATGCAGTAGCATATTGTAGGAAATCGTATCAAGATTCTGTAATCATGCCAAATTATTCATTTGACGATTCAAAAAAATTAACTGACCCAGTAAGAAGACAATTATTTTCTAAGATGTATGGGGAATCATGTGAAATCGAGCAAATTGGATATGCTACCACTGTAATAACGCCACTAGATATATCCACAGGTATGAATAGATTCCCACCCACGAAGCAATATAATCTAAATGAACAAGCCCATGATGTCACAATGGCTTTAATACAAGGTGTACTTGACCATGGTGTCAAACTATCGCATGTATATATTGATACAGTGGGGCCTCCATCAAGTTACCAAAAGAAATTACAAGAAAGATTTCCTAATATCTCGTTTACTGTAGAGAAAAAGGCAGATACGTTATATTGTATGGTCAGTGTAGCAAGTGTCATTGCCAAAGTGACCAGAGACCTTCTAATTGAATCTCTTGGGTACGAAAACATTGGTTCTGGGTATCCAGGTGACCCAAATACAAAAAAATGGCTAAGAGATATGCAGAGCCCGTTAATGGGCTGGCCACATAATGTAGTTCGATTTTCATGGCAGACTGCTAAAACTTTGTTAGAAGAAAATGCAAAGAATGGATCAGGAATAAATCTACAATGGGAAGAGGATTTTATTAACACCAAGAAATTGTTACAGAAGCAATGGGAAAGACAAGCTGAGAAAAGAAAACAACTAGAGCATGAATTGCCAATAACTCTAGACAATTGGTATCACTGAAGTCAGATGAGTGTGTTTCCTTGTATTGCTTCTTAATCTTTTCCTCTTCCCTTTCCCCCCTTCTCCTTCAATAAAACAACACTGTAATTCCTTCAGAAGTTGTTAAAGAATCTAATGAATAGTAGACAAAACATATATAATGTATATATGGATATGTTATATGTATGCGTACATAGATTACCGTCTTAGGAAATAATTGAAATTTCCACATTCTTTTTCCTATTTTGGTAATTGGCTTCATGTTTTTCAGTTTTCTCCAATTGAGAGCTTTTTTTTTTTTACTTTTTTTCTTACCATAAAGATATCATAAGGGATAATACTCAAACAGTTATTCTGGCATGGTGTTGAATCAACTTTGGTAAACATACAAACGTATATTGTGTATATGTATGTGTATGTATTTGTGCGTATCTATAGTGTTGAACTATCTATTTTTAATCTGACCATTCAATGATGTTAGTTAAGTATATTCGCCTGTCGTGCTGTGCTAATATAAAGTGTCTTTTGAACAAACGAAATAATCGTTATACATATTAATATAAGATAATATAAATATCGTTTTAGCTCAGTTACCTTTTGGCTTTGTTTTGCACGTTTACTTATACATAATGTCGTCTGTTCTATCGAGATCACTATTGTCACGTGTGTCTAGAAGCCAAGTGTTGTTAAATTCAGCCAGATCCCAGCTTAAGTTGCAATTAAGATGCTACGCTTCATACCCAGAACATTCAATCATCACCATGCCTGCTTTGTCTCCAACCATGGCTCATGGGAACCTGGCAGCTTGGGTCAAGAAAGAAGGTGATCAATTAAATGTAGGGGATGTCATTGCTGAGGTTGAAACTGATAAAGCTCAAATGGATTTTGAATTTCAAGACGAAGGTTACTTGGCTAAAATTTTGGTACCTGAAGGTACTAAAGATGTTCCAGTGAATAAACCAATTGCTGTCTTTGTAGAAGACGAAGCAGACGTGGCGGCTTTCAAAGATTTCAAATTAGAAGATGCTACTACGCAGTCTACTGCCTCAGCTGTTGGTATTAAGGATTCATCAACCAACAATAAACCTGCAAAGAATGAAACAACTACTGCACCAATAACTAATGCCACTTCTGATACAAAGAAATCAGTATCTACAGCATCTGACTCGACTTCTACAACATCAAGAATATTTGCCTCACCTTTGGCAAAAACCATGGCTTTGGAAGAAGGTATTGCTTTAAAGAATGTTGTTGGTACTGGTCCACATGGCAGGATTGTTAAGGCGGATATTGTAAAGTATTTGGAAAAAATAGCTGCTGCAGAAGCTTCCGTCCCTGAGACCTCAGTTAAACAACAAAAGACTACTGCGTCTGTGACTTCTACTGCTTTTTCTTCCACAACATCTGTTTCCAATACATATGAAGACATTGAAATTACTCAAATGAGAAGGATCATAGCAGACAGATTATTGGAATCTACTAAATCAATTCCTTCTTATATAGTGTCATCTAATATTTCTGTCACTAAATTACTAAAATTGAGAGAATCCTTGAATTCTAGTGCTAATGGTAAGTATAAATTATCAATCAATGATATCTTAATGAAAGCCATAAGTGTAGCTGCAAAGAGGGTTCCAGAAGCCAATTCTCAATGGCTTGGTGATCAAGGTATTATTAGAATATATAAGAATGTGGATATCTCTGTCGCTGTTGCCACACCAACAGGACTGATCACTCCTATTGTTAAGAATGCTGAGTCTAAGGGTCTTGCTACCATCTCTGCTGAAGTGAAAGATTTAGCTAAGAGAGCCAAAATCAATAAATTACTACCACAAGAATTCCAAGGTGGTACTATTTGTATTTCTAACATGGGAATGAACCCAGCCGTGTCTATGTTTACTTCTATTATTAATCCACCTCAATCAACCATCTTAGCTATTGGGACAGTCCAAAGAGTTGCTGTGGAGGATGCAGGTGCTGAACAAGGTTTTACCTTTGACAATCAAATTACAATTACTGGTACCTTTGATCATAGGACCATTGATGGAGCTCGTGCAGGTGACTTCATGAAGGAATTGAAAGCTGTTATTGAAAATCCGCTAGAGCTATTGTTATGAAATGATATCATACATTGTTTCTGTTATGATTGTCACTGTTAGCTAGTTATTATCTAACAGACGATGAGAAAAATCACATATTCTTCTTTTAAAATTTGTCTAGTTACTTTATTATTCTTATTTATAACTGTATTTATTTTGAATTTATATAATGTAATCTCTTCATTATATCGTATCGTTTTCTGTGATATTTCTAGTTTTGATATTTTTAGTGTTGTGTTTTTTTTTTCTCATCCAAAAATTCCTCAGAAAAAAAAAAGATAGTAGATATAGAATTTGAAGTGTAAAGGTTTAAAGCACAATTATGTTGTGAAGTCTTTAAAAGCATTAAAAAAAACTCACATTTAGTTTATAATGCATCCACCTTGGAACTTCTAAGATATACGTGCAATTGAACGTTCAGATAACGAACACATATATATCGACATTCATTTATTCATTATTACACATTTTAGTTCTTTTAAAAAAAAAAAAAAAAAAAACAAAAAATGAAGTTTTTAGCATCCTTTATTTTAAGTGACGAATCTAAGGAACGTTTTACTAAGATATTCAATTTAACACATACAGTAGCTCACTATGGTTGGATTCCATTCATTTTATATTTAGGATGGTCACATTCTAGTAATAGACCAAACCTATTGAACCTTTTGTCTCCATTACCAAGTGTGTGAGACTCAGTAAGTAACAATAAATTCAAAAAAAAAAATTCATGTTAATATTTATATATATGCATATGTTTAAAACTAAAGTGTGATAAGAAGATAAAGCTAAAGTATTACTGCTAATGCTAAGGTTATATCTTTTCTGCTGTTGTTTTTTTTTTTGTTTTTTTCTTTTTTGCTTAACTTGATCTTAAATATTCATGTGTATATCTGTATATCTGTATATCTGTATATCTGTATATCTGTATATATACTATATTATGTTTTATCCTTTTTATTTTTTTAATACAACATTAATATGATGAAGGTTATATCACTACTATATGTTTGCTCTCTTTTAGAAATAAAGAGTCTTGATAGCGTAATATTAAATATACCCTTTGTTCAATCTAGATTGAATATTATATTAAAATTATTACTTAATTTTTTATTATGGTTTATGCTTTAATTTTATTTAACATATTTTGATCTTGATAACTAAAATTGAAGAAAGTACATAAATGTTTTTTTGTCAGATTTACATATGTATACGTATGTGAAATAAAATTAAAATTAAAATTAGACTTTAATTAATTTAGTAACCGAAGGCAGCTAATTGCTTAGCAACATCAGATTCGGCAGCAGCGGCGTTGGCGGCAGCAATCTTCTTGTTGAAAGCCTTCTTCTTGGCGTAGTATTCGGCAGATCTGACCTTTCTCTTTTCTTCTAATTTGGCAACAACATCTTCGTATTTCCAACCAACAGAAGAAGATAATTGACCTAAGGTGGTGTATTTTCTACCTTGCTTCAATCTTAAAACTCTTAAGGCGTTTGGAACAACAACTCTCTTCTTCTTGTCATATGGTGGTGGGACACCTTCAAAGACCTTTAATCTTTCTAAAGCGGCCTTACCACGAGCAGTCTTGTGAGCAATCATACCTCTGACAGCCTTGTAGAAGATTCTGGATGGAGCTCTGAAGTGGAATGGACCTCTAGTCTTGTTGAAAACAGTAGCCTTTCTTAAGTAGTCATGGTACTTTAATTTGTTTCTGAAGAATTCACCAGAGATATTTAATTGTTCAGCTCTGACAACAACGATCTTTTGACCTTCTAATAATTGTTTGGCGACAATGGAAGCTAAACGACCTAATAAATGGCCCTTACCATCAATGACAACAACTGGTTCAAAAGTAGACATGTTTACTCCTCTTGGTTGGTCTCTACACCTCCTTTTCTCCGTAACTTCAAGAGGATGCTACGTAATAGTGTAATGCAGCACCTAGTATTCAAATAGTACAATAGGCTAGCCCATATCAAATAATTTAGCGATATCAATAAATTTTTGAATATATCTTTGGCACAATCTAGTCTCACTAACTAATTTCGTTGCTTAAACCCCAATGTGACCGATCATAACATCATCACTAGATCCATTCTAACCAGGCCGCTATCAGTGGGACCTGGCACCACCATCGCATGGCCCACCGTCGGTAAGTGTGTGTTTTCCCCTGTCTTCACATTCTTGCTGGAGAGGTCTAAATTCACCCAACCATTAGAGAACAGAGCCTTGGTAGAGGTAAAATGGAGAACGAGAGAAAAGAGCAGGGGGTTTACAGGGCAAAAGGGAGATGGAGGCGGCGAAACAGCGAGGCAGCAAGAGGGGAGGGGGAAAGGTACTCTGCTTAGTGGAAACAAAACCTTTGCTCTGAACAAAAGGGCACACATAGGTTCAGCTCTTACTACTGTTTGTCTCCCAGACAGAAGGAACAAGTGAGACGGTTGTTTGTCTGTTGATTGTGATACTAAAGAAGAATCAGTTCACTTCTCAGCCATCATGCTTAGCTAGGCAGAGAAATGTCATACATCTTGTGTCATTTTGTTCCAGGTCAATTTAACGAGGGACAGCAGGGGTGCGGGAATGGGCGAAAAATAGCTATGATGCATTGATTTTATTACAAAAAATGGAAATGCCAATGCACCCAAAAAAAAATAAAAAATTAATCTAACATTCAAGGGTGTCCGGATGTAACCGTCTTGTAAACAAAGAAAAAAAGAAAAAAAAAGAATATCTGTTATAACTGTTTGTTTGTTTTTACATAAAATATTACATTTCTTCGCCAAAACGATCATGAATAATACATATAACAATGAAACACGTATATATACATATAGGAGACAGCCGTTTTACAAAAAAAAATTATTATATTATTATTGTAAATAATATTCTCTATATCTATATATATGTGTTGAAATAATACAAAGAAAAAAGTAATTACGATGTATATGCAATGGATAAAAATATACTTGAATATGCTTCAAATAAGTTGTGTAGAATAAGTTATCTTATTTTTCAATATGTCTTTTAAAAAACATTTGATTGTAAATAATATGTTTCTATAACTGTTTTTTTTTTTAAAAAAAATATTTAGATGTTGAACATTTGGTTGTGTTTTGTTTCGTTTTGTCTTGTCCTCGTGTTTTAATTATTCACGGTACTTAGTTTTGCATTTTCTGTATCTAAAATTAGATTTCTGTTTTGATTCACTGAACTTTTTATACCAGTCGAACTAGTTTCAGATTTTGTATCTGTTTCTTTGCTAGTGGTCGCATCTGTAGCTGCAGATGTGACAATACTTTGTGATCTCAAAGGAAATGATGTAGAAGCCCACAAAGTGCCATTTATTTTACTATTCTCAGCAGGTTCATTGTTCTTATCGAAATGACTGGTAGAGAAAGTAGCAACATTCATATCATTATCTTCCCGAGAATTGATGGATGCAATTGCTGGTGTATTAGTAGTGGAGCTAAACTGTAATAAATTCCATACACCAGGCGATGACTTGTTACTATTTAACAATTGTTTTTTGCTATTTGCTGAAGTTGCTAAACCACTTTCAGATGAAATTGCTGGGGTACAACTACCATTGTTATTAGTAGTGTCATTATCATATTTATTATTGGATGGAGCTTCACTGTTTCCTGCAGTATTGGAAACATCCGGGGATTTAGTCTCTTGTTGGTTTATAACACTTCCACGTTCAGGAGTATATGCCTCCATAGCGCTGATATGGAATCCCTTGTTGGGAGATCTTAATAACGTATCATATCCACTTGATAAAGTTTGTTCAAGTTTGTTTCCTGAAAAAGGAATAGTTATATTGGACGCCGATAATTTGTCTGAATTATTAGTAACAGTGATATGATCGTTGTTGTTATTGTTGCTATTGCTGTTGCTATTGCTATTTGTTTCCATAACATTTTCTTTGTTAACCTGATTTATATTCATTTTCTCAGTCCTTGATATTTCATTATTCTTCATGTTTGTGTTTTCCATTAAACCGGTAGGAATATTACCAGTATTTGAAGAACTCTTGGAAGAAGTAGTGGATGTACTGTTAGAATCCATTACAATCTTTGGTAATATGATGTTTTGATCTTTGGTCTGTAAACTTTGATTTTCACTATGATTGTTCGTATCATTTTCTTGTGGGAATTTACTGTTTTGACTTTGGAAAAGTTCACGTTCTTGTCCATGTTGTGGTTGTTGTTGTTGTTGGTTCTGATCTACGGAATTTAACAATGTGTTGGATACATTGTCATTAGGGATTTCATTATTCAAAGGATATGTGGCATTATCTGTTTTTGTAGTATTATTATTACTATCATTAGCAGTAAAAGTAATTTGAACAGTGTGTAACTGTTGGATATTATTGTTTGGATTATTAACATTCTGGCTATTGTTGTTGGTAGCTGATTCAGTACCACTATTGTTATTATTATTATCATTAGTGGTAGTATTAGTATTAATATTATTACCTTCAACATTAGTCTGGTTAATATTATTTGTTGATGGGGTCTCCCCATAGGGGTTTAGTAAATTTCCATTTTCGTCACGTCCTGGTAATCTATGATATTTAGATAAATGTATGTACAATTGTCTAGAAACTGGTGAACTTCTTTTTATCTTGGACAAATTGCCAGAATACCATGCATTCAAAAATTCCTTTTGGAATTTCTCACTGACTCTCCATTTCATACCTTTCCCAGGCTCATTAGGTCTCCGAGGAACTTTTTCGAATGCTTTGTTCAACGATAAGTTATGTCGAATTGAGTTCTGCCAACCACTTTTCGTGTATCTATAATAGGAATAATTTGTGGAAATAAATCTATATATATCAGATAAAGAAATAACACCTTCTTTGCTTGATAGGATAGCTTGTGTGATCATAGTGGCGTATGAGTAAGGTGGCTTTACAGATCTATTTTCATCTAGGGATAAATCAGTTGCGTAATCCATTGCATTTGGGAAACCGCTCTCCACCAGTGCAGTAAGTCTTTTCATGTTTGCCTCTGATGAAGACTGTGATACTACATTATAGGAATAATCACCATTGACTATTGTGGTGGGGCCAGAGAGTTCATTGTATGGTACATTATTATTCGTGGTAGCAGATGGAATGTTGCTGTGGATCAACGTGTTATATTTTAATTGATGATTATTAAAATCACCGGAACTATTGCTGCCATTAAAATTATTATTTGGTACGGTACTATACATCTTAAAGATTCTAAATTCTTGACTTGTAGAGTTGTTATTATTACTGTCAATAAGTTTTGAAGAATTAATGTCGCTATTGTCTGTGATATTGTTTCTTGAATTTTGGAAAGCTATAGATGCATTATTATTGCCGTTATTGTTATTGTTCAAAGGATTTTGTAAAGCTTGCTCAAATTTCAATCTTTCTCTTTCTTGTATTGCATACGGTGAACTTTTTATCAAATCATTGATCAATAGATTATTTGTACTCGGTTGTAGACCAAAGATTCTTGTCAATTTAGGTATTAAATAGTCTAGTGCAGACTCGGACAATAAAGGTATTTGATCTGGTAAAATGAAGATCATTTGAGTACCACCAATATCTAGAATGGTACCGGATTGCAAAGGGATAGTAGTTGGAGGACTAGACTTAGAAACACTATGAGGGATTCTACGGAAATTGACTTTGGCACCGTTTCTTCCAATAACATGTAACTCCCAATAACCTTGTTGAATGTTATATTTAATTATGGCATGTTTTCTTGATACCACCTTAGCTGGACCTAGATCAATGTCTACTTTATTTGGATCATGTGTTAGATTGCTATTTAAATCGGGTAAGACATCGAATTTGGATTCTGTATCTCTTCCTATGCTGATCTCTAAATTTTTCACATAATAAGTCCAATCTTTACCAGATATTTTAGCATATGCCTGAACTTCGGTGGCCATGTTCCTATCATTTGAGTAATGTTTTGAGACTATTGTGGGTTCGTTGGGAGAATCTAACGAAGATATGACGAAATTGATTAGGCTCTCATGCTGTTCTGCTGTATAACGGTTTGAATAGTAAGGATTCGTTGTCATTGCCCTTATAAGACGCAATTGAATAAATAAAAAAAAAAAAAAAAAGACTTAACAAAAAAATCAAGTTAAAGGGTAGTTTTAGACGATTAATGAAAGCTATATACAAAAACCCAAATTACTTTATTATTTGTTTGTTAGTTTTTTGCGTTTGTGAATTCAATTATAGTTAATCAACTTTCAATTTTTGTTTTTCTTAGTGAAAGGTGTTATCTAACTGAAATAAACATATACATTAATGCTTATAATAAGTAGTAGTTCCATAAGACAAGTAAACAAGTAAACAAAGATAGAATAAAATAAAATAAACAGTATATTGATTATCTCTAATCAGTTCCCATTACAAGTGTTTTTTTCCACATCACATCAAATTTCATCAAATAAACAAACAGAAATGTAAACAAAAACAGTAAACAAAAAAAAAATGGAACTGCGGGTTTTTTTTTCCGGGCTATTGTAAATATTTAGAAAAGGAAAGAAAACTATATATAAAAAAAAAAAAAAAAGGATACTGTGGGTCAGGTGAACATATATTTTTTATATTTCTTTTTTCCCCAGATATGGTAGCGCCATTAATTGTCCAATTGAATCACTCCTTTTTTCTTTTCTTTTCTTTTCTTTTTTTTTTTTCCCAGTCAGTCGATGCCTATAGCCTGTTTCATTCAAATCTTCCTACATGACCCACACAGGTGGGATTCTTTAGATATACAAGTATATATAGCTACCATCAAGTACACAAATGTTTTTTGTTGGTAGGTGTTTATGCAGGAGGAGGGGGAGCCAACTTGCAAAGAATGAAAGAGATAGTTCTTGTTTCTAAATACAATTTAAAAGAAAAAAAAAAAAAAAAAAAAGAATTTTGGATAGTACTAGTAGTCGTCACAAAAGTGAATTGTGGTTGACATTAGCTTAGCATATTCAAAAAAAAATATAAAGGTATATATATATAGTTATATTTTAGAGTTTGTGCAATCATATGCTAGTAAATAGCGGTAGTGGTGATTGAGATTGCTATTGTTATTGTCGTTGTTTTCTTTTTTTTTTTTGTTTCAACAAAATATAGCCGCCAAGAAGAATATGGTAGACAGCATTTTGAGAGAGAATGCAAAACGAACATATATAACTATATATATATGCAAAGAAAAGTAGGTAGAAATGACAGATAGCTAATGGGTAAAAAATGGCTAAATGAAGGTAGGTTACAGAGTGTTGAGCTAATGTTTTGTTATAAATAGCTATGGCAGTACGATTATCTATGTAATTTTTTTAACAAACAGTAGTCAAACTTATTGATTAGACTAGATATGACATATTCATAACAACTACTATCGATATCAAAAGTGATAACTCAGTTGACACATAGTATACCTAGTTGTAATAGTTGTCTTACACAAAATACAGTTGTGGTTCTCTCGCTCTCTCTCTCTGTATGTGGGTGTAAGAAGTAAGCACAATAAAACCTCATTTGCATGTAGCATCCGTGCACCACATGTTTTGTTTGTTTAATTTCTCGAGTTGAATCATTTTTGTTTTTCTTTTTTTCCAGTGGTGGGCCGAAATCGGTATTTAGTTTAATTTCATTATAAATCCTTTTTTTTTTTATTTTTATTTTTATGTGCCTTGAATATTCATCACTAGAATTAATTACTAATACAAAAAAAAATAACTGTTTTCGTATTCATGTATCATTGTGTACTATTGAATAAAAAAGAAAAACATATGGTGCAAACAAAGTAATACATTAAAAAACTTGGTTTGTCTATTTGGTTTTTTTTTTATTGAAATTGACTTTTTTTTTCCCCAAATTTTGTTCTTTTCTTTTGAAATACACCTAAAAGTGAATAATTAAATATATTCAATTAATCAGGTTTATAAGGCAATTATTGGAATTCTATTCCTTCTCTTTTTCTTTTATTTTCCTTTACTTTTTTCATTGTTATTGTTCATAAAGCGTTTCTAAAATAGTTCCCGGCAAAGTGACAATCTATATGACATAGAAATGGCTGATCATTTAGATTCCTTACTTGTGTCTTTCATTGCTAATGATACTGTTAATAATGAGAAAGCAACAGAAATTGCAACTAGATTGGTTAAATTAATAGTAGAAGAAAAAAGCATTAAATTATTGGACATTATTATAGGTTTAAAACAACAGATTACTTCCAATGATTATACATTAAGAAAGAAAGCTTTAAATTGTCTTTCTTCAGTTTTACACAATTTATCAAGGGATTATTTATCCAAAAATGAAATTACTGTGATATTCAACTTTTATATGTCAAAATTAGATGATGAAAATTTGATCTCTGAGACTTTCTCTGGGTTTCTATCCTTGCTTAGTTACAGTAATACTTCGGGTCAAGATATAGTTTCCTTTCTAAACTTTTTGAAAAACGATTATGTTGGCACTAATTATTTAGCTGCAATAAGGTTTGTTCCATTTAGGATATTGGAATTTGTCTATATAAACAAATTAAAAGACAATAAAATTATTAATGCAAAGATTACGACTTTATATATCGAAACTTATATTAATGTTGCATCAGGGGAAAAGGATCCAAGAAATTTAATGAGTTCTTTCAAATTAAACTACCAAATCACGACCACTTTAGATGAAACTCTGGTGTTTCCGTTAAGACAACAATTATTTGATATCCTTTTTTCATATTTCCCAATTACTTTTAAACCACCTAAGAACGACCCATACAAAATATCCAATAGTGATTTGAAACTAGCTTTAAGAAAATCTATCTCCGCAACAGATATGTTTGCAGAAGATGCGTTCTACAATCTGATAGACAAGCTGGGTGCTTCTTCACCAAGTGTAAAGAATGATACTTTATTAACTATTAATCAATGTATTAAGAATTTTAAAGGTGAATCTGTTCAAAAGATTTCTTTGGAACTTTGGAAAGCTTTAAAGTTTGAAATTACGCATACTTTAGATGATACAGATATAATTGGGAATGGAAATGGAAATGGAAGTGGTAACAAAAAGATTGATTGGACTTTGACAGGAACGGTGACGACTGATGAAGAACATTATAAACAGAATAATTATCAAACTGCACTGAATGTTATTAGATTAATGTCCTTAAAATTAGTGGAATTTGATATGTCAAAATTTATCAACTTTATTTCTCATGTATTCACGGAATTGACATCAAATTATGTACATTCTAAGGATTTGAAACAAAGTTGTGGTATTCTTTCTAGTATTGGAAGTGCCAATGAAGCAGCCTTTAATATTGTTATAGAGAGAGCTCTGCCATTAATTTTAATTAAGAGTACTGAAATATCTAAGTTGAAGCTATTATTAATGAATTTATCATTTTTTTTAGATTCCTATATGAATGTGTTTGGACAAACTGAGATTGACAAAGAAGAAGTCAATAATGTGTCATCTAATAAATTGTTTGATTATAAAGATGAAATATTGATGATTTTAGGTATGGCATTAACTAATAACTCTAAACTAGAGGTTACTGTAAGAACTTTAGCAGTGATTCAATTCACTAAATTAGTTAAGATGAAGGGTTACCTATCTTCGGAAGAGATCGCATTAATTATCCAATATTTCACTGAAACTATCCTAACTGATAATAATAAAAATATTTATTATGCATGTTTGGAAGGTTTAAAATTAATTAGTGAATTCTATGAAGAAACTGTTTATGACGTTTCATTAAAACAAATGTTGAATCTATTGCCATTAGAATATAATAATTTGCCATTATTTAATAATAGTGAATACGTGGATATATCAACAATTTTAAAGATTATCCTAGACTTCACTACATCAAGACATAAATTGATTAAGGAAAGTATTATTTCCTTAACCTCTCAGCTATTGAAGGTAGCAAAAGCAAAAGCAGATCAATCTGTTGAATATTGTTTCCTTCTATTATCTTCTATATATTCTTTATTTGAAAATAACATTATATTCATTAAAGAAGAAGAATCAATAAAAATAAAAGATGCTGTTGAACCAATCTTATTTGATATCCTGGATCTTTCTGATGATGTTGGAATTGTGGCAGATAATTTCAATTTCGACATGTTATCAAACATTTTCTATTTTGTAAATTTGAAGTCAGATAGAGATAAACATAATGAGGAATTGATAGCTTATAACACTAAATTTCAAGGCAAATATAAAATATTTGGGGGTCATCCAACACGTTTTGTGTTACCATATTGTAAAATTCTATCGGCACTGGATAAATCAATTAATTTTAATGATGCTAATGCAATGTTTGAACAAACTATTGTTTTTCTAAAAAATCGTAAATTTAAGGATGGTTTATCAAAATTAGGTTACCTGGAATTATTAATGGTCCTAACAAATAAATGGTTGATTGATGATGATGTAAAGAAAAGTATTAACTGGAATGATAAGTCTGTTATTAATCTGGAAATCATTACATGGATTGGGAAGGGCCTAGTAATGAAAAATTCTGAATTGGCACCAAACATATTAAATAATTTTATTGAATTATTAGGTGATAGCCAAGTCGGTAACACTGTTTCTCATTTATTTGAGATTTTTGTTATTGATATTAATTCTATGAGAAAGGTTAAAGGTATTTCATGGAATAATAATGTTCGTTTATTATACAAGCAAAAGTTTTTCAGCGATATTTTCAAAGTACTGGTTACATTGTATAAAGAGACTGAAATAATGTTTATCAAATGTAATTATTTAACAGCATTATCTTTTACATTAAAACACACACCTTCTACATTAGTCGAACCGTTTATGAATGATTTATTACCTATGTTGTTAGAAGCTTTAGAAATGGATAATGGGGAAGTTAAAATTTCATCATTAGAGACATTAAAAGATGTTACAGAGAAGTTTCACCAATTGATCACAGATCATATTGATACTCTGGTACCATTATTGTTAAAATTAGTAATTCCAGGTGATAAAAGTAATACAGTTTTAGTTAGATTATTTGCATTACAATTGTTAAATTCTATTACAAAAGTAGTTCCCTTAAATTATTGTTTGAATTTTAAAGAACAGGTGTTAGTTGGTACTGTAATACCTTTATCTGATAAGAAGAGAGTGGTTCGTAAACAGTGCGTCGATACAAGACAAGTGTATTTTGAGTTGGGTCAAGTGCCATTTGAATAAGCAATTAGGAAAACAAGAAAGTAATCACAAAAAAATTAACCCTATTTGAGTATTATTAATCGATGATGTAAATGGATGTATGAAATCTAATAGAAAAAAATAATTCCACTAAGCTATTACAGGGTCAACTGTTTAATATATTATATCGTAGGTTGTATATGCTATTAATGGTAATATCTATATCTATATAAAGATATAGTAGAACGAAGGAATGATTTATATATATAGTACAAATGGAATATGCATTATAGAAGGTATTGTGTTTTTTTTATTTTTCAATCATAATCATTATAATCTTCCTCCAAATCTTCCTCACTTGAAGATTCTTCTTCATCACTTAGACCAACAGGAGCCAATCCGGGTGTTAATCCAGGATATCTATGATCGACCACAGCCTTCTTACTAGATGGTTTAATCTCTTCTTTAAATTGTTTTACTTTAGATCTTCTCTTCTTACTACGTAGTTTCTTTTTATTGTCATTCGAAAGTATAAATTCTTGTAGCTCATGTAATTCCTGTTTTTGTTCTTCATCAATATCCAGAGATTTCACTTTAGTAACGTTATGCTTAATTAATTTGTCTAAGTATTGTTTCTCTCTAGTCGTTAACATATCCCTTTGTCTATGAGATTCTAAGATTTGTAGTTTGGCATTTCTTTCCGATTGTTCTAAAGCAAGTCTTCTATCCTTGACTTTCGCTTTTGCTATTTGTTTTTGTTTCTTCTTAATCTTCAAGGTATCTTTTTGCTTCAACAACACTCTTTGTTTCAAATTTGCATCGATCAATTGCGCCTTAGAACCCTTCAAGTTATTTTTTTTGGATTTTCGACTAACTTTAACTTTTGGAGATCCTGGTAAAATTTTCGCAAGCAAAGAATTCACTGCATGGTTAGCTTGTAATTGAGTAGCAGTCAACCTAGCCATCTTAATTCGTGTAGAGGAAAAAAATACTTTTACTTTTATAAATACTCTTTAAATTAATAATAATGATAATAATATATGCTGTATTTATTGCATATTATGTTTGAAAAGTGCCAAAAAGATGTAATTACGAGAATGGTAAATTTGATGCACAAACTTCTTCATCTTAATGATAAGACTTCGGCTCCTCTTGTACTGTAGCGTTAGCAAGAATTTGGTAGTGTAACCTTTTTTATTTAAGAAGATCATCGCATCAAAAGAAAAAAAAAATTAAAAAAAAAATTTTTTTTAATTTTTTTTTTTAATTAAGATTACCCTCATGGAACGCAAATCTTTTTTATTTTTGACAACGACGACAGAAAATTTTTTCCTGATAAGATTCTTCATTGAAAAGTATATAAATAGATGTTAACAGTCTTTTAGAACCCTTCTGCTTAGAGAAGTCTTTGCTGAGGTTTGGGCGTTTTCGACCTTCAGTTTGTGAGCTTTTCGAGTTTATTTTTTCAATCTTCTTTTTTCTTATCTCCTTCCTTATCGTGCAGACCTCATTCTACTGACTAGACCGACAAAAAACTGCAGCAAGATGAAGCATATTCAAACTGAACAAACCATTTCCATTCCACAAGGTGTTACTGTCGCCATCAAGTCTCGTGTTGTTAAGGTTACTGGTCCAAGAGGTACTTTAACCAAGTCCCTAAAGCATATTGATGTTACTTTCACCAAGGTTTCTGCTAACATCATCAAAGTCACTGTTCACAATGGTGACAGAAAGCATGTTGCTGCTTTAAGAACTGTCAAATCATTGGTTGATAACATGATTACTGGTGTCACTAAAGGTTACAAGTACAAGATGAGATACGTTTATGCGCATTTCCCAATCAATGTCAATGTTATTGAAAAAGATGGTGCTAAATTTGTCGAAATTAGAAACTTCTTAGGTGATAAGAAGGTTAGATTGGTTCCAGTTAGAGAAGGTGTTACTATTGAATTCTCTACTACCCAAAAGGATGAAATCATCTTATCTGGTAATTCTGTTGAAAATGTTTCTCAAAATGCCGCTGACATCCAACAAATCTGTAGAGTCAGAAACAAGGATATTCGTAAGTTCTTGGATGGTATTTACGTTTCTTCTAAGGGTGTTATTGAAGAAGAAATCTAAGCTGGTTGAATAGGTTTGGTTTAATTTCTTTTTTTATTTTAATTTGGTTCATTTTAATTTTTAGAAAGTTTTGGTATCCATGCTTATTTCGTTGGTTCTGATCTTTCTACTATTAATTACTTATTGTATTTAATATACTGAGGTACTGAATGTATACGTATATGTAATATTGTATATATAGGAGACATATCTCTGTATGAGTGGGTGATTTGTTCATTCATCTCATTGAGGTGTTCTCTGTTTGGGTGATGTCCTTCGAAAATTTGTAAGATTTGTGAAGAAATTCATAGATCTTTTGTGGGGAACGTTGCTAGTGCTCAATTCAATACAGAGCCATTGTACGTTCGCCAAGTATAATATTGAATTTTTTTTCAAATATCTGATGTGTTTGGCTTTTTTTCTTTTAGCATTTTGTGTGGAGTCTGGGTGGGTTTTGTTTAGGATCTGTGTCTACCTGGTCTGCCTTTCTGTGTATTGGATAGTTGAAGAGCATTGTATTTTTTGGGCCGTATGTCTTTGTAATTGCGTACATTAATAATTGGTGTCAAATCTGATTTTATCTTGTATCTTAATATAATGGCTAATACCGCCTGTTAGTGTTAATTGTCTGGTGCTATAAAACATTTTTCGTGCAGTTTTAATGTGTCATATAGTTGTATTGATTTATATGTATTTATAGAGTCCATCGTATATCAAAAATTTGTATTAAAGGAGTAATTCATTTCAATATGATTCGACTGGTTTTTCGTTAGTAGTCTAAATCAAAAAACACTTATTATTCCTACAGTAAAAATCAGTTTAGATTTCCTCATCTCTTACAATAGATATTTTGATATAATAAAATGCTTTGTTCAAGAAAAATTCAGAGTATCATAAATAAAGTATAAGTAGCATTTCTGTAATAGATTGATAGGTTATTCTTAGTTGAATAATCAGTTATCCTAAAAGACTTACTCCAGTATTGTGGATAACTATAATATTGTTTCAGATATTACTGATGAAATGTAGATACATATATATGTAGAATAATTAATAAAAACAACACAAGATCTATTGAGATAGGATCTTTTATTTTGGATGAAAAAATTTCTGTTTATTTTTTTATGTTTCTGTAAGAGTTGTTGTATGTAAGTGGATGAACCATATCAATTAGTATAAGTATAAACACCCTTACGTAAGCTCTATATATCACTAATTAATAACCCTGATGTTGTATTATTATTTCTTCTTGTTGTTTTCTTTTTCTTGTATGATATTAAGAGTTACTTCTTAATATCATTACTAAGATGTATTTAAATAATATGATTACCCCTGGCATATTTCTCAATAATCAAAGGTCTCTTAACAAGATCTGATATAATTATCGCTCCCTGGAAATCCTCCAATCGGATTCAATACCTTATACAAGCCACTGCGCACATAGCTGTACCAATCCTTCACCCAGACACTCAGGTGTTACCCTTGGAATTGTGTATCTACTGGATTTCCAGTTAGGTTCCTTACAGTTTCTGACATATATTGTAATAAAATTTAGTCGACTAGAAAAAACAAATATGTGTAGATCCTATGATCTATAAAACTCGTAATTTTATTTTTGTTCTGTTAGTGACATCTGTGAAAAACAAATTATAGACAAAAATAAAAAGGCAATTCATGAATTAGAATACCTAGCATTGTATTCCTTAGTTAATTTTTTTTTTTATTTTTAAGAGAAATTAATTAATTCATAAAATTGTTGTTTGGATTTTTAAAAGTTGAATTCTATGTTGTCATATCAAGTATTATTTAATCACTTATACTCTAAATATCTTCATCGTATATTATTACCTTGTTAAAAGTAAATATTATTGCTTAAATATGGAACTCTAAAATAAAATAAAATAAATAGAACAAAGTGACTTTAACAGATACTAAATGATAATATGCTATTTATTTATTATTTAGATATCACTAAATTTCACAAAGAAAAATTATTTAGTGTTATTGTATATAAAGCTAAAATTTTCCTCATATTATATTTTCATATTTATTTACACATTTTGTGTATTATTGTATACTTAATGATTATAAAATATAATTGAAAATGAGCTCACTTTATTCAGAGCAGATTGACATTAATTCTCAACACTTTTATATAAATTGAAAGTATGGAAAAAAAAATGTGGAAAATAGTTTTTCTTCTTAAAAGTATAGTCCTTTTATCTATTTCTAAAACTCGGTCAACTATCTACTTTAATGTATTGATGGATTATCAATTCACGCCATAATGATTATCTGTGTAACTCAATAGAGTCTTATGAATATCTTATATAAAATGTGACACAGCAGTAGTTAGCATGTCATGGGAACAATAGACAGTTTTAGATTCAAATATGATCTTATTTAATATTAGTTGAGGTAACATTCTGCTTCGCAGTAAGGAATTGTTGTATAATAAAAAAGTTATTACCACCAAGATTACATAAGATTCTGAGTGAATCTAGAATTATCTATTGTTTTAATAAGTCACATACTTATTACTAGTGACCATAATAATTGTGTCGTTTATCAGTAGTGCACCTAATTACCATAATTAGTAAATTGGAGTGTAGTTACTAATTCACTAGTGCACCTGAACTAGTATAATAAATATTAGGATTTAGATCAGTAAATTCATTAACGTATCAATCTCAATAATTGATCGAGCTCCAGAAAACATATAAAAGGACAACGTTTTCTGAAGATAAAGAATCATCTTCTATAATTCTTTCCTTGTAAATAATTTATATATTATATGTAAACAAAAATAGAACAACAAGCAAGTAACAAGTCAAGTAACTTCGAATAAATATATTAGCTCGATAAAAGCTTCTCAATATATAAGACTGTTTTAGTAATTATATTTTCGTCTATATTGATTACTATCTCGACTATTTGATATTATTTGCGCTTCCCAAACGTATACAAAAGAATTGGATCACTCTATATTACAACAAAAATGTTGTAATGTGATGTGGTCGGAGTTTTGTATTATTCGGGGTGTTGGAAAATGAGAGTTTATTACTGTCATTTTCATAAGAATTATTTTTAATTAGTTTTTCTATATATTATGTGGTGTACGGATGTACATAATATCAGGAAAACATTTTAATTGTCACCAAATATGTCTTTCGAAGATTTGAAAAGAAATGAAAAACTTTAAAAGAAAACTTAAAGTAAATAAAAGAATGTATACTGAATACACTATATAATAAATATGTACAGGTATTTAATACAAAAACATAACAAGTATCTATAACTTAATGATGTCTATCATTACCATGGACGCAGAAGGCTCCAAATTCCAACACGGGGAAACGCTAAAAATATCAAACGGATAATCTATTAATAATCGAGACAATAATTAATACAATCGGTAATGCAATTATTAATACGGTCTTATATATTAACGGCTGTATCGAGCTTATATAATTATACTATTTGCTTATTGTATTCTGCGTTCAATGTTGTTCGTTGGTTGCTTTGTTGTTGTTTTATATATAATATATTTAAATTATGTGTAAGAGAGTAGTGACAGAAGATAGTTCCATCTACAGAAAACGTTGTCCTTTTATATGTTTTCTGGAACTCGATCAACTATTCAACCTGATATATTAATGAATTAGTAATTCATATCTTTATTATTAGTTACAATAATATAATCGAAGATCATAGAACATTTAGGACAATAGGTTATGGTGGCGCAGTAACAACGATATATGAATACGCTGTACACTAGGTGGCAAATGGACATGTTGTTCTTAAAACATAATAGATCATTTTAGATTCAGATAGAATCTTACGTAATCTCGGTGGTGTTATGTCTTTATTACACAACGAAAAAATAACAGATGTCTGGTTGTTTGGCCGAGCGGTCTAAGGCGCCTGATTCAAGAAGCACTGTGTTCTTAACCACTGGAAGGTGGGAATACTCAGGTATCGAAAGATGCAAGAGTTCGAATCTCTTAGCAACCACTTATTTTTTGAGGCATATATTGCCTTGATATCACTATAAACGATATTGCGAACTTTTTAGTCAATGGCAATCTGCTTATTTATAAAACAAATATATCTGTATATCCGTGTATGTTAATTTGCTCCTTGTGTACAGGATAGTTCTTGTGTATCACATATAAAGGTCAAAGATCAAGAATTGCTTATGAAATTTTGTATTCTAGAAGTGCATATCTCTTGTAACAGGTCTTCATCTATTAAAGTTGATTATCTATGAAATATTAATTCACTTTATATTTTTTGATGTATTACTAAAACGTAACTAAACTAATAAAATTAATGTTAGCTAACCGATATATTTTAAGTAATTAACTGTCTTGGTTGTTACCTTGCTTGACTTTTGTTTGTGTTTTTTCTGTATATCTTTATCTTTTTCTACTATCAAGGCCTGCTTGTAAAATCCTCAAAGAATAGAGCATTTAGAATAGTGAGGGTTATCAGCAGCTTTCTAAAGGAATATTTAAAACTTTTCATATCAATAGCTGATGCATTACTTAAAAGTTAAATACGCAATATCCTCTAGCACGAAATGTTGGACTAACTAGATAATTAACAAAAAAAAATAGATGTATTCTCATTTATTCTTGTTATTTTTTTTATATAGAATTTTAGGTTTATCTGTTTCTATTTATGACTTCTAAATTATATTAGTATTCTGAATTTAAGTATATTTTAAAATAAGAAATGAATTTTTACTTCTTATATATTATATTGTTGAAATTTTTTTTAAAAAATTATATAAATGTGACAATTAATTTTCTACTACATTATATTCATGAAGGTACCATTAAAAAACATATATAATTGTTGTATAGGTAGAATATTTTTAAACATTTAAATAAATACTTACCGTATTTTTTTGTATGTCTCTTAAAGAATTACTAAGGATTTTTCTACTTTATATAAGACACAGTTCACGTGACAGTCAGTATTTAATGTATATATATTAATATATACCATGTTCTGTATTGGAAAGATTATACCTTAATTATGTTTGGTGGTGTATCTTGTTTATTAAAATTTTTTCTATCAGCAGTAAATCTGTACTATACGATAGAGTGCTCGAAAGAGAAAAGAGTATAAAGGGAATGTAATTGTTTTCTCGCTTTGTCATCAGATCTGCAAACACTTAATGAAAATAAAAAGGAAAGGTAAAAAAAAAAGAAAATATATAGACATGAGGACAAAGCAAAAGATATCAAACAGGTAAAAAAAGAAGTTTGATTCATTTCGTTTGTTTATAGACACTATATTCTTGTAAGATTTCCATTAACTAAAACTATTTTCAATCGTTTTGGTTTGTTTTTATATAGATTTAGGAGACATTTCCTTTATTTTTATTTTTCTTCTTAAGAAATTGTTTAGCATACAACAAATGCAGAGTTATAAGGGGAATAAAATAAACATATAGATTGATAGGTAAGATCTTTATTTTTTGCTTAATATAATCGAATAGCATATTATTTCATATTCTGTTGTTGTTGTTTTACATCCATATATATATATATATTCTGAATGGATATTGTTACTGATAACGAATACTAATAATGACTAATACAGATATGAATACTGCAAAAAAGCAAGACAAAAATAAAATCAAAATAAAAAGTAAATCTAGTACCACTTCAAATTTACCATTAAAGAAAAAGAACAATAATGGCAATAGTAATAACGCCCAATCAAATAAAAATTCTAATAATCAAAGGTTTTTTTGTAATTATCCGAATTGTAATAAATCTTTCACTAGATTAGAACATCTAAGTAGACATAACTTAAATCATTGGCCTAAGAAGATTTTTGAATGTTCTTTTATATTTCCTGACACTAATATGAAATGTGGGAAGACTTTTGTAAGAAGAGATTTATTGATTAGACATGAAAGAAGACATGCAAATGAAAATAATAGGCTTGTATCTAAAAAAAATAAACAATTAAAACAACTGAAAATCATACAGAATGGATTTTCGTCTGCTACCACTAAAAATATTATTTCTGATTCAAATTCAAAGTTAGAGGTGAATCCCAATGCAAATAATCAACTGAATAACATGGGTAATTCACTATCAAGAGATAGCTTGCCAACTATAAGCAGTACTATGCCGTCATATTCAAATGTTAATTTTAATTCTTCATCTATGTTTAATCAAGGTAATAATAACGGTAATATTCAGAGTTATGATCAATTCTTTGATTGGGTATTTGATAACAATGACAACAAGAATCATCATTATGCATCCAATGTGAAAAATAATGTTGATTTAAATACAGTAAACCTCAATAATAATTTAGTAACTGGTAACATCCCAAATAATCAATCAACTGTGAAAAATCAAGATCAAAAATTACTTGGTGCTTCAAATAGCATAGTAGATAATGCTAATATATTGGTACCTATACCACAGAATACCTATCCCTCTGTCTCAAATTTAGCACAGTTTGATTCAACAAAACTAATAGAGGTCCCTCAACAACCAAATCCCATTCAAAAAAATACGGTTGGTCAATATCATGAATCTACTTACTTTAATAGTAATATGAATATTTCACAAAATGGGAACATTACCGTAACACAAAATAATAATATAAATTCGCCGCCTGTGTTAAGTCAATCATCTATTATTTCATCTATACAAAATCATAAACAAGAGCATCAGCATTTATTACACCCATTAAATTCTCATGTGGAAACTCAATTACAAGGTCCATCTTTAGAAAGTGTACCACCAAAGTTACAAGACTTGTATTCATTAGATTATTTAGCATCTGATCCTTTACAACGTTTTATGCAAGAACTATCTGCCATGTATCCTAGTGAGATAAGTAATATTACAAATGAGAGTAGTCTTCTTTTAACCGAATCTAATAACGATAATAACATTATGTCTAATGGGTTAGACAATATTTTTGTCCCTTCTTCAATGCCTATATCTGTATCCAATAATAGTAGTAACTTTATTCATACTCCAGGGTCACTCACTGATTCTAGAATGGCTAGTTTGAATAATATTAAAGTAGATAATGATATTTTGATAAATGATTCCACCACATCGTTGATATCAACACCCTCCAAAGCCAAACCCAATAAAATCAGGAAAGGCAATCATAGCATCCCTAAATTGCAGGCTCTATCTGTTGATAGTAGGGGAAATTCAATCAAAGATAATTATCTAGTCAAACACTCTAATATAAATCAATTGAAAAAACAGCCATTAGAAAGTGATAATACATCTATGTCTTCATCGAAATTTAAAACATTAAAGATGATAAACAGTAAGAAAGAGTTACTTGAATCAATGAAAAATGTACCTAGTATATTTTTCCCTGATCCGAAGACGAAATATCAACTTTCAAAGGAGAAATGTGAGGAATTATATAATTTAATACCAGAAATAAGAAATATTCAATATGAAACCTTAGAAATTTCTTTAAAGTCATATTGGAAAAATTTTCATCCACAACATGGATTACTACATAAACCCTCATTTAATGTAAATCAACAACCTCCTATTTTAATCATATCCCTAATTATGACAGGAGCTAGTTATTTAGGAGTTGATTTCAGAAAAACAGTATCAGATCCGATTTGTGGTCCTCTTCGTTGGATCATTTTTGCTCACCCTGATTTTCAACCTCCATCTAGTACCTATATTATTCTTTCTTTGTTATTGTTGGAATCTTATGAAAAGACTTCGACTAATAGATATTTTCATGAAAGATCATATTTACATCATGGTACAACAATACAACTATTACGAAGAACACCCTCTTTAGGTGGTCATCCTTTAAGAGACAAGACAAAGGATCCAGAAGTTGATGATGATGGCACTGATGGACCCAACGAATTGAATAGAGTTCTAAGTAAGTGGATAGAATTTGAGAGTTTAAAACGTGTTGCTTTCTTCGCATTTTATATGGACGTTACTCACGCTATCGTATTTGGGTATATGAATTTATTTATTAGTTTTCGACAGATTCAATTAGATCTTCCTTGTCCGGATAAAATTTGGGAAAGTTATGATTTAAGTTTTGAGGTTTTGAAGGAATCAGGGTATGGTGATCGAGGTGATGATCAGTCAAACAACCAAACTTTTTTATTTGCATTAAAGAAACTAATTAGGGATGCAATTGATAAGATGATAACTGATTCTAATAAAGATCAGAATGATATTGGAGGCATTATTGGTGATGTGACTGAGGATGGTAACAAGAGTTCTGAAATTTCATCTCAAAGTTCAGGTAGTAATGACACTGATGGATATTGTGATAATGTTAGCGGTGCACTTCACTTAGAAGATCTGAAAAAATGGAAACAAAATCATACTTTGGCAATTTATCGTCCCATGACTAGTGTATTAGGGAAAAAATTAATGTTAGCAGGTATTTTATCAGTTATGTTTCAATGTCAAGAAGAAAATGACGATCCGTTGATAGCCAACATAGTAATTGATGGTTTCAACGATCACAATATAACATGGAAGGAAATTATATCATTTGCAATTAATTATTGGATGTTTGAAGTACAAAGAGATTGTCATAAGGAAAAAAATTGTTCACTTATCAAGGAGATAAGTAGATCAGAAAGTAACGAGAATGTCCAAGGATACCCAAACGATGAGAATCCTTTGGAAGAAAAAGTACTTCAAGTTACTGCATGGAATAATAACGATGATGACTGCAAATTACCAGTATATCATATGTCACAGATTATTTTAAGAATATTTCATCATGATTATTATATTTCAGCAGGTGCACCCTGGAGAATGAATGTAATGATTGGGGATAAAGAGTTTCAATCAATTCAACAAAGGATGATTCAATTTTCGAAGGATACATATACTGGTGGTGTTACAATAATATATGCTTTTCAATTTTTATTTGAAATGTTTGTTAGGAAAGATCCAATTACAAATGAGATTACAATAGATAAGAATTACGACATCAATACAGATATTATAAGTACAAGACCAAATTCAATAGCGTTGGTCACGTTGTTAATATGGACATATACCTTTACACTGTATGGACCTGAAATTGTCATGTGGGATAATGAGGAAGATAATAACGAATGTGATTCAAATAAGAATGAAAAACTTGAGAGTAGGAAAAAGAAAAATGATGAGCTTCAACTGAAGTATGTTCCAATAGAAAGTTTTGAATCATATTTAATCAGAATGTATGATCACTTATATATAGAGAAAGATAGTGGTGGTGCAATAAGTTATCAAAAGAGGGTATGGAGGAAAGCAGTTCTGTTACAAACCATTTCTGGACAAAATAATACAATTGGATTTATTAAATATATTAAGGAAATATTGGAAAAGAGTTATTGGGATCTTACCAAGGAATTAAGTAGATTACTCAATAATTGTATACAAAGAAGTTTGGGTAAAAAAACACACGTTTGCCGTGATATGTACGATGTATAGAACTATATAATTGTTCTTTATTTATATATCTGGTAAGTTTTATAGAATCATATTTGGGTTAGATAATCAGGTCTCTCATATCTAGTTTGAATTAAAGTTATCTTCACTGTAAAAAGGAAAAAAAGAAGTTTGGGGAACAAGAAAGAAGGCTGCTTATTTCACATGCAAGAATGGAATCAGACTAACAAGAAAAAAAGCAATCGCAATTTTATTTTTAGTAGGTCTTCGATCATGTTGAAGTGCGATACACATAGAATAAAGGTAAACTTCCTTCTACTAACCATACTGACCCTTTCTTCGAGTGTTTTTTTTCATCTTCAAGCATTTGTTTTTTTCGAGTGAAATTAATTTGTTATGATAAATATTTTCTTCAATTTTTCTTTTTTGTCTCGATGCCTTTGTCAGTTCAGAATGCAAAGGAAAAAAGTCTGATTTTGTTAGATAGCGTATCTGTAACTGTTGATCTCGAGTTAAGATATATATATATATACAGATGGATAGAAGATCGAAGGCATTATCTTACAATGGTTTCGAAAAGACCTGTTACATATATCTTATATATTTTAATAACTTTGAATGTATTGACTCTTTAATAAGAAAACGAAGAGGAATTGTTCTATTTAGCATTTAAAATATGGGCCGAAAACAAATTATAAATTTATAGTAAATGGAACAAATTAATTCAAATAGTGAAAAAAAGATTCAGCAGATAGATATATTCAAAAAATATGCATCTGTTCGAAATATCACCCTTAAAGGTGCAACTTCGGGTGATACAACACATGATGATTCCAAAAATTCAGGGGAATTGGTAATGCTCTATGATGATTTCATCAAATTAATCTCCAATTCCAAAAAATTATACTCCAAGTTTACAGATCATTCATTCAATTTGAATCAAGTACCTTCGAATACATTTGGTTGTATATTTTTCGCCATCGATGAAAATAATAAAGGTTATTTAACCATAAGTGATTGGTTTTACTTCAATAACATCTTAGAGCAAGAAAATTATCATCTTATTTTATTATACGAGTTTTTCAGGAAATTTGATCAAGCGGCAATCAGACATTCTCCAATATTGTCTAAGTCGGAGTTGATGAATAAAAGTTATTTACTTAGACCAATCAATTATAGTAATAAATTCTTAAGTTTTGATGAATTACTATTAAGTGTGGAACAATTTAAAGCGACTATAAATCTATTGCATGATTGTGTTGATGATAAATTTTCAAAGAAATATAATTTGTTTATAGACTGGGATAAATTCTCTTGCTTATCGTTCTATGAATGCTTTCCTTTTGGTAGGGACAAAAAAAATCCAGAGAAAGCGTCGTTTTTAACTTTGAATTCATTAATTACTATTCTTCAAAATGACTTGAAAAATCAAAGATTGACAAAGGGTTTTGAACAATTATGTCATAGAGATCCTGTGAAGGGTAATCTGGTCATAAATAAATCTCAATTAATGGATTTATTAAGTTATTATTTCTCGCACAAAGTTTCTTCAGATATCTTCCAGTCTTTGAATTTATCAAATACATCTTTATTGAAGTCTAAAAATAACGCCATACCTTACAATGTTTTTAAAGATATTTTTTATTTGTTTCAGAATTTTGATCTTTTGAATCAAGCTTTATTAAAATATTCAATGGAGAATGGACTCACGGAAGATGATATGAGAGAACATATAATTACAAAGAGAGATTTTATGAAAATATTAAATGCACAGTATTATAAAGTAAATAATATCAATGAATTCTCTCCATCACAAATCAATTTATTGTTCTCTATAGTAGCAAATTCTAAGAAAAATAATGAGGCTAGTCAAAAAGAGATCTCTAAATTAGAACATCATCATGATTCTAAAATTGACAAATATATTCAGAATGAATATCAAAGAGGAGAAAATATTTCAAAGAAACAATTACAAACATTCAATGATAATTATTTGATATCATTAGAGACATTTGCTCAAGATGCTTCTTTTAAGAAGTTGTCTCAAATTTCTATAGACTATTTTCAACAGTTATTTTATGGCAAGACGGATCAGGCTACAATGGGTTCAAAATTAACTATACAAGATTTTTTAAAGATTTTAAATCCCAATTATTTAAATGATGTAGTTCATCAATTGGAATTGAGGCATGTACAAAATGAATCACTTTATGTCAACTACTATTTTTATCCCATTTTTGATTCTATGTATAATTTTGTTTTAGGTTCAATAGCTGGTTGTGTTGGAGCCACCGTTGTCTATCCTATTGATTTTGTTAAAACGCGAATGCAGGCACAAAGAACTGTTTTAAAGTATAAAAACTCTTTAGATTGTCTCTCAAAGGTAGTTAGACAAGAAGGTATAAGAGGATTATACTCTGGTTTAGGATTCCAATTAATTGGTGTTGCTCCTGAAAAAGCTATCAAATTAACAGTAAATGATTACATGAGGAAAAATTTGGTTGATAAGAAGGGAAATTTACATATATTTAGTGAAATTATAGCAGGTTGTATGGCAGGAACTTGTCAAGTGATTTTTACAAATCCAATTGAAATTGTCAAGATCAGACTTCAAGTGAAATCAGAATATAAATCTAATGTTGATATAACCGCAAGAAATATAATTTCAAAATTGGGACTTCGAGGACTTTACAAGGGTGTTACAGCCTGTCTGATGAGAGACGTTCCATTTTCTGCGATATATTTCCCAACGTATGCACATTTGAAAAAGGATATTTTTAATTTTGATCCATTGGATAAGAATAAGAGAAATAGATTAAAAACTTGGGAATTGCTGGTTGCTGGTGCTTTAGCAGGGATGCCTGCTGCATTCTTAACAACACCTTTTGATGTCATAAAAACGAGACTTCAAGTTGTCCCTAAAAAGGGAGAAACAGCATATTCTGGTATTTTTCATGCTGTTAAAACAATACTAAAAGAAGAAAGTATGAAAAGCTTTTTCAAAGGTGGTGGTGCTAGGGTGCTTAGAAGTTCACCTCAATTTGGTTTTACCCTTGCCGCATATGAATTGCTGAAGAACGTGTTTCCATTGCCAAACTTGGAGGAGAAAGAAAGTAAGATTGAATATGAAAAGCGAGTATATTTATCTGATTTAGATGAAGTGCCATCAATAACTTCACAAGTCACTGCTCTAGTTAATAAAACTAAATATTATCCCTCGTATTCAGAGTCGCATTCAAATACACATGATTTTTTCAATTCAACATTTAATCTGTATAATAGTAACTATTTGAATTATTATTATAAAAGCTGTAGGGTTGCTAAGATTTTTATTGATTTGGATACTTCTTTCTCTAAATTTGACTACAACGCTTACATGGAGTTCCATAAAAAACTCATTGAGCTTAATAAAAAATGACATTTACTTTACTACAAACAGTATGTTATCTTTGTTCAAAAATAGTTTTATTTATGTGTGTATAAATAGATATGTTTTTTTTACCAACAACGACAGACATCTATGTTTATATAGTATATATATGTGTGTGTGATCTTATCATACAAGGAAATTGATTTTTATCAATACGTTATCTGATATAGTTGAAACTGTATTGCTACATAAATACGACTGGAGTGGTTTGTATTAAATTATGTAACCACTTTTTGTAGTTGTAGCTATAAAGGTGTTGAGGGTATCGATTGTTAAGCTGCTATAAATTTTACTATCAGACTTCTCTTGCTTTGTTTTTACTGTATTTGTTTACAGATACGTGATGAAAAATTTTGAGATAAGATGAGATGAGTTGAGTTGACACGAGGAAAAAAATTAAAATAACAAAAAATTTCATTTTTAATGATTTAAATTAAATAATGTTTAGAATAGTGTTTTAAACAGAATAAAAACGACTTGTACTCTTTGTTATCTCATTAGATCCCAGAGGACAAAGGATCCTATTGGAAAGCATACAAAAATATAGTTAATTGAATATAATATCATGGATATTTTTAGAGTCTTAACAAGAGGTGCATCAGTCAACAAGAAGAAAACCGAGGGTAATAATGCTGTTGATGACAGTAGGAAAGGTGAGGTCGCCAATTTCAGCGCTTCTACTAATCTTAATAAACAACCACAAAATGACACTGAGATAGTAAAAGAATTAGATTTTTTTCGTAATAAAAGAATAATGCATACTGTCAATGAAAGGAAAGAACATGAAAATAAGGATGATGATGATAACAACACTGAGGAAAAAGGTGAATTAAATGAAAAGGTCGAAGAAGATATAAAACCAAAAATCACATCAGTGTCGGAGGCGTTAGCGTTACGTAAATCCTATAAAGGTAATGTTTCAGGAGAAGATATTCCGCTGCCTATTGGGTCGTTTGAAGATTTGATTAGTAGATTTTTCTTTGATAAAAGATTATTAAATAATTTGATCGAAAATCACTTTACTGAACCCACTCCTATTCAGTGTGAAACTATTCCATTAGCCTTACATAACAGAGATATTTTAGCTTGTGCACCAACAGGTTCTGGTAAGACTTTAGCGTTTTTGATCCCAATGGTTCAACAAATTATCAATGAAAAAAAAACAGAAGGATTAAAAGGATTAATTATATCACCAACTAAAGAATTAGCCAATCAAATATTTATTGAATGTATAAAATTATCGAATAAGATTTTTTTATCAAAGAAAAGGTCATTACAAGTTGCTCTATTATCTAAATCGTTAAGTGGTAAATTGAGAAACAAAGTTGTTAGTAGCAAAAAATATGATATAATAATAACTACGCCATTAAGATTGATTGATGTTGTGAAAAATGAAGCTCTTGATCTATCTAATGTTAAACATATAGTGTTTGATGAAGCAGATAAATTGTTTGATAAAACTTTTGTTGAACAAACTGATGACATTTTAGGGTCTTGTACTAATTCAAGTTTGCGTAAGGCTATGTTTTCTGCTACAATTCCGTCAAGTGTGGAGGAAATGGCTAAAACCATTATGATGGATCCGGTTAGAGTAATTATTGGTCATAAAGAGGCCGCTAATGCTAATATTGAACAAGAACTAATTTATTGTGGGAACGAAGAAGGGAAATTAATTGCTATTAGACAACTAGTACAAGATGGTAAATTTAAACCACCAGTAATTATTTTCTTGGAATCTATTACTAGAGCCAAGGCATTATATCATGAGTTAATGTATGATAGATTGAATGTAGATGTTATTCACGCGGAAAGAACTGCAGTACAAAGAGAAAAAATAATCGAAAGATTCAAAATAGGTGATTTATGGTGTTTAATCTGTACAGATGTTTTGGCCCGTGGTATTGATTTTAAAGGTGTTAACCTCATAATAAACTATGATGTTCCAAGAACAGCACAAGCATATGTTCATAGGATTGGTAGAACTGGTAGAGGTGGTCGTCATGGTAAAGCCGTTACCTTTTATACAAAACAAGATTCTGTTGCTATAAAACCGGTGATAAATGTTATGAAGCAAAGTGGATGTGAAGTTCCAGAATGGATGAGTAAAATAGCAAAGATGAGTAAAAGAGAGAAGGAGTCATTAAAGAAAGGCAAGTTGCATAAGGAAAGAAAACAGATTAGTACAGTACCAAAGATTGATAAGATAAAGAGAAAACGTAGACAAGAAATGATTGAAGCATCTAAAAGAAGAAAATTGCATTCAAAGAAACAAGAGGAAGACAAATAGATACGGTAATAAATAAATAAATAAATAAATAAAAGAATGAAAGTAAACCAATAAGTTAATAAGTTGTAATATCATTTATAGATGAATAGATATATATATGTTTATGTGAATGTATAGTAGGTATGTTTAATACTTTTGTTGAAGTGTCGTTATTAGCTAAGTATCTGAAATCTCTCTGCTAGTTTGTAATTAGAATAAGGTTATACATTTACTGCATTTATATTTACAATGATAACACTGGTAATATGGTGCTAATAACTTTTCTAAGAAGAGATTGTTAAGTCACACACATATAGCACAATCTCTCCACAGATTTAGGAAGTGTAAAAAAAAAAAAGAAAAAAAAGAAATAAAGATAACAATAAAAACAAAAATAAAAACTGAACTTAAAGATGCAATAGAAACTCCCTCTACAAACTGACTTAAAAGAACTTTGTAACAGAACCATTCAAGTGAGGTGTGTTAGAATTAGAAAAAGAAAAGGAAGAGAAAAGAAATATACGTTTAGTAAAACAAGACCGATAAATAGAAATTTGGTTACAAAAAAAAAACAAAGAATGAGTTACTGTTGTGCCTTTAGTGATTGCCGTTGTAGGATTCTAAAAATAGATAGTGCACCAATTGTGAAAGTGCCATCAATGGTATTAGATAAATTCCACTTGATGCAAAAGAGTAAAGATCAAGACTTAGAAGAGTATACCGATTTTATTTTAATCAATGATGTTTGGGATTTTGACAACATAGGTGTATCCAAAGAGATACTAGCAAACTCGGAGATATTGGATCGCGTAGAATTCGAACACGATAATAGAAAATGGCAGATCGAGAAACATCTAAAATATTTAGTATGTGCAAACTGTGATAAAGGCCCAATTGGAGTAGTTTGTTCAACTAAAAGTGACAACCAAACGAAGATAATATATTTATTAAGTATACCAAGTGTTTCTCAAATATAAAAGAATATGTTTTACTTTCCTGGTTTTATAGATTTTTATCTGACGAACCGATGATATATCATGGATTTTTCGACGATAGAAAGCCATTCTAATATTACATTTCCACTAGTATCTAGCCAGTTGATTTTTCCACTTGTTTGTGACTCTCTTTGTCTAGCCATCCATTTATTTATGGCCACATCTCTATAGAAATACGTTTCTCGGTTGGTGCGATGGCTGTTACCCGCAAAAGATTAGAAAGAAAATTTTTTTCTTTTTTTTTTTTTTTGATCGATGTGGAAAAAATTTTTGGACTTAAAAGTGGAAAAAATTGCTTCCAAAAGTATACGCACTCTTTTACTGGGGGGAAATGTGGATAATGTGGTATTGAGTGTGAAGTTTTCATAATAAGTCTTACGTATAATATATAACCAACAGTTTTAAACTATTTTTATTCCCCCCTTTTGTTTTTCTCATATATAGGAGGGAGTGTGTATAGTCTGTTTTTTTTCTCCAAATATATTTTAGGATATTAAGAATAAGTTATTCAGAACATATCGTTTGTCCAGACACGAGTTTACTTATTTATTTAATATCATTATATCATGGCTACTAGAACTCAGTTTGAAAATTCTAATGAAATTGGTGTCTTTTCTAAATTAACCAACACATATTGTTTAGTGGCAGTTGGTGGTTCAGAAAATTTCTATTCTGCCTTTGAAGCTGAATTGGGTGATGCTATTCCAATTGCCCATACCACTATTGCAGGCACTCGTATAATTGGGCGTATGACCGCAGGTAATCGTAGAGGTCTTTTAGTCCCCACACAGACTACTGATCAAGAACTACAACATTTAAGAAACAGTTTGCCAGATGAAGTCAAAATCCAAAGAGTGGAGGAGAGGTTGTCTGCACTAGGTAATGTTATTTGTTGTAATGATTATGTCGCATTAGTTCATCCAGATATTGATAGAGAAACTGAAGAACTTATAAGTGATGTCCTTGGTGTTGAAGTGTTTCGTCAAACCATCTCTGGTAATATCCTTGTCGGTTCCTATTGTGCCCTAAGTAATCAAGGTGCCTTAGTTCATCCACAAACTTCTATTCAAGATCAAGAAGAACTATCCTCTTTATTACAGGTTCCTTTGGTGGCTGGTACAGTTAATCGTGGTAGCTCTGTGGTTGGTGCTGGGATGGTAGTAAATGATTATTTGGCAGTCACTGGGTTAGATACTACAGCTCCTGAGCTATCTGTTATTGAAAGTATTTTCCGTCTACAGGATGCTCATCCAGAATCTATATCAGGCAACTTACGTGACACTCTGATTGAAACGTATTCCTAATTGTTAATGGATTTGTCCTTTTTTCCTTCCTTCCTACTGTCATTACACTTTTTTTTTTAACTTTGACTTCAATTCTGATTTCATTTGTTAATAGCAGTTGGAGTGGTGTGGTTAAAAAGTTATTTTTATACTTACTTGCTTTCCCCATTTAACGCATCTGTTTTATTAATATCACTTATAATTCATTTGTATATTGACATATATATATATATATATATATTGTCATGTTCTGTATAAGCATCTATATATTTTTAATAACAACACCCAGCATTTCATCCCTTTCAAAATGGTAAAATCTTAAGAAGAGAGGGCAGATTAGAAATTGTTTTAGTCCATTTTCTTGTCTATTTTAGAATTTTCTTTTAACAATTATAATATAGAACGCTTAAACAGACTTTCTAATTATCTGTGGGTATAGTACAAGGCACTAGTCAAGAGACATGGAAGGGACAAGTGGCACAATATACTTATTTTCCCCTTTTCCCTTTATGAATAGTACGTACTAATAATAATGATAAAAGAAAAAATGCATAAAAAAGATATTCATTAAAAAATTCGTGTCATTACATTATATACATATATATATATATATATATATGAAATAATTACCATTAGAGTTATATAATCTCAATCATTATTCTATCTTTTATAAATTATATCAAAATAAGGGGGCGTGGTAGGGGATAGAGAAAAGGAAATAGTGAATATATACTTTTCATCAAAACAAACAATCATTCAATTCACTCGACAAAAGTGATGAGTTTAGTTGGCAGCGACGTGTTCAACTAAGTCAACGACTCTGGTGGAGTAACCGTATTCGTTATCGTACCAAGAGACCAACTTGACGAATTTTGGAGATAATTGGATACCAGCAGCAGCATCGAAGATGGAAGAGTGGGAGTCACCTAAGAAGTCAGAGGAGACAACAGCGTCTTCAGTGTAGCCTAAGACACCCTTCAACTTACCTTCAGCGGCAGCCTTGACGGTGGCCTTGATTTGGTCGTAGGTAGTTTCCTTGGCTAACTTAACAGTTAAGTCGACGACGGAGACATCTACGGTTGGAACTCTGAAAGCCATACCGGTCAATTTACCTTGTAATTCTGGTAAGACCTTACCGACAGCCTTGGCAGCACCGGTGGAGGATGGGATGATGTTACCAGAAGCGGTTCTACCACCCCTCCAGTCCTTGTGGGATGGACCATCGACAGTCTTTTGGGTAGCAGTTAAGGAGTGGACAGTAGTCATTAGACCTTCTTCGATACCGAAAGCGTCGTTGATGACCTTAGCTAATGGAGCCAAACAGTTAGTGGTACAGGAGGCATTGGAGACGATGGTTTGACCAGCATATTTGTCTTCGTTGACACCTACAACGAACATTGGGGCGGTGCTAGATGGGGCGGTGATGACGACCTTCTTGGCACCGGCGTCAATGTGCTTTTGAGCGGTGTCTAATTCCTTGAAGACACCAGTGGAGTCGATGGCGATATCGACCTTAGAAGCACCCCATGGTAGGTTAGCTGGGTCTCTTTCTTGGTAGACAGCGATCTTGTGGCCGTCGACAATCAAGTTCTTGTCATCGTGGGAGACTTCACCTGGGTATCTACCGTGGGTGGAGTCGTACTTGAACATGTAAGCAGCGTAGTCATTGGCAATGAATGGGTCGTTGATAGCAACAACTTCAACGTTCTTTCTAGATAAAGCAACTCTTAAGACTAATCTACCGATTCTACCGAAACCGTTAATAGCGACTCTAACCATGTTGTAAATTTATTTGAAGGTGAATGTGTGTTTGTGTCTTTTTTTTTGATTGATCCAGATGAAACTAATGTTTCTTGGTTTTTTTCCCCTTTGCATAAATGCTAAGAGTGGGATTAGTACAGATGAGGAGCAAGGAGGAAAAAGAATTGATTCAGAGAGTAGAAAGAGATCTCCTTATATAATAATCTGGAAAGTCCATGTAGGTGCTTTTTATTTTTATTATTTTTTTTTTTTGTTTTTTTTTTTTTTCCAAGTTCTAGTTTATTTCATTTCAATTGTTTTTAATTCTCTTGTATATACAAAGACACATTAATAACAACCTCTAATTTTGTGAAACATTAGAATCACACGAATCGACTAACACAAATGTTGAGATTTACCATCTTAGTAATGATTAAAATGACCGCACGAAAGACAATAGCTGGAGTGAAAATAAAACAAAAATAAAAAATACTATTACTATTATTATTATTATTGTCACTACATCATTAAGAATTGAGTATTAATCATGGATTCTGAGTTAAGTGATAGTTAATAAAATCATAATGAAAGGAAAAAAGGATGTCACAAAGGAAATTAATGGGAAATAAAAAAAGAAAGAAAGAAAGAGAAGAACAGTTTTTTCTTTTTGTTTTCTCCAAAAGGGAAAGTGAAAAAAGAAAGAATAAAAAAAAAAAGTCCCTCAAGTTCAACTGATGAATTTTTCTCTTTTTTTTTTTGTGACACAACACCGTGACACATGACACCGTATAACACACACACACACACACACGTGAAAGAGAGGAAGAGGGAGGGAAGGGAAAAGGAGAGGAAAATCCCTCCCAGCCAACCAGAACAATTCTCATAACGTAACGTCGATCTTCCAAACATCATCAGACAACACCAACAGAAAGATGTGGAAGGGGCGAAAAAAAAAAAAGAAATGAAATCAAATGAAATCAAATGAAAATACCAAAGTCCCCGCCATCACCTTATTTATTTTTCCTGTTTTAGTCGGCGGCTCGAAGGACCAACCGAGCAACTTTTGTTAAGGGAGGCAGCCACACACACTGAAACAATAAAACTTACTGGAAAACATAACATAACAAAACAAAACAAAACAAAATAAATTTGAATACAACAGCGGTGGTGGTGTGTGGGTGTTTTGGTATGTGAGAGTCCGTATTCGTGTTTTTTCCCCGTTCTGTGGAATTGGGTAGCTACCGAAGGGAGGAGAAGGTATGGGTGGTACTTTTTCTTTTTTCAGTTTCTGCTCCTCTAGTGGGTACAGGGTATGTATGGGTGTATGCGTGTGCTTTCATGGGGGGTGGAAAGAAAAAGAGAAAGAGAAAGAGAAAGATCAGTGGGATCAGAGACACTATATGTATTTATATATGTGCATTGACAATTTTCCTAAGAAAGTATATATATATATATATATATTGTTGAAATTTAAAAGATGTGCAGTAATAACCTATAAGTTATAACAGAATTTTATGAATCGTATTTTTATAAGTAATCGCTCACAGTATTAAATAATACATATATTATATACAAAACTATGTATTACGTATATAAAGTCGTGAGTAAAAGAAATTATTTCTAATTTCTATATCTTGACTATTTATACTTTTCAGAAAGTTAATTTTGAAAAAAAAAGTTTTTCACAAAATTTTCATTGAGTCTGGGTAATATCTCAACATATATATATGGGGGGGTGTGCATATATCAATATTATTCTTACTTGTTTTATTTTATGTAATTGATATTGTAAAAATGTTTTAATGGGATAAATGAATGATGTTATGTATTCGGTTTTTCTAATAATGTTTGCTCCTTCTCTCTTACTCTTTCTTCCAGTCTCTGTTTTCCTTTAGCTCATCTAGATTATAATTTCTATTTTGCCATAAGGATGCTTAACATAACAAATAGATCTAACAATTATGTATTGGGGAAAAAAAACCTTTTTTTTTTCCTTTTCCTTTCTTTTCTTTTCTTTTTTGTTTTCTTGTAAGTAATATATTCTGGTTTTGTAAAACCAATTCAATTATAAAACAATTTAAAAATTTATAATATGATATTGATGACAAGTATAATTTCCATTTTCTACTGTTTCTGTTATTTTTTTTTATTATATTTTTTTTTTTTGTTTATTTTGCATTCATGGTTTATAAGAAATTATATCATTTCTGAAAAAAACATAAAAAAAAAATTATAAAGAGTTGACTAATAAACTTTTGTAAAGGTTATCTCGAGTGATATACTAAAATATGGATATTAATTATATATATAATGTTGGGAATGAGCGCCTTTATTCATTGGATATATAGTAAACATTCTCAATATTATATTAAACAGATTTAGTATACAAAATTATAATAAAGTTCTTCACTTTCTTTCTCTATATACAACATAGAAATAATAATATACAAAGATTGTAAATAAGATAAAAATAATGTATGATGAAATCCTTGGCTTTATATATGTTAACATTCAGCCATTTTCCTCTACGAACAGTAAGATATTTAATAAATAAACTCAACAACTTTTGGTGACCTCTCAACAATTATTACTCAACAATTTATCGTTTAGTGTCTGCTAAAATCTTATTGTTCTATCTATTTTATCATAGAACATTCTATTTCAACATATAAACACTTACAAATTATATATTTGGTTGATTCTAACTATTAAATAGATTAGTCTTGGATATTCGTCTTGTTCTTCTTAACCTATTAGATAGATTATGAATATTAATGCTGATAATTACCGCTGACACTATCTCTCAATAATCAAGGGCATTTTAAGTAAGCTTCTTAACAATTTGCCACCAATGTCCATCCGATGATCATATGTTCGTTCGAATACACTCACAACCTTGGGCCTAGAGTTTCAGTTGTTCCAAGTCCTTCGCATCGACATTAGGCGTTACTCGCAGACTATGTATTTCAGGATTTCCAGTTAGGGCTCCTTACAACTTTATTCTAATACAATAAATAATTGATTTTATTATCCTCTTATCTAAGTCCAAAACTTATGTCTGCACATCAATACTAATACATAAACACACACACACATATATATATATTATGAATATTTATTCTTGAATGCTTGAATTATTTCTTAATGATTTAAAACTTCTTAAAATGAAGCTGATCTAAATTTTTACTACTAAGAAATTTTTTTTGAACATAATAAAAACTTTATAAAAATCAGCTATAGTATCCCTAGACTTTTAATACTAATAACAAATCCAAATTGAAAAATTAAAAAAATAAAAAGCCAAGCTTGATTCATCTTTCTCTCTTTCCCTCTCTCCCTTTATATGAAATGGAATTCACATTAAATTGATTCTTTAGTAATAGTAAATTATTTTACCAAGATTAAAATAAAAATAAAAAAGAAAGTAAATATAAAAATAATAAGAAAATTATAGAAAAGTATTTGATGTTAATCAATTTAATCTCTTTTTTTATTGTTGCTGTCATTATTATTATTATTATTATTATTATTATTGATATATCATATTATATAAAAGATGATTATTTAACTTCTCAAACCCTTTATACTGCTGCCACAACCAAAATCAGATCTATATCTGATTATAAAACATTGTAACCACTTCTAAGATCTAACAATATATAGCTTATTGTGATTATCCGCTTTTACTTTCAGCATACACTGCCCAATTTGTTCAACTGTTACTAACCTTGTAGAATTAGGTTGCGTTTTTTTTTTATATAATCTAGTGAAAAATGGAAAAAAAAAAAACAGAAAATTTCTTGGCTTATCTCTTTTTTCCCATATTTGGAAGTAAAAGATCCGATGATTTGGTAAAATCGGAATTTTTTTTTTCTTCTTCTTATACAATAAATAAACATAATAAAACACTGCCTTAGTCATCGACTCACCTTATCTATCTTTTTCCACACCGCCTTTTCACTTCTCTAAATTTCGATAGATTTATCAACAACTATAACTCATACTCTATAAATAAATTTGTTGAAAAGATAATGTCCGAATTATCTAGATTTACTTCTATATTGTTCGAGGATTCCACTATATCTTTAATAGCTGGTGGATTGGCTGGTGTTGTCTCTAGAACCACTGTTTCACCTTTTGAGAGAGTCAAAATCCTTTTGCAATTACAAGGCTCCTTGCCTCAGACCCAATATAATAGAGGAGTAGTGAATGCAATCAAACAGTTATACCAGGAAGAAGGAATCAAAGGTTTATTTCGTGGTAATGGATTAAATTGTATACGTATATTTCCATACAGTGCAGTGCAATTTGCCATCTTTGAATATATCAAAAAACACATATTCCATGTCGATAAGTATCATGGTCAATTATCTAATGGACAGAGACTGTTTGCGGGTTTTATGGGGGCAGCCGCAAGTTTATTAGTAACTCAACCACTAGATTTAGTTAGAATAAGACTTTCGGTACAAACAGCCAATCTACAAAATTTAAACGAAAGCAGAGCAAAAGATATTCGAAAGCCACCTGGTTTCTACACTCTGTTTAAGCAGATATATAAAAATGAAGGTGGTATATATGGTTTATACAGGGGGATGATTCCAACTGCATATCAAGTATTACCTTGTGTCGCATTAAATTTTGCAGTCTATGAGCAATTAAAAGAATTCCATGATAGTTCTAACTCAACGATGTGGTTATATAAACTGATGTTTGGAGCGATCAGTGGTGCTGTTTCCCAGACTGCTACATATCCGTTTGATTTACTACGCAAGAGATTTCAAATTATGAATATGGGAAAAAATGAAATGGGATTCAAATATACAGGTATCTGGGATGGTTTAAAGACCATTTATCTCACTGAAGGTCCACTAGGGTATTACAAGGGTTTAACAGCAAATCTATGCAAAGTTATCCCATCTACAGCAGTAAGTTGGCTTGTCTATGAAATTGTTTGGGATTTTATGAAATATAATTCTGCCTCAACTTTGTAAAGATGAAACCACTGAAACATAGGCGTAATGCTAAAACATGATACCTTTTGGCACTGTCCATTACGACTATATGACCTTAAAGAATCGCACAAATCCGGTGTTAGGCTACCCCATCCCCACCGAAAGAAAAAGAAAAACAACAACAAGGAAACACCGAAGTTTGATTTGGTAGGGCAGTCACCCACCCAGATCAATGTAAAAAAGTCGAAGATATATATGATGTTATGTTTTTCGATTGCTTCTTTGAACAGTCTTTCATATGGTTGTCATGAATCATCATCATAATCATAATCATTATAAACGCCGTCAATAACGTTTTACCTTTCATTCCAAAACTCTCTATGTTTGTCCAATGAATTAGCTTTGATTTCTGTAGAGATTTATTATTGTCGTTTTTGGTGATATCTAATTTCCGACAAATCCAGAGTAGCCTTTCAAAACTTGCAAGGGGGGAGGGATGAAGGAGAAAGAAAAGGAAGAGAGTGATGATAAACTAAAGGCCATCAAGGTAGGGATCAAGCAGATAAAGGATCACTTGTACGAAATAACTTACATTATTCATAATATATATGGAGAAACCTCACTTCCTCTGTTAATACCGTCTGTTGAAACGCTACAGAACAAAGTGTTTAACCCAAGAAGGTTGATAACTCAACAGATATATAATATATCGAGTAGTATACATATATAATAATAGACAACGTGTAACAGAATGCAACCATCCTTAAGATTGTTGAATGCAGCCGTATGTGAGTGAACAATAAAAAAAATATGTTTACTAGTATTACAATGTATATATTTACTTCGTTTATATTTTCTCTTACTAACAGTGTTTTTAATTTATAACAGAAAAAGACTTCTAAACTTCCTTTCCCAGTTGAATTAACTCCATTATTTATGGCAATTAGTGTTGCTCTTTGTTCTGGTTCATATTTCACATATAAAAAGCTAACGACCGATAAGAGTTTGAGACTCATTACTAATCCAGAACAGTCTGCTTTAGAAGATGTTCTACAACAAAAAGAGAACAACGACAACTAAAAGTAGTTTTTAAAAATTTCTACTTTATTCTGCTTTATTTCAATTTTTTATTCTAATTTTGCAATTATTTATTCGATATTATTCCAGAAATCAAAAAAGAAAAAGAAATTAATAACACCAAAATTTGGACATATTAACAATATTTATTCTAACTATAACGTGTGTACATAAAAGGGAAAAATCAATCTACTACAATTTTTACTTTGTTTATTCTTTTCTGTGTATTAATAATTTTTTTGTAGAATATTAGTGTTGATATATACAAGTATTTAAATATGGCCTCCTATAATCCATATTCAAGATAAACTATAAGTATTTTGCCGTGCAAATGTTGTTAAAAGAGTTCTAAGGGTCAATTATGGACACTTAATATATTTTATAACGAGAAAAGGAAAGGGTCTGGCATATATATACTATATTTGTCTTTGTTACGGATTTTCAGATTAAAAGAAGTTAACGAAGTATTTTAATCTACCTGCAGTAAGTATGCAGTAGTAGCTAGTCACAGACAACGTAGTATTATACAGTTAGAATCGAATTACTGAGAACTACAAAATATTAGCTGTTGTGTGTCGTTAACTGTATAATTATCATTGTTATTATTAATTATTCAAAATAAAATCTTGCTCGAGAATGTGTTTTTTTCATAGATTAGTCTAATAAATAATGATATTACATCACTATGAAATAATATTGACACTATCTCCTCCTTTTTTTTTTTTCTTTTTTTCGTAATTATGATGTAAGAAGATGAAGTGATAAATGCCACATCTTTTATGTTTCTTAATCCTTAACTTACGACTAAAATAACAAATACAACTTTCTATTTCCAGAAGTTCGTCTATAACAATTCTTGTGATCACGTGGCTTTAGGTAATTTTTTTTTTGTAAAGTATAGAAAAAAAAATAAAAAAAATTTTTTTCTTCTTCATTTTGTAACTAAAAAAAAATTTTAATGCTCATCGCAAGATATCAAAAGAGCACATTACTTTCATTAACTATACATTAACATACTTTGACATAGTAAATCTGCTAGTTCTCTCATTTATAACTACGATAATCAACGTAGAAGGGAAATAAAAAATAATTCAGGAAAGTGAAGGATCACTGCCATGAGTAAGATTATTAAACCACCAAGCGGTGTGAGATCAGCTCACTTCAGAACTCTTGAAAGAGAATCCCGTTTTATAAATCCTCCCAAAGACAAAACTGCTTTCCCACTATTAAAGGAAGCAATTGAACCTCATGTTGGTTCATTTAATGCATTGACTGAAGGACCAGATGGTGGCCTTCTAAATCAAGCTATTGAAGATATTGGTGAAAAAGTCATCTTTGATGGAAACTTGGGAACAGATGAAAATATTAATAGTAATTACTTAGGTAACAGATTGTCTGTTAGTATTGAGCAAGTCTCCATTAGTAAACCAATGTCTAATGAAGGTATCTCTTCAGCGGTTGAAAGAAAATTTTTCCCATCTGAAGCTAGACAAAGATTAACATCGTATAAAGGTAAATTGATGTTGAAATTAAAATGGAATGTCAACAACGGCGAAGAAGTTTTTACCGAAGTTAGAGATTGTGGTGGCTTACCAATCATGTTACAAAGTAATAGGTGCCACTTAAATAAATTATCTCCATACGAATTGGTTCAACATAGAGAAGAATCAGATGAACTTGGTGGTTATTTTATTATCAATGGGATTGAAAAACTAATAAGAATGTTGATTGTTCAACGTAGAAACCATCCAATGGCCATTATCAGACCATCCTTTACGAACAGAGGTACCTCATACACACATTTTGGTATTCAAATTAGGTCTACCAGACCAGATCAAACTTCCCAAACTAATGTTTTACATTATTTAAATGATGGTCAGGTCACTTTCAGATTTTCTTGGAGAAAAAATGAATATCTAGTACCAGTTGTTATGATTTTGAAAGCCTTATGTGATACTAGTGATAGAGAAATTTTCGATGGTATTGTTGGTTCTGATACTTCCAATTCCTTTTTAACTGATCGTTTAGAATTGTTATTACGTGGTTTCAAAAAGAGATACCCAACTTTACAAAACCGTACCCAAGTTCTACAATACATTGGTGACAAATTCCGTTTTGTATTCCAAGCTTCTACCGATAAAAGCGATTATGAAGTTGGTCAAGAAGTATTAGACCGTATCGTGCTAGTTCATCTTGGCAAACAAAATAATGTAGACAAATCAAGATTATTATTGTTTATGATTAGAAAATTATACTCACTAGTTGCTGGTGAATGTGCACCAGACAATCCAGATGCTACTCAACATCAAGAAGTCTTATTAGGTGGGTTCTTATATGGTATGATCTTAAAAGAAAAGATGGACGAATACCTTCAAGGAATTATTGCCCAAATTAGAACCGATGTCAATCGTGGTGTTGCCATTAATTTCAAGGATCGCAAATACATGAACAGAGTCTTGTCAAGAGTAAATGAAAATATCGGTTCTAAGTTACAATACTTCTTATCTACTGGTAACTTAGTGTCTCAATCTGGTTTAGATTTACAACAAGTTTCCGGTTATACCGTTGTCGCTGAAAAAATCAATTTCTACCGTTTTATCTCACATTTTAGAATGGTTCATAGAGGGTCTTTCTTTGCTCAATTAAAAACCACTACAGTTAGAAAGTTGTTACCAGAATCTTGGGGTTTCTTATGTCCCGTACATACCCCAGATGGTTCTCCATGTGGTTTGTTGAACCATTTTGCCCATAAATGTCGTATTTCAACCCAACAATCTGATGTTTCTAAAGTGCCAAGTTTACTATTTAGCTTAGGTGTTTCCCCAGCTTCACACACTTTTGCTGCAGGTCCATCTATGTGCTGTGTTCAACTAGATGGTAAGATCATTGGTTGGACCACCCATGAACAAGGTAAGATAATTGCTGACACACTAAGATTTTTAAAAGTTGAAGGTAAGACTGAAGGTTTACCATTAGATTTGGAAATTGGTTACGTTCCACCATCTACTAAAGGTCAATATCCTGGTTTATACATTTTCGGTGGTCATTCCAGAATGATGCGTCCTGTTCGTTACCTACCATTAGACAAAGAAGATATTGTTGGTCCGTTTGAACAAGTTTATATGAATATTGCAGTTACTCCTCAGGAAATAGAGAATAATGTCCACTCACACGTTGAATTCAGTCCAACTAACATTCTTTCTATTTTAGCCAATTTAACGCCATTTTCCGATTTCAATCAATCTCCAAGAAATATGTACCAATGTCAAATGGGTAAACAAACAATGGGTACTCCTGGTGTAGCTTTATGTCATCGTTCCGACAATAAATTATATAGATTGCAAACAGGTCAAACACCAATTGTCAAAGCTAATCTTTATGATGATTACGGTATGGACAACTTCCCTAATGGTACCAACGCCGTTGTTGCTGTTATTTCTTATACTGGTTATGATATGGATGATGCAATGATTATTAATAAGTCTGCTGATGAGAGAGGTTTTGCATATGGGACTATGTACAAAGTTGAAAAGATAGATTTATCCTTAAACAGAAGTCGTGGTGATCCAATTACTCAACATTTTGGTTTTGGTACTGATGAATGGCCAGAAGAATGGTTGGAAAAACTGGATGAAGATGGTTTACCATATATTGGTACCTATGTTGAAGAAGGTGATCCAATTTGTGCATACTTTGATGCTACCATTAACAAGACAAAAGTTAAAACTTACCATTCTTCAGAACCGGCTTATATAGAGGAAGTCAATCTAATTGGAGACGAATCCAATAAATTTCAAGAATTGCAAACTATCAGTATTAAATACCGTATTAGAAGAACCCCACAAATCGGTGATAAATTCTCTTCCAGACATGGCCAGAAGGGTGTTTGTTCTAGAAAATGGCCAACTATTGATATGCCATTCAGTGAAACAGGTATTCAGCCTGATATCATCATTAACCCACATGCTTTCCCTTCGCGTATGACCATTGGTATGTTCGTTGAATCGTTAGCTGGTAAAGCTGGTGCTTTACACGGTATTGCACAGGATGCTACCCCTTGGATTTTCAATGAAGAAGATACTCCGGCTGATTACTTTGGTGAACAGTTATTAAAAGCTGGCTACAATTACCATGGTAATGAACCAATGTACTCAGGTGCTACGGGTGAGGAATTAAGATGCGATATATACATTGGTGTTGTTTACTATCAAAGATTGAGACATATGGTCAACGATAAGTTCCAAGTCCGTTCCACTGGTCCGGTTAACAGTTTGACCATGCAACCAGTCAAGGGTAGAAAGAGACATGGTGGTATCCGTGTTGGTGAAATGGAAAGAGATGCACTGATTGGTCACGGTACGTCGTTTTTATTGCAAGATCGTTTACTCAACTGTTCAGATTATACACAAAGCTCCATATGTCGTGAGTGTGGCTCCATTTTAACTACTCAACAAAGTGTTCCAAGAATTGGTGCTGCTGCTTTGACAACATGTCGCCGTTGTGCTGTTAAATTCGACGATGCTAAGAAGATGATTGCTGAATACCAAGGTGACGATAAGATATTTATTGACGATTCCCAAATCTGGGAAGATGGTCAAGGTAACAAGTTTGTTGGTGGTACCAACACTACGACTGTTGCCATACCGTTCGTATTGAAATACTTGGATTCTGAGTTAACTGCAATGGGTATTAGACTTCGTTACAACGTAGAACCAAAATAAACCACATTATCTTTAAATTGTCATTGTTAAAAAAATTATTACTTTATGTTTAAAGCTTCATTTAACAGATTAAAATTATAAAAATACCAGATTTCTGCTTATCTGTAATATAGAATTGCTTTAGAAACAGATCTTTTTTTATGTTTTTATTCCTATTGATATATATGAATATATGCTTATTTTTTTACTTTATATATGCAAATATATATTTACATCAAGACTATATCAAATAAAGTAACTTTAAAGTACCAAAATTTTCCAAGTTAATATAGTAGGGATATGTTTACTTACTGTGCGCCACAATTGAAAAACATAGATCATATAAATTCTTTTTCTCTTTATGGAAGAAAGAGTCATGCAAAATGCAACATATATTCAATGCCTTCTGATATATCCTACTTGTTGTTACAAAAAAGAAAGAATTAATAAAACAGCACCGAAGAAATTTGTAAATCATAACCGCTATTTTTATATTGGAAATGATACCTGAAGACCTGCAATTCGAAAATCTTCAACAGTCATTTCATCTAGATTTTTACCTGTCACTCGATGAATTTCATTAAAAATGTTTGTGTCACTTTTGGTTAATCCTCTTGAAAAACTACATTGTTCCACTCTCCACTTATTTGCACAAGATGTTTTTTTCTTATGATTTTTCAATTTAAGACATGAAGAACATGTTTGAAACAGTACAATTTTATTAATATATTTTAAAAGTCTGTAATGCTTTCTAGCACCATTATTGTGATTACCGTTGCTATTAGAATTATCTACATTGTCGACAAACAATTCTTTTGGTAACACATGATACCGTAATACAGTTTTTGATAGCTCCTCAACTTCAGAAGGTTTTAAAATATTAACCAACTTCTGTGAAATCTCATTTATAATTCTATCATCTTCATATAAAATTTCAATTTTGGCATCGCATTTGACTTTTCTTGACCTACATGTGTCACAACTTGGTCCCAATCTCTGCCTTTTCCTTGATTGGGAGAAACTCTTATTGAAGAAAGTGGGACTAATTGAAGAAAGTGGAGTTTGCTTAAAGACAACAGGTGCACCATGTACAATATTCTGTTCATTACAATTATACGGCGAATAAGGAAGTTGTATTATATTTTGTGAAGAAAAGGAAGAACTTCTTTTTGTTGTGTCACCACCACCTAAAATAGAATAGGATTTTGTGATGCTTATTGGCGTGTCTGTGGGAAACGGTCTAACAGAAGAGTATGGCATATTTCGAAGCTGTGGAGGATTTGAAGACACATATCTTTGTTGATATATGGGTTGTGGATTAGAAAATATAGCTGGATTAATATGACAGTTACTAGTATTATTTACTGGCCAATATATACCATTGTTAGAAGTAATTGGAACATTATTAGACGGTACTGTTCTATTAGTGCTCTGTATAGTATTTGTTGTTGTATTTATTGGAGACTGTATATTAGTGTTAGTTGATGTTTGATTGTAATTTGGCAATAATAGTGGATGCATTGATCTATTAGCATTCATTATTGGCGTGCTTTTAGTCACTTTTTTGGTTAAGTGAGTACCATTGATAGTGTTTATATTTTTATTTTGAAAAGCATTGAATCCCGTCTGTGCGTTACGGATATTTGGAAATGCTGGATATACTAGTAAATTATTAGGTTGGCAGGTAACTATATCTTCTTTATTCATGAATTATTGTGTAATAAAACTGATATATAAGAAAATAATTAGACAGAACAAAATAAACTGAAAATTGCTAGTGTGTTAACTCACAAAAATAAAACATATAGTAACAAAAGTACAAGCAACAAACAGAGGTAGAACAAACAAAGACGCACACACAAACAAATAATAGAAGAAAAAAGTTTTCTTTTTGTACTTTTTGTGCGACCTTTGGAATTGAATATAAATTCTAAAAGAAATTCCTACAAAAAATTATTCTGATTGTTGAGGTTTTTAAACAAAAAAAATATTTTCTCCACTATTTTTATAAAATATCTTATAGAGTTGTTAGACACCAAGAGTCTTTTTTCAGTTCCAATTGTATTTTCTCAGTACGTTGCGAGGTCTTGAATACTTTGGGGAGGCATATGCGCATACATATACATGTATACATACGAATATATATATATATATTCATATTTTTTTTTGTTTAAATACACACATCTTTGAGATCTTGATATCATACTTTTTTACTTTTTTTAATCTTTTGTTTTGCTACTTTATACTCTCGACCCTTGACAATGCGGCAGTACTCCACCTATTGTTATTTGTTTACTGTTCTGTTTTTATTTTTGAAATGGCAATATAGACAAAACACAAAAAAAAATAAAAAAATGAAAAAAAAAAAAGAAAAAAGAAAAAAGAAAAAGAGAACAAGCCAAAAAAAGCTACTGAGGAGTGACATTTTACATGCAGAAAGTCCCCCTATTCCCTTTTCTACGCAATGTCGAAAGCAGAAATTCATGGAGACAATAAAGAAAACATAATGGAAAAAACATAATTTTCCGAAAAGATCTGCCTTTCACTGTTTTTCAAAACAAAAACAAAACCCATGTGCAATCAGGTTTTTTTTTTTTTTTTTTTTTTCAAACTTACCAAAATAACAATGCAAAATGTTTCATTATTGACGAATATATTTGCTATACAAAACGCCGTTGTAAAGAAGTGGAGGAACAACCCAGCTGTGTATTGTATTATTTATAATAAGGGGATTTTCTTTATGTAATGAAAATTTCTTATACACAGATATTCAGTTTATAAGGTAACAATCATAAGCGGTATAAAAGTTTAATCAAACATTACAGTAATACTATTGTGTATGAATCCCTAAATAAAAATTTCCTTTCCATAAGTCCGTTGTCTATCAATAGAGTAAAAAGGAAAAATAGTCATGATTTAAAAACTCTAGATTTAAACTGCCAAGCTGTAGAAGATAAATTAAAGTACAAAAAAATAATATGGAATATCTAAGGGAAAAGAAAATAGGCGTTGTTTACTTAATATTAAATATAGGATCTGATCTAACCAGAGTAATAATCTAGAACTGAGTAGCGTAGTATCTGTTTTTATAAAACAAAATAAATTTTGTTTTATAAAATGATAGGCACTTACTCTTGAACAAATTTTTAATCTTTATTTTTACTCTGGAAAATTGTCTAAACTAATTAAGCATATTCCAAAAATATTTGTACACAGATAATCAAATCATTAATTATTCAAGTCAACAAAATAGTATTTGTACCTAATGTAAAAAAGTATACTAAAGTCTAGATCATATTTTAATTATCAAAATAAAAATAAAAATAAAACAAAAAAAAAAGACTTTACTCTTTCTATTTTTCTTAGAAACATACACACGCACACATACACAAACAAAATGTCGCTTGTTGACTTGTTGCCTTGATTAGCATATGCGGCTAGAATGAGACATTTCCTTTTTTCGGACGTACGACATTTTTGTTTGAGTATGAGAAACGACTTTTCGTCTATTGTTTAAATTTCTTTAGGGTGAAAAAATATATCAAATTTTAGTCGCCGAGCTTTTTCCTGTGTTAAAGCAAAGTCTGAATATGGTGTTGTAATTAAAAAAGAAAAAAGAATGCGACTCTTCACATAAACAAGTTCTGTCCTGTCTAAATAAATTGTATTCTCTTGTTTCCACTAAGAATATGAAAGGTAATTGGTGAATGAGACAAACAGATTCATATCCTCTTTAAAAAAGAAAATCTTTGAAGTATATATAATGTAATATATCATTATATCAATTGTTTCTTTTTTTAGCTCTGTCAATAAAATGACCAAAACAATACTATCTTTCCTTCAATTGTCATCTAAAAATTATCCTAAAAATTTATATTTAACTTTGCTTTTATTAGAAATTTGTGTTAAGACAGTATTTCTAAATTGAAAATACATTTTCACAAGAGCTATAAATAATGATTTTCTTGTACTACTTTTTAATTAATTAATTATTTATTTATTTACTTATTCATTTATATCTTTTTTATATCAGGTCTGTTTCGAATCACCTTTTTTGGTACAATACCACATAACTTCGGAGTGATAATTCTTACTTCATTAAATTATTTTTATTTCTTTTAAAAAAAGGGAAAAAAAGAAAATTAACATTGTGCAATGGTATAATAAAGAAAAGCACTTGAAGAATAAACAAAGATATTTACACAATACAGCAAAAAAAGAAAAAATATCATCTTAAATTTATCTAATGTAAATATAAAGTTTTTGTAGAAATTCATAAACAGAAGGTACTTTAAAAATAAGCTTTTTCAAGAAAAACAATGTAGAATGATTTTTAAAGTTTGTACACCTTTGGAAAATACAACTTAAAGTGTTTTAACTGGTTTTTTAAACTTTTACAACTAGAGCAAAAATCTGAGTCCAATCTATTTTTTCTTTCTTGGAAAGTGATGCCTTTTCAAGTGAAGTATACTAAAAGAGGTTACCCTTAGTGTATTAATAAAGATATTTAAAGTATAAAATGCCACCTCCCTTAAAGATTGTGCCTTGGTTTCCATTTTAGGACAAGCCTTTTGGAACACTTTTTTCTTTTCGATTTATTCAGCCGACAAGTTTATATTGATATAGCAATAATAAAGGAGAAAACTCAGGTAACCTTATACTTGAAATAGAAATGAATTCTAATTAAACTATTACCATTGAAAGTTTTAAATATATTTTTAGATAATTATCAAACCCCACACATTGTTATGGAGATTTTTGTTAAATCATATTTACATTAGATAAGATGTTACAAGCTATAAAAGTTGACATTCAAAACAAGAAGCTACAGATGATTTTTATTTTTGTTTGTGGGAACCTAGTTTATTACAGATTAGGTTTTTTATAGTTTACAGAGGGAATTAGTAAAGCAATTGTCTCTTCCTTATTCAACAAAATTTCTCAAAAAATATTAACGTTCGTTCCTCTCCTTTCTCTTTTCTTGCCTTTTCATATGGCACTTATTCATTATCTTGTAGCAATGAAATATTAAAGCCATTTATCGTCAGATGTTCCTACATACTTCAGTGAAATAAAGATCAATTCAAAATGTACGCTTACAAAACAAATACCAAAACTACTGTATATTCTAGCAAACAAAAGAAAAAAAACTTTTGGTAAAAAAAAAAGCAATTTTTTCAACAATAAAGTAACTTCCGTATCAAATGATTTTCTAGATAATCTTTCTTTTTTTTTTTTTAAGTCAAACTACAATTTATACACCCTGTATACAAACAAAATTTTTTTACGGAGATACCTTCAACATTAACAAGCTTTTAAAATAATGAACTGCAAAATTCTTGCATCATGATGATCACTGTATTTAACAAAAAAAGATTACAAAAAAAAAATTTTTTTTCAATTCAATGCATAGAATTACAATATTTTGTTCATTTGGGGAGGGAAATACAATTCGATACGAAAAATAAACCAGTAATTCTCAGCTGGTATTTTTTTTTTTCCGGCATCTTCAAAATGTCTATAAAAGTCTATTGTTTTGGAAAATTCCACTTTTGGTAAAAATCGTTTCATATTTCATAGAATGTGTTTTTTCAATAATAGCCGTCGGGAATGTTGGTTTTTTAAATAAAGAAAAGGCTCATATCAAATGCTATTATATTTTTCTTAAAAAAAAATAAACGGCTACAAATGTCTATTTCCAGTCGAGAAAAATTGTTCTTGTAAACCCTTTCTCTCTAACAATAATATTACTGATTTGTTTTCGACTGAAAGAATTATGGCCATTGATTTTAAATCTGAAATATGCCGTCATAATTTTTTATTCAGTTATAACTGATCACCGTAACATATTCAAGTCAAAGCCAAAAATCATCTATATTTCAAAATATAAAATTGTAAATATTGCTTTAATTATTTTAATGTAAAAAAAGTGATACATACAAAAAAACCAACTTTCAATAGCTCTCCCAAGTAGTTTCTTATGATTACTTGACTGTTTTTATATTAAATTACAAGAAAAAAAAACTCTACAAAATGTTAAATATTTTATCGACCATGTTCTGTACAAAATTCAGCAAATTTTTACTTAGTGCACATGCTTCTTAATAAACTACCGTCCTTTAAGGAACTGATGTCCTGAGTTATTCTGTATATTATAAATTGTATAATCTTTTTATGTTCCTGAAACAGTAAATGGGATTTTAATATTTGAATTGGCAATAGTAAATATATAATAGAATTGGTAAAGTACCTCTTTTTTAATGCAATTATTTGAAGTGGAGAAAATACTATAATGTTAACATGGATATTGAGTAACTAATACAGCCGTTCATTAACCATATATATATTTGTAAATGTTAAACTGTTACAGTTTCTAACAACGAAACAGTTTCAATTTTAAAACAAATTCAAACATATCAAAATCTGATTTTTAAAATAAAACAGTATAATGGTTTTATTATGCATGGAAGTTGCAAGTCGATTCTTATATCTAAGAGTTGGGTTTGGGGAAACTATCTTCTTCCCCATTTAATGAAAAAAAAAAATAAAGTTTTCTAAGATTAACTGAAATTAGCTTAAATAAATCACCATTAGTTGTACCTACATATTCTTTTTTTTCTATACTTTTTTTTTGGTGTTACTTATATTTTTTTTATAAATTTTTTTTCTGCCTAGGAAATTGAAAACACCGGTAAAATTAAATCAACAAAATCTTCATATATCTGTGATTTTTATTCCAGTCAACTCAATTATTGATAATTAAAACTAAAGTTACTTTCGAGGAAAGATCAATACTATGGCATGTTCTGAGATTTGTTTTTTTTTTATTTATGAAAATTTTTGATATAATATCAGCATCCTGCAACCAGTTAAAACCATATGCCATAGTTTAATGGACGTCGATTTATCCTTATTGAAAAAAATTGTAGAAATGACCTGGACTATTAACTGAATATCGCATACTTTTACACATTTTCAAACTTTATAAATTTCAAAAAAAGTGAGGGAAAAAACGATTATCTAAAATATAAAATTGATTTACAGATAAAACACGTTAATTATGATAGAATTAAAGATTTAATGATGTAAACAACTCAAATTTATTTATGTTGCTATTGATTTTTTTTACTTCAAATCGGTTAAATTAATAATATATTAACCTTAATAATGAAATTTCAAACTAATACTTTTTGGTTAAAATATTTTCCTGTTAGCATTATACATTGTCATATTAATAACTCGACACTACCCTAACCACAAATAAGACAACCAAATCATAAAAAATTCAATATATGGAATGGCGTTATAATTAAATCTACTGTAAATATATCTATTATCAAAACAACAGAGATAGCAAAAGAAAATAACATCAAGCTATTACTTATTAGCCTATTAAATTTTCTAAAGAACAAGAATGAGGAGCTAAGAAAAGGTTTTGAACGTTACAATATAGAATAAATTATATTTATTTCTCCACTACTGCTACAATCAATGTGATACTCATGAAATAATTTTAAACATTTCACAATAAAATTGTATAACCGATGTACTTTTTGGAAGTTTTTTGTTAAACATAATGTTCTTATATAAGTAATAGTTTTTGTATTGAAATCTACTGCTGATAGGGGCGAAGTTTATGTGATTCTTATATTTAACAAGGTAGAAAACGTTTTTCAGCCCAGACAAAAATGTAATAATTTTTTCGAAGAGGTATTTTAACAATGGCTAAATCTTAGTCACTGATCAGTTTAAATTTCTATTTAAAGTAAGCCATAAATTCTTCATAATCATAAAAACTAAATATCTAATGTATATATTCTATAGAAAATTGTTTAACATAAATTTAATTATAAGTATATTATAAATCTGATAAAAGATTATCCAATTCAACAAAATTTTGATTTGATAGAATTTTAGGAGGAATTGGGGTTTCTTGAGAGATCATTTTTGAAGCTTTGTTTGTATCAATATTATAATTGGCACTAATATTAAACTCATTTTCCATCACCTTTGGTTCATTACTTAATTCTTTATTCTTTAAATCATTTGAATTGGGAGAGTTTACCATGTTAATATTATCTGTCACAAGCAATTGGTCATTTGTTGGAAACTGTGTTTCTATATTTGCGCCCATGGTTCCTTCATACATCATATTTCTATCATCACTTAGTGCTGAAGAATTTGCAAATGTTGTTTGTGGAATTTTCGAGTATTTATGATTTCTATCAATACTGCTGGAACGTTGTCTCATTGTATTTGGATTAATATTTGTACGTAACTTACAAGATCTCCTACTATCGTTTTCATTTTCTGGAATGTCCATAAAACTTGGCATTAATGACAACACCTCTACACTCGCTACGCTCTCATTATCATTAGAAATATCATTTTTGGACTGGATTAGCTGATGTGAAACTAAGGGTCTTTCATTTGAAAAATGATTAAGAACATTCAATGGTGATCTTTCAGTTGAAGGTACTATATTACTTTGATCACCCTTTTCTTGCAGCAATAAGTTAGCTCTCGATAATGTTGAGATTGAAGAAGTGTCAGAAAACATGTCGAGTAGTCCATTTCTGGTTGTTGATGTGTATGATGGTTTATCAAACGGAGACTTGCCTTTACTGAAATCAGCGAAGTCCATTAAATTATTGTCTTCTGTCCACGAAGGAATATCATCAACTTTACCTATACCATTAATATTGGGTGGAATATATTCTTCAAGTGGTACAACAACCTCACCAATATTAGATCTGGTAGGGCTTTGTATGGTTTTTACATTATTTGACATATTTGTCTCATCAATAAATGTATTTCCCATAGTATTTAAATGCAAATTGGAAACATTCGACACTGAAGCATGGTTTAGCTCCATATTATTATTTCTTGTTTTGACTTGTTGACCATATTTAGAGTAAATTGCTGGATTTTCAAAAAGGAAACTATATTGGACAGTAGATGCTTGATTATTTTGTAATGGAAAATTTGGCTCTAAGGATTGTGATGATTGTAGTGAAGATATAGAAACTAGTGATGGGACATTATGATATTCTTTTGATATTTTGCCAGTAGTATCACTATCAAGAAATGCCCTGGGAAAAATATTAGAGGTATCATCATTATTATTATCGTACTGCTTATCATGTGAATCTATTGTCAATAAATGACTGTCAAGAGATACTGATGAAGTTGTTCTATTGACCTTACCCTTGGTTTTGATTTTTCTTTGTGTTAACCCTGATGTTCCTGTATGAGTGCCGTTTTTACGTTGTTGTCGTTTTGAATGTATCCTACATGTTATTTGGGTACCGCAGGTACAATTTTGTGCAGTAAATTCCTTAGCTTTTGCTCGTTGTTCTTCTTTGGCTTTTTGGGCTTTTCGTAGTTTCTCTTGTCTCCCACATGTACATGATCCAGGAGGTTTTGCAGATTTGTTCTTTCTTAATTCTTTGCAGTAAGCACATGTTGTTGAGGGTCTACCCTTTGGTTTAATCATCATAAGAGGTTGATCAGTATGTGTACATGTTGTAACTCTATGACCCCTAATGCATCTTTCACAAGCATATTTGACACCGTTTATTAGCACCATTTGTACCTATGTAGTATTTATAGTTAAAAAATTATTAATTTAATGACAAACAAAGCCCATATAATAAATGTAAAGTTAATATATAAATCAAAAAAGTAAGTGATCTACAAATTATTAAAACACTTTGGAACAGTACAAAAAATCCACCTTTTGTAACACTTTTTATATTTAAATTAAAAATTAAATGCTTAGCAATCATATAGTAATATGAAAAGGCAGCTAGGTAGAGCTGTAACAATAAAAGTTTTATTGTTGAGTTAGCTATGTAGATTACTATAATTTTTAACTTCGTTTTGGACATGACTAAGTTTTCTTTCACAATATGTCGGCCATTCTATCCAACTTATTTTCTTTTTCTTTTTTTTTTTTTTTTTTCTTTCTTTTTTTATTTTATTTGACTTTATTTTATTTTATTTTTTTTTTGGCATATAAAATACTAGAAAGAACAAAGTATAAAGAGAGCTTAAAATTAGTAAGTTCTATTTATTCTACAACTCAGCAGCTCCTGAAGTGCACTCCAGTTTCATGATATCTAAGATTTATTTTTTAATTTTTAACCAATTGCATGTGACATTAGGAAGTGAAGATGAACTAGAATAATTTCCATAGGAATAGCGAACCTTGTAAATTGTGATAAATCAAAATGTATAATGAAATAATTCTACCTATTAGTAAATAGAAATAGTTGGTTTTACTAGTGTATTTGTTTGATGGAGTATAGCTTTCTCAGATTACTTTTAGCAATAGCATTTTGATTGTCATTTAGAAACAAACATCTATCTAAATATTCAAGTACAAAACTATAGAAGAACAATTAGAACAACCTATGAGAAAGAATCATTAGATAATTCTCACTTGTACGCTGTGAGTAGGAAATTTGTACAAAAAAGTATTTCTCTAGTTGTACTTCTTTATCAATGTTGTTATAAGATAAATTAGTTTAATTTGTTGGTGAAAAAAGTTTAATAATAGTTGCAATGTGTAATTTCCTTTATTGATTAACGAGATATACTTTATACAACTATTAGTGAACTTATACATATTTCAAAAATACTTATTTATTCATAATAGATATATAAAACTGAAGAAAACAATGATAGCGCTTAAAGGTATTTATTTAAATTGGCTTTCTGTATAGTTATCACCACTCATACTTAAAGTTTGTGAAGATGAACCATTTTGAATGATTTGTAGTGTAGAATCAACAAATTCTGCACCAGACCATTTTTGATGTGTCAATATATCACAGTTTAGGTTTCTTTCTTTCTGTTGAACTAATTCAACATATGCCTTCATACCTTCGGTTTCAAATCTTCTCGCAACCTCCCAAAATGAAACACCATCAATATGTAAACCTGCAAGCGAGACTAATTGAAGTACAAACCCTTCGTTAGCTAGATCCCATATAAATGATTTCAATGTTTCGTCTATGAATCCGTGCTTTGACCAATTGAAACTTGGGGATAGATTATAAACAAACTTGGAATTTTTTAACTCCTTATGAATCTCATTAGCAAATGATTTGGCTTGAGTTAAATCTGGTGTTTTTGTCTCCAGCCACAGCATGTCAGCAAAAGGGGCAAAGGTTTTAGAACGTTCAATGGCTGCTTCCATACACCCATTAAACATAAAGTATCCTTCTTTGGTTCTTGGTGCTTCATAATCAAAATAAATGTCTTTTGTTGGAGCGCATTGTTTAGCAAGTTGTAGTCTTTCCCTTATGCTTAAATAATGTCTATCTTTCTGTTTCATAACTTTGTTGGTTAAATCAACATATTTATTGTATTCACCTGACGTTGTTTGTAATTTAATGGCTTCATCGATTGTACAGAGTTCATTTGTTCCATACCACTCATTTTCCGCGTCACTAATTTGGTTTTGTGGGACTTCCTTCATTTCTAAATCAATAACGGTCTCACTCCATGCATTTGTATCTGGCGTAATTATACCTTTGATATATTTATGATCTCTTGGATCACTATTACTACTTAATAATTTACTATTGCAGGAGTCGGTTCTTGCAATTATTATATTCTCTGTTCCCATAACGTCCCATTGAAATCTTGTTGCCAATAGTCTAGTTAAATGCGTGCTTGTTGGTACAAGAACGGTTCCTCCCAAGTGGCCACATCTCTTCCCACCAACTAATTGATCTTCTAAATGAATCGCTGCAGCACCTTTTTCAGCAAATAACTTGGCTAACTTCATTACGGTTGAAGGGCCTCCATGCCCCATGTCTCCATCTGCAATAATTGGCTTTAAATAATCAACAAATTTTTCATTTCCTTTTGTTAATGCAGCCAACCTTGACTTACGGTCATGTAACTGCTGTGCTTTAAATATTCTTTCCACTTGACGTGGCACCGTGTCATATGGGTAATCACCAAAGTCAGGTGATACTTCGTTTGTGGATCCGACAAATGTCGAGGAACACGCCCATCCAGAAATATAAGCAGCACCAATATTTTTACATTTAGCTAATTGTGACATCTGTACTGGATCGATAATTCCAAGTGTATGTAATGGTAATCGTTTTTCAAATCTATTTTCTAAATCTTCAAATAGTTTTCGTGCTTGGATAGATGATGCATATTTAACTTTATTGAGTGATTGTGAACCCCTATGTTTGGCAATATCTTCCGCTGTGTACAACCGTTTAATATCCTTGAAACGTGGTGAGTTCCACCAATCTTCAATTTCTTCAACTTCTCTCTTTAAAATATCTCTTAAATTTTGGTTCATATAGCAGCGTCTAATATTTTTAAATTTTAAAGATAACATCTCTTAGAATGTTTTTTTAATTCGCTACTACATTTACATTTTGAAGAAAGCACTTCATTCTGAATTTATAAAACACTAACTTAGCAAAAGAATTTATTTCTTATTAAATATACAAACATATATATATATATGTGTGTGTGTGTGTGTTTATATGGATTTTTATTTGTTAATAGCTTGTTGTATGTATATTTTTAGCATTTGCTAGCTTATTTAAAATTTCTGCACCCTTTAAATTTCCCCAATAGCTTTGAAATTTCTTCCTACCCTAAAATTCAATTAAAAGTATTGTTCATTCATTGGGGCGAAAAAGAAAGATCGATAAAGAGAGATTACAATAAAAAGCAGCCATATAATAATTCTGAGAATATTGCAACTCTCTAATTGCTTGACAAAAAAAGTACTATGAGAGTTTATTTCTCAAGTTACATAATAATATGGAATGTTTCTAATGTGATTGGAATTGAGACGAATTTTGATACTTTCAAATCAATAATATCCTGTGATGCGAGATCCAATAGTGAAAAAAATGCATTGGCAGCCAATTGTTTTGTCATGGGTACAAAACCCTTCGTTTCAAAATCTTCAATTTTGTCTGGAATAATATAATTGAAAGGTAATCCATTGTTTAGAAGAGTATCAATAGATACATCTCTTTCTACTGTACTATCTTTCATCTCACAGAACTTGCTGTAGAGATAAGAATAGAATTTTTCGCTTTGACAATTTCTTAGTTTGTCCAGATTTTTTTGGATTTTATTCTCAGGGGTGTCCAATAAACTCTTATATTGATCTTTTTCGTTTATTATAGTATTATTTGTATTTTTAGACAACTTTAAAACATCAATAAAGTCTGTTTTTCGTTGTGCAGAATTGTTAGACGATGTTCTGGTTGAATAATTTCCAATACTCGAGGGTAAGAGATTTAAAGGGTGTCTCATAAACTCTAAATCATTTTCTATTGATTCAGAATATGGAATTAGATTTGCTTCGTTTAAATCTTCTTCAATTTGATCTAAATGAAATAACATATTATTGGCAATACTTTCATCTTGTCTAAAAAGTTCATGATCTTCATTATCTAAAAATAGGTTACTTCTTTCAGAAAGATTAACCAATTTTCTACCCGTATCAATATTATCAACATATTCATTTGACCGAGAAGAGGAATATGGTATTGGTTTATGAAGGAAGGAATACAAATCCTTTGAAAGCAAAAAATTCCAGCATTTATTTACGAGTTTTGTTGTATTATCGTTAGAAAAAAAAAGTTGGCGGCCAGTTTTAGAGATATTTTTACCAAATTTTCTTTTACTTCTTTCCATAATTTCAACATAAGCCTCATGGTTTATTTTTAGTGTTTCGGTTAACATACTAATTTTTGAATCAAGTTTAATCTTTTTTAATATACCCCTATTCTTATGACCTTCAGAATCAGGTTTTCTCTTTCTTTCTAAGTTTGATGTAGGGTTTTGATTGTGCTGAATCTTGGAGGCTATTTTATGTTCTGTCTTATTTGAAGAAATCTCTAAATCAAAATTTATAACTGAGTCGACTTCTTCATTAGTAAAATTAGTTTCTTCTCCAAAATATCTTGCCTCTTCTCTAAAACGAATATCTTGGTTATTTTTGTATGTTAGTGAACTAGTTGATCTTGTGGTCCCTTGTTGACTGATTATATCTTCAAAATTTAAATCTAAAGAGAAATCAACAGGAAGTTCTTCTAATGTGAAATTTCTGACAACATTTTGATGATCAGAAATATCTTCACTTGGATTTGGTAAAATATTGTAATTTCTGAGTTCATTTAAAAAGTCTTTTTTCTTTATCTGCAATGATTCTATTTTTTGATGATTCCTTATGTCTATTCTAGTTAGAAAAAGCTCAAAATTTTCAATATCATTAATATTAAATAGATTGTCATCCTGAAAAAAATTCTCAGCATTTAGTATTACGTCATGTTTGTGTTTTAGTGTATTTAGATATTTTCTAGAAATGCATCGGTTTTCGATGACTCTTTCTTTACTTGCGAACGATTTATGTATTTGAGTTAAAAGTACAGATAAATCTTCCAAAACAAAGTCTGACTTTTTACAGTAACACAGTGAAATTCCATATAACAAATGTGAAATTTGTTTTAATTGTAATGGATGTGAATCAGCTTTAATTAGGTGACAAGTTGTTGGTATAGAAACTTCTAGAATATCCTTTTTTGATACCTTTGTCCAACTTCCTTTTTGCTTTGGAAATAATTGTCTTTTGTTTAGTAATGATAGCAGCCATACAGTTGATATATTTTGTTTATTTTCGCCTTCAAAATTGACATATGGCTTGAAAGACATTGCAGCAGCTTATATTTTGCATATATTTTGTTTTTGGCTGTGTTCTCATATGTTTAAGAATTAGTTTGCAATTAAGTTATATATTTAAAAACTATATAGCCGCCGATATTACATTTTATATTAAATGTTATGTTTTTTTTGTATTTTATGGACCAATTTTTTTTTTACATTAAATGCGGAATTCAGAAATCTATATACTATCACCAGCAGGGATTCACAAAAATTCCTTTAGCCAACAAAAAAACAAGAAGTAGCAGGTACCAGATTTATTCCTAGGATAACCTTTATCCAAACCTTATTGCTTATTTTTTCTTTTAAAACTAATCTTTACTGCATTTGTGTTCTAGAAGTGAATTAACCAACATTGTTTACATAATGGAACACGCTCAATGGATAGATAATTTTGGAAAGATTTGATGGATATATGTGAATACTTCTAACCATGCCTAAACATGAACTAACAGGCATTATAAATTATAATACCGTTAAAATTGGTAAAATTGGTAAAATTGGTAAAAGAAAAAGTGATTAAAAGATAGGTGATAATAACATATTTGTTCTAATGTCAAGATTACATTGAGGTAGGATATGAAATGCAAAGAAATAAATTCTACAATTTCTCTCTTAACATTTGGTCTACTTATCTTTTATATTCATTTATATTTGTTTTTGTACTTTACATACAAGGGGCTGAAGAATTTTAATTCTAATAAACATATTAATAACTTTTTCTTTTAACCGTAATCAGTAGCTATAGCAACATCTTGGATTGGGACCTTTATCGGTCGAGAAATATGTCAGGATTAATCTTTAATAGTTCCTTGAACAAGATCTAACATAATTATTATTCCTTGAGAATCCTCTAATTAGTTTCAATATTTTATACTAAATACTGCACTTTTGACTGTACGAGTTTTTTTTTATCTAAACATTCAGGTGTGACTTGAAAGGACTTCGTATCAATCGAACTCCAGTTAGATTCCTTGCAAAATTTTTAAAACTAACAGAATATAATATATATAAGGATTTATCCTAAATAATATAATAAAATTTCAAGACGCACGACTTTTGGAAAGTATTAAAGATATGTATCAAGGAGTTATGCACCTTAAAGTTTTATGATTAACTTAGTTACTCTATATACTAGATATAAAAAGAATACAATCTGAAATCGTAGTTAAACTTAGAAGGCCGCAAGAGCAGAGTAACTTCCTCTTATATGATACTCTGCACTACAAAGATTTTACACGGTTGCTAACAATCTTAAAAATTGTTCATGTTGTATGATATTATTTTCCAAAAGTGTGTAACTTATCGTTAGCTTACCAATTATCTGTTTCTAAAGTTTTTGTTTAAATTATCTTAACAAAAATTATGAATATTGACATGTATAACTATTTAAGAATCATAAATCGTTGATTCTAACAAAATAAAACAAATATACATGTATTAATTATTTTTGTTATTTTCACATTTATTAGGTTCTAGATTAGAAAAAGAGGAACATTATACAGAAACAATATTGCTGACAGTTAATAGTAAATTTTACAAATGTTTGCTTTTCAGGCTAATATCTTAATATTCCTCCTTATATAGTACTTAATAAACTTAAACTCATGTAACAAATGATTTACTATTCTTTTATGATCTAATTGTTGAAAATTAATGATACATAAGTAGATTGAATAAAATAGAAATATAAAATAATTGAAGATATATACAAATATGCCATGAGTATATAATTTTGTAAGTTATAATGATGCACAAATTCAGAATATATCTGTGTTTTAAAAAGGTTTATTATTAGTATTCATATCAAACTGCTTTAATGGATTAGTTTTGTTAGTCACCTGATAAATACATTAGCTATTGCAAAGGTAATTTTCCATTTTTTGAGTAATTTAATTTAAGTAAATATAAATTTTTAAGTTCTATTCTGTATTAATAGAAGTTTAATATTAGTGTCTATAATGTAAATGCTCTAATTAAAATGGTGATTTTGTACAAATTAGAAAATTAAACATGATGCTCTTGGTAAAGGTGGATCACATTAGAAATAGTAATAGTGTTTTTCAAAATATTGAAACATCTAGAATATAAATTTTTATGATAAAGAAGATTTTTTGCGGGTTTAATATCCTATATTTGAAGATAATAGTGTATATTCTACGTAAAAGGGTGCATTGAAATATTAAAGGTTAGTTAAAGATCTAAAAAGAATAAGTGCAAAATGTTAATATCAGAAATACAATTTAATAAGATGTTAGAAAAAACTAATCTAACATTTTAATGTACCTTTTTAGGTATGTCACAAAGTTGACTTTTTTTTAGTCATTTTAAAAGAATGTGATAAAAGATTCTTCATTAGTCATGTTTCTATAAATAATAATTGTAGGATTAGACTTCAGAAAAATAGAAATGGATTTTGAAATGTGGAGTAAATTATCATATGATATACTATGGCATATCTTTGAGATTTAGATATTTCTGTTAAATTCAAAAATGAAATGATAGATAATTATATCTTGATATATAATAATAGTAATATAGTTGACAAAATTCCTCTTAGATTGACTTTAAGTAAAATAATGTTATCTGTGAAAATATATTGAATCTTATTGTAGGTAGTACAACAGTGGTAGTTTTTTGTACCATCATATTTATCATTAGCTAAACGATTTTTGAAAGATAAGCATTCGTGATGTAGCTCTTCACAAGATAAAATATCTCAGAGTTGAGAAAAAAATACATAATCAAGTGGCAGCATTATATATTTATGGTCATGTTAAATATTACATAGTGGAACAGTATCATTGGGTGTAACAAATAATAAAAAAAATATTCTCCTTTAAAATAAATTTAAATTAATGGTAGTTGGATGAAATAATTTAGTGAAAAAACAAATATGTTGTATTTAGAATGTAATAAGTAGAAGAAATAAAGGGGTTTAACAAATAATCAAATCAAATAGGCAAGCAATTCTAAAATAATTATATGGATTGTTTAAGCATAAAGAACATCTTTTGTAAGCATGTTAATTTGTTGATTGCAACCAATAAAATCTGTGTAGTTTTCTCACTATTCTGATGATATACCAGATATACAATAAAAATATAGAAAGAATATATTAATATTGAAATATAAAGTAGTAATATGTACTTATAAATTACTGAAATGTAAAAAATTCATGAGTGCTTTAGAAATATAGAGTTATTAGATAGTAATAGTCCAGCAAAATGGCACAGACTACTTTCTTTTCAACTGCAAATTAAATTTATACTGTTTTATAGTATATATTACTAGAACATGTAAATCATATGAGATTTAAAAGGATTGGCTGCAATGATGAAGCTAAAAATGATATTAAAGACTGATCAAATACTAGTTCAACCTTGATATAGAAATTATTGTATTAACATTTATAATATCACAAAAATTGTTATTGTGTGAATAAGGATAGTCAAAGCTGAGAAGGATTGATAAACCATATAATAGGGATAAAGTAACGGTTCATTATGTGTATTAATGATAATAATAAGTGGATTCAACCATTAGCTAACAATAATGTAACTTATGTTAGAGCTGTAAAAATATATTAATTAAAGTGAAATGCTATGATTTAAAGAGAAATACCGGAGAAATTTTAAGGTACTCATTAGTTGATTTTGAAATAAATATATATGTTAAATCACGGTGAATTGGAAATGGTCAAAACTTGCTTTTTGATTTTTACTTTATAAATTTCTTATACATAGGATAACATATACTTTAAAAAAATCAAAATAATATGATATAACTAAAATTCTTCAGTTATAAAAAATAAATTGGACTAGTAAGTAAAGAATGTATTTCAAATTAGTATATATAACAGAATTCTTAATTTTGTAGATAGCATTTTCCAAAAGAATATCAATGATGTATGGAGAAAGTATTAATATGTTCTATAGAATAACTGTGTCCACTGTATAAAAACCTTCCAGAGAACTTTATATAGTAATATGGTTGACACTTTTAAAAATTAATGAATTTCTCTGAGAAAAACTATAGATAAGGTTAAATTGTTTCACTACATTATTGAAACCTATTGAATAATAACCATACTTAATCAAAGCATCGCTGCTATTTTCTGCTACTCTAAGGTTTATCTTATTGTCCATGACAAAAATGCATATGTCCTATACCAATAAATTATCCTTCAATAATAATAAAAGAAACATTTCTTACAAAAGATATAAAAACAACATACAAATCAATAAACAAAATGTTATTTAAACTTAACAAACTTATTTACTATTTTACCTTCATTACAAATATACAACGTTCATTGTAATTAAAAACAGTATTAATTATATCATTCTGTACATTTTGAACCAAGCACGTGCATTGTATATACTTTTTTACACATGTTATTATCATAGTTTATTGATCTTTTTATTTTATATATCCGATAATACTTTAAACTACTTTCACCGTATATAATGCTATTGCGAAAATTTTATGAGAACATAGTAATGTACGAAATATATGTGAGTAACCCTAATGAGGGTTTGGGATTTAAAAATCTTACAGAAAAATTGCTTATTTTTATTTTATTTTACTTTTTCCCCATTTGAAAGAGAAGAGATATTTTAGTATGAAAGTAAGCAAAGTAGGTAAGGTTGAGTTATTTATACACCAGTGCACAATTGTGATTTAGTATGGAACATATATGTAAATAGTGAGGTTTAGATGAAGAGAGATATATAATAGAAACGATATTTTATTAGCAAATTGGCAATTGGGGATTTCGGAGGGCAACATTTCCCCCCTCCCCCTTTCACCGGATCATTCAGCTACTAGGCAGTTAGGAAGCAGTGATAACTAAGATACCACAGTCCTATGACTTTTGTCCATCCTAGCAACAGACATGTTGTTCCTTTAGATAATATACACATAAACTATATAGAAGGATAGCTATAAAGAATATTACAGCACCCAGAAAGAAAAAACCTGGATATCGG